CTTCAATTATCAATCCCATAGATTCGATAATTCTCAAATTATTCCTTATATGATATATTTTTTTATTTCCATATCCTCAATCCTAAACCATCCTTAGACGATATTGAGAGCCTGTCAGCACATACAATCTAAAGAAAATCTTTGTCCGCCCTTCATATCCTCAACCCTAAATCACCCTTGGGCGACAATGAGAGCCTTTCAAGCGCACACATTCTAAAGCAATCCTTTGTCTGTCATTTGTAAATATTGAGAGCCGGAGGTGCAGGGAGGGGGGCTTGATATTCAAAGCCAGTAGACCGGTCATGTCTACAGCCCTACTGGTCCACTTGAATCGATCCAACGCCTGCTCTGTTCTTCTTGCTGTGCACGCACCGCTGCAGCTTTGGTGCTCACTGCTACATCACTCCGTTGCCTCACGATGTTGGTAGCAAGCTATTCTTTCGAATGCTACTTGCAGGACACAGTGTGACTGGACTTTAGTTGAGTGCTGCACAGCTTCTGCCAAGTCCTCTCCCAAGTGATTGCTTGCCTCACGATGTCAGCAGCAAGTGCTTCGAAGATTGACATAATAAATGAAGGGCATAGCATGGCAGTCGGCAGTCTGCACTATAGCTGAGTGCTGCACTGCTTCTTCATCAGGATCTTTGCTGCGCGCTTGTATTTCCCTAGGTGTTGTGAAGCGAGAAAAAGCACTCTCTGACGCAATTGTATACTGAGTGCTCGACTTAATACTCAGTCGAAGCTGATCTCGGCAACATGCTTCAGAAATTGGTGCGCGGTTGTACACCTGGCAAAAGAACACGCTGCATCTGAATATCGTGACTCTTAGTGCGCACGTCTGGGGTTGTGGCTCTGTTCAGCAAGAGCCACGGTCGATCGGTGGCCTCGTTGAGATCGGTATGAAGCTCGTGGATCCCGCTCTTGACCTGATACAAGGGCTTTGCAACTACATCGATTTCTAGTTGCGATGTCTTAGGCCGCCTTCTGCTTCAAGGGCCTGTCTTTGATGACATGTCGCCTTTAACAACAACAAGAAGAGAATGGTCCCGCTCTGCTTGGGCCCGGGCCATGCTGCCATGGACATGGTAGGATAGTCGGTGCAGCTATTGATGAGGATGCTTCGAGCCGGTTCTGGGAGAGGCAAAAAGTGGTTCGCGGGCTCTTTCTGGGTTCCAATCATGAGTTGTTAGGGGCAATCTGATGGGCAATTGCGCTTTGCATTGAGGCTTTGAGGGTTCAAAGGTTGGTGTTGACGGTGGAATATATATATATATATATACATATATATCTAAGGCAATTTCGGAGCTCTTGTCTTCTTAAGAAGATTTAGAGGCTGTGTCCTTAGCTCCGCATTTGCTCAGATACAACGCCGCCCAGCGGAAGATCCGCGCTGGGCGCTATTGACAAAGCGCCGCACTCGAAAATTTCGCTTCCTTTGCTTGGTATAAAAAGCTGTTTTGAAGGGAAGGAGACAATGAACAATTCCGATTGTTCTGACATTTGAAGCTCTGCCAAGGCGCTTTCGGTTGAGCGCCTGGTTTGTAGCTTCAAGCACTACTGGCGCGATGTGTTCGTTTTTGGCGTTGTAAATATGTGCTCTCCATTCGGCGACCAAATGACCAAGCAAGAAATCCATTTGAGTTCGCATGCCATCGAAATACCGTCGACATGTCCATCCCTCATGATTCGTTCTGTGTCGTGCAGTTCAAAGGCTGCAGGTTCTGACTCTTGATCCATCGGACAAGCATGGACCCCCGAACATTTCGGTTGCTTCACCACGTGGCCCAACATGCTGTTCGTCATCATGCGCTTGTATTGCTCCAACACAGGCGTTGAAGTCACCTCCTCAACTAACCATAGCGTTAATGAATTGCGTTGAGCTTCTAACAACAAAGATGCGATGTCACAGAGCTCTTCGACAGTTCAGGCATCCATGGTATATGCGCATCATGAGCATGAGATGTCAACTGTGCGGGTTCAGGATTGGATTCAATATTTTCACCGAGTCGCTTGTAGCGGATCACTATTTGCGGGGCTTCCCTGTTTTTAGCTGTGTCTGGATCCTTCAAAATGGATACTGCCTGGCTACTGGCCTCCGGCAGGAAGAGTTCTGTAACATCTCTGCCCAGCTACATACGACATAGGAATTCTTTGCACAACGTTGGGCTGTGCCCACCCGACGATGTCCGGAAATAGTGGGCTTCAAACACCTCCCGGGGTGAAGGCGATGATGCACAGGACACCTGGACTCCCTCGGGTGTGGGGGAATGATGCTGTGCTAGAATGCGCTGGCCCATTTTCTCTTTTTGCCATCGGCCTGGCTGCTGGTCTTCAACCGTTCTGCTTCCTGCATGTCTCAGCCCCAAAGAATCCATCCTTGCCGAGCAAACCAAATCGTCTGTGCATGGCAGGGGCAGCAAGACATGAGAGTGAGCATGGTGGAATGAAAACGCTGCCGGGGCACATCCATAAGTGCAGTGCAGTGGAAGTGGTACGAAGGACTCCCTGCGCTGACAGATTGCCGCAACGAACTCGGACTGCTCAAGCAATTCTGTCCACTCAAGGGCTTCGACTTTTGTGCTCGCCGTGAGACTGGCATCGCTGTCGATGGCTGGACTGAACCACCACCCAGACTGTACACGGGCGTGGCACATACGTGCGCAGCCACGATAGAACCCAGGGAGCAAAGTGAAGGTCACATGGGCTGAGTTCACGGCCATTCAAACTGTCAACGGATCCCAGTCGTAGAGTCCATCATGATTGAAGTCCGGCTTGTCAGAGTGCAGGATGTAAAATGCGCTGGCCCATGGAGCCAAAGAAATCGGGAGCGAATCCTCAGCTGAAAAGCTGGCTCAGCAACATATACCCTCAAAGCACGCGTGCGCGCGCAGGGGCTCCCCCGGCAATCCTCAAGGGCATACTTCTACCAAAAGTCGGACTTTATGGTGAAGGCCGATCTGTTCCACACATCGCCTCGGGCCGGGCTCACAGGTAGATGGCTGGCTTGACATGGCTTTCCCATGGCTTACCTGGTAGCGCGGTTTTGCACCACAAAGATTGGGGCCCTCTACTGCAGCTTTACATCCATGAAGCGAGGACAAATGAGAGTCAGACCAGATGTACAGCCCACTATTGCTCTGCAAAGGTACGTGCCCAGCAGCTGCCAGGCTTGCACTTGAAGCTCATTTGCTTCTGTCCCTCGCCTGCAAGAACGCTTCACAACCAAGGTGCAACACTTGGCAGCGAGACAGACCTGCTTTCTCGAAAGCGCTGGGCCTGTAAAGCGACTTGGCACATCCGTGATTGGCCAGGCCAAAGTTTCTGGCTGGTCAGAAGGATTGACCCTGGCGGTGGCAGAAGAGACACACACACACACAAAAACATCACAGCATGTCTGCAAGATCACTTATCACCGTGCAGGGGATGGGCAGCAAAAAGATCTGTACATACCTGGAATCACTGCCAAGCATCAAGAGCACCGCCACGGCTGACAGGTCCAGTGGCTTGGCCCAGAGTTGTATACCACTGCTGTGGGCAGTCCGCAAGCAGCCATCCTTCGATTTCAACTCGCCTAAGACGGCAGGAGGACGGCGGGCGCCGAGATGAGTTCTTTACACCTTAGTTTAGCCAAGCCGCTGCGAGATGTTAACGTGAAGTTGAGATCGGAAGATGCAGAGTGGAGCTGCCCATAGGTGCCAGAGGCAATGCGAGACTCCTGGACCTTTCGGGGGCAGCGGCCTTGTGGCTGTTCTGACATGACTCTGCGCAGCCGTAAGAACTCTGTGAGCCATCCCCGTATACTGTTAATTTCAGATTTATAAACCCCCCCTCAATTAAGGAATCCCACTCCCGGAACTCAACTATAAACCCCCCCTCAATTAAGGAAGGCCCGATTTTCTTTTTCTATGGGCCCTTTTGGGTAGGTCAGGGCTTGAGGGCGGCCCCTCAATAGCGGGTCGGGGCGGAAATAAAAAACCAATGAGACAGGGGCGGGGGGGTTAATTAATTCGAGGTCAACATTATCTCAAACACCCTCGGAAAATTAGCAACTGCCAGGTTGAGATTGTTCGGTGGGCCTTTGTCTATTTCCTCCCAGGGGCATTATGCGTGATGCGATTAAAGGAAGCTGACTTTATGGTCCTGGGGTTTCCAATAGCATGATGCGGATCCCGAGGGGCCAGGCTCTTGAAGTAGCATTGCTTGGGGCCATCTGGCCACTCTTTCTCCAGACCTTCTCGTGAAAGCCATGACTGCCCCGGACACTCCTCAGTTGTGTCAGTTGTATGACTCAGACAACAGAAACAATAGGAAACAGCTTGGCGCATTCCACTTACACAGGATGGTTCATGAGACTCTTGCCCAGTCAAAACAGGCTGCTGTCAGCCCAAGTGTGCGAGCTTTCCGAATAAAATAGCCGGCCGATGTATTGAAATCTTCTGGGCTGGTGTACCTTATGTGGCACCATCGCTGGGGCCCGCTAGGGGAGATGGATCACCGGGGTAATGGGGCTGCGCTGGCGAGGTGCAAGCAACGTGGTTTGGTGGTGGTTCGGTGACCATCCCACCACTGAATCGTGCCCTGCACCACATTCCAATGGCTTCCTGGGGGTAGCTCACCTTGGCCGTGCAAAGAACTTTCCCCTGGCATCATCTGACTCCCTGATGCAGCTGAGGCTAGCCGAAAACCCATGACATCAAAACACGTTGGTTTTACTCACAGCTCTAGGGTCTCAAGGGAGGTTCGGGCAAACTTGTGCATATATGCTTCAGGAGCAGGCAAGGTGCTGCAATTTCCCAGGGCTAAACCGCAACGGGCGCCATCGGAATATGTTGTTGGCGGAGGGCAGGGCATGCTCTCCGAACGTAAGCACAGTGCTGCTGGCATGAATGCCTTCGGAGCGATCAAGCGTCCTGACAGCTAGCTGGTCATGCGGTCTCCTGATGCCGTTCATTGCACAGTATACAGTAGCGTCAGTCGTGTGCACACAAACTACCGCCCGCAGGACCGTCGTCAATCTGCCATCCGATTGTGGCGGGACTGCCGTCGCAGCTGTCCAGCACAACTTGCATCTTTGAGGAAGTAGATGGGTAGGCTCTGATCCTTGCTATGCATTGCAGGCAGCCTCAAGTGTGGCGTGAAGCGGACTGAAACGAAGCAACCACTGAAGGGATCGCTGAGTAGCAGAGTACCAGGGTGGCCATACCAGGCAGCTGAAACGGCCAAAGCGTCCCTGTTTGTGATGATGTTCCACACCCTATCCTGGGTTTGCCGCTCTGATGCAGGAACTCAGCTTCGGCAAAGGCAGAAAAGTTCGTCACGTCTGTGCTGAAAACAAGCCGACTGTCCATCGTGGCTCCGTTCTGCAGGTCCTCAGCAAACAACATTTGAACATCGGAACGTTGCACGAATGCGGCTGCTCCACTTGGGGCCCCTGCGAAGCCCAGAATCAAGGGCGATGATAAGATGCACCAAAGCCTCGGCATCTGGGTCTGCGCTGGAATGGAAAGAACAGTGAAAGAACTGAAATGCGAAGCCGAGCCACCCCCAATGTGTTTGCTCTTGGTCTAGCTGGTGCGGTCCCGGTGGGAAGTTACCCACCTGTGGTCGGCGACGGTATGGCGGCCGTAGAACAAAACGAGGCGGTTGACATTAGGGACTTATAGGGACTTGTTCTCCTGTGCTTGGGCGCCTCGCTCATGTCTGGATATGCCCAGCAGCCTGGCCGAGAACGTGGCTCCGGGAGGTCGGCGGCGTTGATCGTCGCCTCAAAGCTTAGTCAGTTACAGCATGATGCGGCTACATTCGGCATGAAGTCCATGTTGCAGCTCGATTCCAGGATTGCATCTAGTGCAGGCAACCTGTGGCCGAGAGACATACGCCTCCTCTACAATCGAAGAGATGCTGGGGCTGATGTCGCCTCCTGGCAAGATGGAAAGCGAGATCTTGCTCTGAAGCTAGATGACAGCGACACATAGGAAACGGTAGTATGCTGGAGTTGCCTGTGCGAAAGAAATTCATGGGACAGAAGCCCGTGTCGAAGTCCGGCCAAGAGTTGTGGCAATTCTCAATGCCTCGCGAGGCAAGCTGTGAGTTAGAAGAACCTGTGGCCTACCAAGCCGGAGCACAGATGCCAGCAAGGAGTGCTTTATCTCTCAATTATCTCTCAGGAGAGGGGCGAATGGGCTTGCCGGTCTGATTGAAGAGCTCCGCCCAATGAGAAACATTTTGCGAGCTTCCGCAGCTGTCTATTTTCCTGCAATGATTGCAGGGAGGACGTGTTGAGATTGAGACCCTGCTAACTCAATCGGCTTAATCGTCACGACGCTTTTTGAGGGTCAAAGGGGCACTCCATCGAAGCCCATCTGATCCACCATCCAGCCAACATCTTGAGAATAGTGCGTCGGGCCATGCTCATTGCCTTAAACTCAGTAGAGGTTTCTTGGTGCAGAACTGAATCAACTTACATGCACGGTGCCAGGAGGCTCGACGGCCACGTTTTGGGCAAGGTGCAGATGCAATTGTTGAGATAGGTTCCAACTTTAAGACCTCGTGCATGCCCGAAGTTGACCAGTGCTTTCCTAAGCAACTTCATGCAGTGACAGAAGTCTGGTCCGAACATGTCAGAACCGTCGGGGCGTTGACAATTGAACTGACAATTGAACTCAGATGCATGTCTGGGAAGCGATCTTTCCGCACAGTTGGCATTCCCCTGGCCGTGCAGGTGTGTATTGGCGTTGCTGAGCCAAGCACTTTTTGGGCAGCGTGTGTCGCGAAATCTTTGGCAGTGCCATGACTCGCAGGATGCAGGCGTCCTGCTATCGTGCCACGAGCAGTGTCCACCAAAGCAAAGGTTGCCATCGCATGGCGGCAGTGTTGGATCCAGGTCCTCCACACTGAAGCTGTCAGCCAGTTATAGCACGATATTGTGCCCCACATGTGTGGAACTTTAGAACGGACTCGACTGATTTCATGTTTGGAACGCAGCATGACACGAAGACCCCTTTGCTGCGAGATGCCCCTCAGGAAGTCCTGGCGCACACTACAATTGCAATGCTGCCAGCCATCATCCATACTGATCCAGTCGAAGCCCAACCTAGAGTACGAGATTGCTGCCAGATCGACCAGTATACTGTAGAAAGCAAAAGCTGCTTGGAACGAGCTTGCCGATGCACTGGCTGAGCTCCATGCTCGGCCAGGCTTGTCTGCTTGCCATCGACCATGCGAGATTTGTCCAGGACAGCCTCCATCTGCGCCTGCATGTGTGCCTGCGTGAGGATGCGCTTTGGCCTGAGATGCTCGACATAAGGTAAAGCAAGATGGTGACGGATCTCGCTTGCAGGTTCTAGATCGCTGCCCTCAGCCCTTGTAACATTCACAACGCCCAGTCAACAATAAGCATCAGCGAAGCTGGCGCTGACGGACACGAGGCCGAGCGTCTCCAAACAGTCGAAAGCATTCCATGACCTCCATCCTCGAGGTGGGGTCAGTCCTATACCATTGTCAATCGCCAGCACCTGAAATGCGGGAAGCGCGGCTTCGGTGGATGGTCTTAAACCTACACTTTACACCCCGAACCTTTTTTGCATCCAGGTCTGACGCCGGGCATCACCTAATTTACTGAAGAGGCGAAACTCGTGTTCACCCCTCGACCCTGAAACCCTGAACCCTAAACCTTATTTTCTTAACCCTGAACCTTGAACCCTAAAACCCTAACAACTTCAGCCCTGAACCCTGAACCATGAATGCGTGCAACAATGTGCAACGAGGCAAAGCCGGGCCGAGAAGCACCAAGCGCCCAACGGCCCAGCAGTGCGGTGTGCAGCGCCAGTGACATGGTCATTCCATAAAAGAGAATACTAGTATATCTATGTGTTTACATATAGAAATACAGAGTAATTCATCAAATCAATACATGCAGAAATGCAAAAATACATGTATCCAGACATAAATGATATGTATAATGCCATGCCGCTGTGCTAACTGTTGTATATGCACAGTACCCTATATAAGATGCAACATATACTACACTATATATGTAGCAGTTATCACAGTGGCATGGCGTCGAAAGTGCCTGGAGGCCGAGGGTTGGGGATTGCACGTGAAGGAGTCGGTGCAGCACTTGGGTGGTGTTGCTCCGGTCACCGTACCATGGTTATGCTGACGCTTGAGCTTCTTGTGGCTCTGGGGAGAATGTGTGGACACGGGTCACCACGACATGTGCGCAGAAGGACTCAGAACTGGATTTGCCCATATCATCAAGAAAGCGGCCGTGCACCCGAGCCTGAACAAATGAGACCCGGGACCTTTCACGTTTGTGACGTCCGCCGGAATCTGCAGAAAGTTCCCCTTGCGGCAATCAAGATCGACTTGAGCTCAGTCCATCCCTGTCGTGTACCCGGATGTACGCACTGTATATCCCCGTAGGTCTTCCACAAAAAGAAGACGCACCAGCATGCGCAGTGCGTGCCATGCGTGCTATACCCTGGACTTTGTGAGAGACCTGGCCTGTGGTGAGCTGGCCGCTCGTTGAATCCTGTTGCCTCAGTACACATGATGCAAAACTCGAGAGCCAAGTCTGACAGACGACGCAAGCCCATGGAAGCTTCACTGTGTCGGAGTTTTTTTGCAGCGTTTTCGAAGTCTTTCTGGTGCCTCTGATCTCAGCCTGGAAGCTGTCTATCAGCCCCTGCGTAATGTACAATCGCGATCACAGGTCAGATCTCCATCGATGGAAGCTTGGCGCTTTGCAACATCGTGTCTGCAATGGGTGAAACAAAGTCCCACTTTGTAACCTGCCAGGAAGCTCAAGGACAAGCTGGGACCTAGCCGCTAGCCCCCACACGTCTTGTGAGCTGCACATCAGAGGCCAGCAAGTGTGGTGATCCTTGTGCAATTGTGCACAGCTGTGCGCCTAGTCCTCCACATCTCGAATGGAGATGTTCTGCTCGGAGCTCATTTGGGACGGCGTGATGGTTGACCTTATTGTGCTCCGTCGATGAGCTTGGTGCAAATAGAGGCTGATGCAGCCATGTGCACCATGTATCGCGCTCATGTAGTGTAGCACTACGCAGTACCCACCCCACAAATCCTCATTACACACCTGGACTTCACAAAGTCAAAACTCCGACCCTAAAGCCATAAGCACCTAAGCGCTCACAGAAGCCTCTAAACCCTGTGTTCCTAAACCCTAAGCCGCTGCATCCGTACAGGCTGGCCAAGCAGCGCTTTCGCAGCTGCTGCCTCCTTGGCAGCAGCGGCTGCTGCCTCCTTGGCCTTTCTGGCTTCCTCCTCCAGTACCTGGGCAGTTCAAGTTAGGAATCAAATTCTTAACAACTTCCGTGGCTCTTTCTCACTTCCCGCGATTTCTGTCTTCAAGAGTTGGTGAGAAGTCTTGCGCGGCCGGCAACAGATCCACTCGATCAATCCGAAAATCCCCCTTTCAACCCTAAACCCTGACCCCGGGAACGGCAGCCTTGGGGTCCATCTTCGCCATCATCTCCTTGAAGCAATCGCTTGACTTGTTCGGGATAGTTCATCCGTTATGTTGGGTCATGAAGTGACTCGATAGCTCGTGCCAAGCGTCTAAGAAGCTGCCATCACTGCCAAACCTCCAGCTGCACGGCCGCAAAACCGAAGATCGCACAAGAGATGTTGAGCAGTCGGCTCAGGTCCCAACTTGTTGATGCCATCTGCTTCCTTTTTTAACTGCTCGCTCTTTGCCTTTGCGTCCTTCCTTTTCTGACGCTTAGCGCCTGGGCGCTGTAGGAGAACGTGACTATCGGAAGCAAGTGATGCCTGGCAACTGCAATGCCCTCCATGAAGGATGATGGTTCAGAATGGCGCTATTCGAGCTCAGGCAGGGCACGTTTCTTTTCTGTTGCAGCTTCATCTGCAGCTATCGCAGCTTCTCTCTTAGCCTGAAATTCTGTCGCCTGCCGGGCGCATGCTGCCGTTGGGATGAGACTAGACGATTCGATGTCTTTTCTGTCCGGGTGTTGAAGGGGATGCTCGAGTGCGGCAGCCAAGATGTGTATGGATGTTTCGTGATTTAGAGTCCGAACGTGTGGAAGTCACTGCGCGGGACCTCCTCTAAAGCCGCATGGTCTTTGTCCATCCTGAGTGCAGGCTCATCACGCAGTGTGCATGGCAGCACAAACTCCACGTGGTGCTGCGTGCTGCCAAGCATCTTTTCTAGCCTCGCCTTTGCTTGGTAGCAGACACGCTCGAACCAGCCGTGCATGCTCCGGAACTACATACATCAACACTTAGGGAACGCTCTATATGACGGAACCCGAACGGGAACATTGCGGTTCACAAGCACCCCACGAATAACAAACTCCACATGTGCCACCGAGATGCCATCTCAATCCTCCGATGCTTGTAATAGATGGGAATGGAGCAACTCCCTGATCCAGCACTGCTGCCGTACGTGTTCCACACCTGCCAATGCTCCAAAATGCAACAGGGTGTGAGAGATCAGGTCATTCTGTGAAACATTCCGTCGGCCTTCTCGAACTCAGGCCGGGTTTTGACTAGTGGCTGCCTGCAAAGCAGCTTGTGGCTCTTCAGGTCTTGGAAGTGACGGCTTTAGTTCTGACAAGGGTCGCATCGCTGGGAGCAGTGTTGACCTCGCACTTGCATCAGCTTGATAAATGAATTCAGCAAGAGACAAAGGGAGCGTTGAGTCTGGGGCTGTGAGTTTGTCTGAAGGCCCTGATCCGCGAATGGCCACAGCCTGCACATTGGCCTTCGAGGGCACGATGGCCTGCCAATGGAAACTCCACGAGCAACTTTATTTCCGTTTAGCTGCAAGTGCTTGTGGCAGCTCGGCCTAGGTATGCTAACTCAGAGCATCAGGACCTACAAGCATCGCAGCACTCACTCATCCCAAACACTTTCCTCAAACACGCTGTCGCGAACCCCGTCGCTCCGAGGAGGTGCGGATGTCAGCACAATTCCACGATATTGCAGAACACCTCCATCTCGAGCAAGAATAGGGCATAACGCCCAGCGCCACTTGGATGTGCAGCAAGATTCCCCGCCCAAATCCCAATTGGTGCACTCCACGTGCTCACGGTCTCTGATGCATATAACAAGTTGTGTTCCCATTCTGGGATGCACAAGCAGCATTTGGGCTAGCCTGAACGGCTGAATTACACCAGGGTCTCTTGCGAGAAGCCACCCATCTGGACTGAACAATCTGACCCATCAGGGCTCTCACACGGACTCTGGCGGACTTGTCGGCACCCCTCGCAGACAGCAGTCGTGCTGGGAACACCTCTGAGTGCTTCGCCGAAAAAGGCAGGCCCCAGTTCATGTCGTCTGTTGCTTTGGAACACAGGGTTGCAATAATAATAAGAATAATAAGAATCATAAGAATCATAAGAATAATGAGAATAATGAGAATAATGAGAATGATAACATGGAGAGCATGAGCATGGGGCCACGGAGCTGTTATGCGGCTTCTGCCTTAGACAGTTGAGTACAGGATGCAGTCTTTCATGCCGGATGCTTGAACAACCCTGCACATCAGTCCTGACGTGCATTCACACTTTCTGCCGGCGCGGCAACTTTTGGAAGTTCCCGCCTTTGCCAGATATCGGGGTTTACGAAGTTTACGATATTAGGGGTACCTTATATTGGGGTTCTGATTTTAAGGGGATCCTACTACGTGGGGTCTATATTGGGGTCCCTTATTTTCGTGAAAGCCTGGCGCGCCTGGCAACTCTCGAGTGTCGCGATGCAAAGCCTTACATACGCATCACTGGCTGCGCCTCCTTTCCATCAGACGACTGCCGTTCAGGTTCAGTTGTGGAACTTTGCAGTCCACGGCGTTTTGCTCTGGCTGCTCGGGACTGACCTGCCTTTTCCAACCATGAGAGGGGCAGCTCAAGATCTCCATGGAGAGCTGAGTAGAGTCGCCAAGCTCAGGAGTCTGGAAGGCTTGCAGGGGTAGCTCGGTGGGTAGTTGCCCGAGGAGGAGCTTCAACTGAGCCCAGGAGAAACTGCCAGCTTTCAGCCTCGCAAGAAGGTCCAGGCCGCGCTTCGCTGTTGCCGCTGGCGTGTCCTCCGCAACGTCGAAAACGACTTGAAAGGGCTGGACGTCCCATCCATGAAGCTGTGCTCGTTGCAGGTGTTGACTTGCTGGCCTCCTCTTTTCGCTGTTCCCCTCGGGCCAGTCCCCCACAATCTCCTGGCACGGAGAATTCGCCGAATCACAGGTCAGTGAATCGTTGCTGGCGAGCTGGGGGCTGCCCTTCGAGATCCGACGGAGCCCGGCCATCAGTCCCCCACAGAAGGGGATGGAAGCCACACTTAAGGCCGAGGTGCCCGGTAGCACCTTGAGACAAGTCTGCACCATGATGCCATGACTTACCAGGATCATGTTCTTGCCCGTACGCCGGCCGCGGCCGAGGTGGGTCAGGAACCTCCTGGCATAACGATGATGGGCGTCTGTCAACTTTTCGCCCCAGCTGGGTGGGCGGCCCAAGACCCTTTGCCAACACACTCGCTCAACCGGTGGCTTCGAAAAGCCTTGGAGAAGTTTGGGCAGTTCGCCAAAGCTGTATGCAGCTCCTGCCGGGATCGCCACGCTCGGCCAGCCGGATCCACATCCCCGAAGACCACCGGGCCGAAGACTTCCCCGAGCTCGTAGTCCAAGATCACCATGACATCCAATGCGTCGGCCAAGGCAATGGCAGTTTGAACACAGCGCAAATACGGCGACGATACGATCACGTCGAAATCAGCGAAGCTACTCAGCTTGCTGGCCGCGTGCCTCGCTTGGACGACGGCATCGTCTGTGATGGGACAATCGAACGGGTATTGTTGGAAATCCATCGTGTTGTGCCAAGAGGAGCCAAAGACCGAGTCCTGACGCTGACCATGTCGGAGGACAGCTACTGCAGCCTGATCTGCAAGGTCATGATTTGGAGACTCGCCATCCCCGCTCCCTGCCTGCTGAGCGTTGAGATTGAAGATGGCAGTGTTGGGCCTCTCCTCTATAGCTGTATGCAATATGCTTGCTGGCGACTTTGTCGGCGGCCACTCAGCAGTAGTAGCATCAGAAGCAGAAGTGATCTGCAGATGGACCCCCACCTCCTCTTCTTCCGGGACTGGGTCTTCCAAGGGTTCTGTGTAGAAGCTGTTTCGCAGCAACTGGATCTCATTCTTGCTGCGTGTCCTGCTAAATTGGCACGAAGTGATGATCTCCTCATCATTTGCCCTCAGAGCCACCGCAGGATACCTATAATCTTTGCACCCGAAGGACTCGAAACCCAGTCGAGAAAACAGGAGCCCCTTCAGGCCAAATGAGTCAACATCGCTGGTTGCCCCACTGAGCGGTGCCATTGCCATGGGGTTCCGAGAGAAAGCCGCGTAACGTGGGAATGGCAGGCCACGTGACGCGGGAATTGAGGTGCAAGATGTTTCCGAAAAGCCTCGAGGGTAATTTTCTGTCCAGGAAGTGCTAAGGCTACGCGACAGGATAGGGTACAGATTTTGGGACCCATTTGTTCGGAAACGTCTCTCAAGCAGCATTTTGCTTCTTGAGCCTCCTGTAGGGGTTCGGGTCGAGAATCACCGCATCGCAACAATCCAAAAGCAAAGCAGCTGCTCTTGCAACATCTCGTGCTGAATGCGGGGAACATCCGGGAACACTAGGTGCTGTAGCCTTAGCCATGCATTCGTCTGCCCACCTTAGTTGGAAGACACTCAGAAAGCCTTCCTCACACGCAAGGCATCTGACCCTGTCATGGACAGTCGAGCTGCGCGTTGCTCGCGGCCAGCGAGCACTTGTTTATCTCTTCCATGGTCATTCCTGACTCGATCGCCAGCATGGCTGCCTTCAAAGGGCCCAGGAGAATCTGGAACAGAATCCCCTGAAAGGGACCCCCAAAAAGAATACCCCCCATTTTCGGAAACCCGCATGAGGAACATGACGCAGCAAAGCTTCTACTTTCCTTCTGCAGCCGAGGATCTTAGAGCCGCAGAGGGGGCCCGGGCCCATGCACAAAGTCTATACCTGTCTACTCCTGTGCTGCTCATGGAGCCACATTTTCGAACGTGGTGCTGTATGGGCGTGATCTGACCAACTCAAGGGGTTTTTGGGCAATCTGAAAGGTCGCAACTTGCCAGAGCTCTCCCCAAGGGGGGCTTTCGAAGATTTTCGGCTTCTATTTGCTGCCACTGTACTTGCGGTTAGCACCAGGGGCTCCTTTTCATAGGGGGATGGGACGTGGGAGAAACCAGCGACCCAAGCAACGGCAACCACCAGGTTTCAGGAACCCGCCAGGATGTGACCAGTAACTGCCCGGCATATAGCCGAGATTCGAAGGCAGCCAAAGCCGTCACCGAAACTTAAACCGAACCCAAACAGCAATGGGTGACGCTTTCTCTCTCCCCTTTTGAAACAGTCAAGCCTAAACTCTTATGATCTCCTATGTAAACCCTTAACCTAAAACCAACGGGCTCCTGCATCCACAGCGTGTGGTTCCGGCTCTTGGGCCCCCTGGTTTCGGGTACTGGCTCGAAAGTTCCCTGCAACGTGCCCCCCCTCCCCCGCCCTTGGGCCACGATGCTGAGGCGCCGACTGCGGCGACGAGGCTTTGGCACTGCGGCCATTGGGCTCTTCCGTAAGACCTGCTTCTGCAATACATAGAACGTGTTTGTTGCCTAGGTCCGTGAATGCTGTCACTACTACCATTAAAGGTCACACCCTGCAATGTGGCGCACATGCAGCCCCTTTAGTTTCCTCACATCGTCGCCGCCTTGAACCTTGCGTGGCCGTGGCTGCTACCCCCCCTCGACGTGACCACTGCGCTCTACACCTTCTGTCTTAGCCTTCAACAGCCCATGAACTAGTGCCCCCCATAAACCCTGAGTTCCATCCTCTGCTTTGGGAGGCTCGATCAAGCCGCCGGCCAGGCGCCGATGGTGACTGGGAACGTTGTGAGGTTTGGGGCTTCGTCACTCACTCTCACAGGGAAGGCAAGGTTTTACTACTTAAACCCCTCCAAAACCCTAAACTGTTAACACCCTCAACCCTAACAAACCCCTATGAGGTTCAGGGAACAAACAACAAACTGAAGGTGGACGATGGTGTGAAGGCTGAGGCATCTTTGGGTTCCTGCTCACAAACTGCCGCTCTCCCTTCAGCAAAGGCTTATATAAGCGTTTGCCAGGATCGCGTCCAACTTGGTTAGACAAGAGGCCATGATTCAGCGAACTGATCGTTTGGTTTTGGCATCTGGTCTTCATGCTTCCGGCGGTGAGGTTCGGACCTCCTGAACCCTAGGTTTGCACATGCGTGCTGCGCGCTGCCCGGAGGCAAGCCACAGCCGGGGTCATCAACACACTGGGTAACTACTCCATTATAGACTATATATTCAGCATTATATCACACAACTTTGTATATTGCGTATAGGATATGGTGTATATTGCATATGATATCTTACATATTGTGTAGCATAGAATACCCCCCCCCCCCCCCCCAGCAAAAACTCTGGCGTCCGCTGAGGCGTCGGCTCAGCCAGCAGAATGCTTCGGTCTGGGCTTGGCGGGACATGCTTTCAAGGTCTTGCACTGACCACAAACATGAATTATGTATAACCATATATATATATATACATATACCATTGATAACAATATGAATATGCACATACAACATACATCCAGTGATCTGCCGAGGAAGGGTTGAAGAGAATGGCAAACAGACTGCTCTAGACACGTCTCTTTGCTCTGTAGGACAAACCATCTGCCGAGATCCAGGCACTCTGCCACAGCACCCTTCAAGTCAAATCTCTCCTGCCCAGGTATGGTATCAGCCTGAATCATCTGGTGGTTTTTGTGCTCGACAGCGAAGCGTGGGTCCAGCTGCGCCCGCGCCAAATGTGGGTGATCTGAAATGGGAGCTGGCCTGTCAGACATGCAGCTGGATGAAATCAGTTGATTGGATTGGGCATGGACGGACAGGGGGCGGAGGCTTAGCAGGTGCTGAGGCTGCGACATGTTGCGAGCGGTGCTGCCTGTGATGCAGCTTGACACATCTTGACACTGTAGTTCTTTCTGACCACGAGAGGCCGTTGGACGAGCCATGTTGGCATGACAATGACAGCAGCATCCGCAAGCAAAGGCAGTTCTGAGACATCGGCTCAGAAGGCTTAGAAGACTGGCACGTTCAGGGTACACCAAGGTGTATTCAAGCTTACTTTAGAGGCTGGTCGCCTTTGCTGCCGTGCCAGCAGCTGCTTGCGGCCATCACCTGGTTGAACCACGAACGAAGCCTAAACAAGTCACACTCCTTGCTCGTCCCTGAGCCAGAGACCTTGGGCGAGGCTGGCTGCGGCACGGTCGCTTCCCACTTCTTTATGAGCCTTCAGGGCCTGAGAAGGGTTTGGGTTCACGTTGCTGGTGGCCTGCAGGTGGGCTTGTTGTACATTGTGTTGCCCCAGGGCATGTTCGCCAGGCTGTATATTGAAGTCCTTGAGCACAGAGGCAGCGATGATGTTCAATCCTACTTCTCGTTCCGCTCTTAGCAGCAGCAAGCGGCCCAGGATTTTCCAGCCATAAGTTGGACACCAGCGATCGTCCCAACGAAGCTTTGCAAACGTCTCCCAAAGGGAAGGTCCGAGTGGTGCCACTAATTAGGTCAGCAGCAAATCTGCCATGCTGCGCTGTGAAGACCTGCAGATTTGATATAAGCCAGGATGTGCACTCGGGATGCCGCCCAGGACATGTGCCGTCACAGCCTTTGAATGCAGGCCACTCTCTTCGCTGAGGGCCAGGCAATCTGCTTCCGGACCCACGACGAGGCATCTCCTTCATCACGTTAAGGGAATTGAAGGGGACGAATGTAACAGCTCCAGAGGTGTTCAGCTGAGAAAAGACGCACGAAATCGCACAAAGCTCAAGGAAGCCGGTCCGAGGACATGGGCTGTGGCTTGGCAAGCGGCTGATGCCTCGGGCTGATTGCCACAGCGTCCACGCACCACGTGGCTGCGAAGACTGAGACAGGTTCTTCTGCCCAGGCCCCATGAGCTCCTTCCGCAGTGCCTCTTGGTGGAAGGATGGCAGCCTGCGATCTTAGCCGTAGTCATAAATAGATACAAATCGGAGTTCGGCAGCTGGCGATTTAGCCAATGATATGTGTGGCCATGCCTGCGGGCGACAGCTATCTCAAGCTCTACAGTGGGTGGCGCAGCACTTCCGGACTTTCTGGCACAATCATGTCGCAAACTTTGATGCTACTGGCTCCGTCATGGGCCTTTTAAAAGGCGTCATTGTGGGGCCAGTTGCTTAAACAGACTTGGGCATCTCGCTTCACCGATGTTTGGTTGTTCGTTTACTGCAAATCATGCTTGGAAGGCACATCCATGTCCCGGAATCCTATTCATGAGACCTCCACGGCAAACTTGAATCCTGCACATGGCCTTTCGAATTTTTCGAAGACATGCCTCCCAAGTGTTTCTGAGCTACATCTCGCGAAGAAATAAAAATCGATTCTGCCCTGAGCCGTCAAGGCCGAGGACAGCAGCCGCGCTGGCATACGGGGCGAAGTCTAAGTTATCGTACCAATCGTCCCACAAAAAAGGCTCCGCATCTTGAACTGGTACCTAAAACGGGACGCGACTGAGAGAATGTACCATCTGAGTGCGGCCAAAGGCGTCTGGAGATTGGGGGCAGGGGGCTCAAAGGTTGGCTAGGGACGTTGTGAATGCCGCCGCCCTGCTAGGTGACGGCATCGAATCTACGCTCCAGGTTCACATACTCACGACCTACTCTGCAGCTCCACCTCAGCCAATGTCGAGTCAAGAGCCTGCACCGGAGGAGGGTCCCAGCAGGCACCGGGAATGCCGCTGCTTCGTGTTTCACAGCACCTGAGGTGACGAAAGGCCCCACACTTTGTGTGCTGATGCTTGAGGATAGAATCCTTTGAGGCCGAGCTTCTCGACGCAACAGCTTCCCACAATTGGTGCCACGGCTGTCAAAATCAGTACCAGTCGTGTCCACCACCGAACATCTGGATTACCTCGCTTGCACGGAGCACAGTGCGAAGGACGAATGGCATTTAGAAACAAAAGCAAGCAACCAAGGTAGGTGAGTCACAAGAAGTATCGGTGGTGTGGGCGAGCATGTACGCGCCCAAAATCAAAAGAATCAGCGTCGGCAGAACAAGGCATGTGTTTACCTTGGGTCTCTTGGCTATCGTGTGCCGTGGATTCTGTGCCAAGCGACCCTCTCTCCTGCAACTCTTCTGGCACTCTAGCCATGCACAAAAGTGAGTGTAGGGGACAGTACTACGAGTACGATCAAGTCATTTTCGTTCGAGTGGCATGGTGAGCACATGCGCCGAGCGTCTCCTGCTCAACCACACGCGAATTTGTTTGCCACGCCCAACGCCAAGCAAGCAGCTTCGATTCAACGCATGGCAAGCGGTCCTCCTTGCGAGTGTCTTCCGGGTAGACTGAATGTTCTGTTCGGGCCTGCTGTCTCAGGCCTGTGCGCATTAGACATGGTCTCGCGCCTCATAGTCTTTAAAAGCCGTGAGCGGCACAACGTTGGTACAACATAAGGGCTGCGCGGGCATAGGACACAACCTCTGAATCCATGCCAAGGCATAGCATGAATAAGCCTCACACAGTCTCACACAGAATCGGGAGCACGGCTCGTGTCCTTTGCTTTAGTCGGCTCTGGCAAGATAACTCGTGCTGTGCCAGTAGGCCAAGCCCTGATGTGCCTGGCACCAACGAGAGAAGCAGGCCGTGAATGAAGAGCCACGTCACCAGCGGCTCTCGACACTCTGCATCCCACCTGTGCCGTCTGTTGCTGTAGGGATAGGCAGAGAACCCTATGATCTCCCATGCTTTGGGGTGCCCGGAAGCCTACCAATTTACTTAACCCATTGCATGCCAAGATTCTCAGCTATGGCAGCAGAAAGCGCGATGGCAGCTGGAATGGCGAGCAAGGCGGATACCAAGCCGGCACCACCAAGGACGCCAACCTAGACAGTGGACCAAGGAGAGGACCAGGACACCGAACAAAAAGACAAAACAAGTAATTGGCCCGACAAACAATAGAACTAGGACGAAGCCAAGCATAGGCAACTCACGGACCGCAAAGGGTCTATTGCAAAAAAGGCAAGGAGCCACATAGTTGCAGAGTGCTGCTGGCACCACGCACTGGGCCAACAGAATCAAGCCTGCCTTTATCCTCAGTCTCGGCGAGTTGTGCTAGTGATTTTGTTCCGCGTGCCGAGCAAGGGGGGACAAAACAGTGACATCAGAATGCCTCAGTGTCAGGCAAGCCACCTCAACTCGTCGCAGGGTGCTACCACTATGGGGGCAATGCCTGTTCCAGTTGTGGTGGTGGTTGTAGTTGTAGTTGTGGTGGTTGTCGTTGAAGTAATAGGCACATCAGGGTGAGTGTAAGTCACCTGAGATGACACAAGAGTATGCTGGAAAACTTGAACACGTCTACAAGCTGCACTAGAATGTCGTGATTTGGCCAACTTGGACTAATGTGGATCTTGCAGGTGGAGAGCCATGCCCCACACCACAAGCACCAAAGCCGGCAGCAAGAGGCACTTGTTCGCTCCCTCAGCACAACATGACCAGACTCCAGACGAACTCCGGCTCTTCACCCCTCTCGATGCTTGCCGGGCCTGCGCATGCCCACAGCAGACTAGAGAATAAAGCCCGGGTATGCTCATCATCATCACCTCGGCTGAGGGATGGCGCTGCGACTCAGTGCGAACCAAGACTTTGCATGAAGCCGCGCTAACAAGGCCCCCCCCCCCCCCAGAAATGCATGCCAATCACGATGATGCCATCAGCCATAAGCCACGACCGCAAGGATGCTAAGGTGTCACACTCATCATCCCAGTGATTGGAGGCTAAGTTGACCTGAGAATGCGCCAAGGTGTGAGTGACCACCTCTTGCAGCAGATGCCAAGATGCCAAGCCCCTCACAGCCAGCACCGCCGGAATCAGGCTTGCAACTGAAAACAACCCTCCGCCTCATCCAAAAGGATCGCAAGCTTCTAGGCATGTGCAAGCAATACGGTGCCTGTGTATGCACTTCAGCAGTACACTGCTTAGCATCATGGCTCTGAGTCTATGGCCGATCGTGAAATCACACAGCATTGTCCAGCATGATGGCGTCTTCTCTGTTACCGCTTCTGCCATCGCCAGGCCATCTTCCTGCAGCTCCAGGTGGGAAAAAGATGCAAAGAAGGCCACAAGACATCAGAAGACCCTGATGGGCAGCCGACCTCAACTTGCATTTGTGCAGCGTGAGGTACGTTCGAGACGACTGCCTCACAAAAAGCGGTTTGCTCCAGCCTCTACTGTGACCAGCTGCCCCTCATTCGCTGATCCAGCTACAAAGCCTTACAAGTGTGGTGCCTCTGCAGCCGCTCGACAGCCCTAAAGCATGTCAAAACTGTCTCGACATCTCGAGCCGAAGTTGCTGCAGCCGACTCTCCATTGCCATGCAAGGGCCCTCTGCAGATCAGTGCTGGATGTGCTGGCTTTCAGCGCGTTCAGCGGGTTACAGGCCTCTTGAGACCCTTCTCGGGCAGCATTCGTGAGCAAAGCGATGGTGTTCTGACCATACCGCCTTGACAGTCTCTAGGCTCTGATCCCCTGGTTGCGCGAGCCGGTCACAAGCCGATGAACCGTTCATACGCGCAGAAACGAATGCATCTCTGAGGAAAAGGCTCTTCTCCTCTTCAGACGCCCGCAGATCTGCCAGAAGCTCCTTCGCAGCTGCTACCCGGAGCTTGCCACTTGCCGTCTCAGTGCTCTACTGTCACAGGAAGGCTCCTTCACAATCTCATCCATTACCTCAAACATGTATCGAACACAAAGAGCCTACCAGCAATCTGCGCCGATTCTGGACCGGAGCGCATGAAAGAGTCTAGGGCAGCAGGCGAATTCGATGGCACACGCATTCTGAATCTCGGGTATGTGCCACCACGTTTCCTTGCTTGCTTCACTCCCTTTGCACCAGGCCTCTGCTAAAGACCCTATAACCACTAAAAGCCCCGATAACCTCCTAAACGGAGCCGAAAATGAGCCAAAGAGTGCCAGGAGAGCCCAGACGCCCACTCCGAAGCCTTCGTGTAGGAACGTAGGACCTCCTCCGTGGGATTCTTCAGCAGCTTTGGAAACTCCAGGAGGCCCCGGCCTCGGCAAAGCCATGCTCAACCTCCCACCTCCCCCCCCCCTCCCAAAAAAAAAAAGAGATTCTCTTGCAGACTGCAACTTTCGGCTACCTTGTCTATATCTATTATATATATATGTATATCTGTACATATACACACTCTTTATTCTCTATCTGCACTGTGTATCCCTTCTTCTTCTTCTTCTGTGCGCTGCCTATCACTCTCTCTCTCTCTCTCCCTATACGATCTTTAGATACAAATGCTATTAGGAGCCTTTGCCTGGGGCAGAAGGCTTAAAAGGCCGAGGTTGGCACCGTTGTAGATTGTCACGTCGCCCTGAAAAAGGGCTGCAAAGACAAACAGCTGCGAGCCAGGCGTGCGCACGGGGGTTTAGGTATGTTTAGGTGTGATTCATGGGTGTAGGGGTGTAGGGGGGCACGGGGGTAGGGTACTTTGCAGACACGTTGCCAGGCCTCGTACTCCTCACAAGCCACAAGCTTGGGCTCTCATTGCAAACAAGTGGCAGCAACTGCAAGGAAACTCGCAGCAAGTCCTGAACTACCAATGCGATCAAGGTGTTGCCGACCGGTCTCAGCCAAGGATGTCGACCGCTTGCACCTCAGTACTTGTGGCCCTCAGCCCTACATCTAGAAGACAGATAGACAAAGGTCGCGGCCCCTGAACAGCTCTAACATGCTCTGCAGGTACTGCTTGATCTCGGTGGGCAGTGTCCACTGGAGGCAATTTGAAGGTTGCCAGTTTTTTGGCAGCCCAGCGACCTCCCGCCGCAGGAACTGGGAGACTCGGAAGATGGGCCCTTTCTGGGAGCCAACCTTGTCAGCCAAGCCAGCTGCATCTTGTTGCTTCGAGGCTTTTTGCAGTTGCATCGATGTCAGAGCGGATTGGATACCAAGGTGTCGACGCCGCCTCCAGTCAGCAACATTGCCTGTCAAGTTAGATTGCAGCTGCTCCGGTGCACATACGGTTCAGAGATGTTCAGAGCATACAGGCTCGAGATGCCTGAGGGTTCACCTGCGAGACAATGAAATAGTTTACCTTGGGTCTGTGAGGAACGAGCTTTTCTCTCTGCATGCCTACACTGCAAGTATGTGCATTTTCTGGATCTACCGCAGCTTGGTGCACACGAGGCTCGTTGAACAACTCTGCAAGTCGAGCCATGGGCAGATCCTGGGTGCAAGCTTCAAAAAAAACGAGCAGGCGTTCAACCGGCTGCTGCAAGTCGTGGCATGCATGCAGGCCTCCCTGCCAGGGTGTGCCAGCATGTGTGCATCCAAAGCAGGGAAGGGAATGTGACTGACTGAGGGGCGTTCGGATTGCATTGATCCATCTTGCCACTTCAGCCCACCTGTGGAAGTTGCACTTTCGTAGCCCTACCAGGACAGGTGATGCAAGCACGCCTGAGACGTATGGCACAATGTCTCCGAAGCGGTCTTTGGCCAACAGCTCCCGCGACCTGTGGTCACGCAGGTGCTGAGAAGCAGTGATGCGTTTATGCAACAGGATCCCTGCTCGAAGATGCCAGGAACTGCCGCAGAGCACTGTGCAGCTGACCAGACCTTCAGAAGGAAACAACAGTATTGTGTGATCGATGTGGACAGCAACACGTTTGCTCTTTTTGCAGCGCTTATAAGGACATCCATATCTCTGCTGCGAACAACCCGCCCCCCGACTCTTCCTGCTTGTCAGAAGCGCGCGCCCATTTTCCAGAGGCTGCCATGCTGCCCAGGATTGAGTCGTTTCAGTGCCTTGCAGCAGCTTCTGCCGCTGAGAAGCTGACACGCAATCGCGGTCATCGAGCGCCTGAGCGGTTGATGATCTGTACCAATCCCCTAACGAAGTCAACCTGCGGATCGCCTCATGAAATCATATTAACACTCCTTATCAAGTCAGCAGGTCCAGTTGCAGCCCCTGGAACTTCCAAGACCTGTTCCAGGTCGGAGGGCCTCAATGCACCATCGTGCGGACTGGGAAGCTTCGGCCCAAGCAGTGATGACTCAGTGCTGACGTGGAAGGTCGAGGGACCCCAAACAATAGACGCTGTCTGCCATGTGCCGGCATTGCACGCCTATTCACGACAGAGATATTGATGTGTTATGCCTTGCAGTGGTCATCAACGAGACATAAATTCTAGCTGCAAATCGTGTCTATTTCCTAAGTTTCAGTCAGGCCTCACGTAGTTTAACCCGAGAATGTGCTGTTGGGAGCCATTTCTCAACAGTAATCTTGTTTGTTTCTTTTTTTCTTTGAAAACGGTTTTCTTCAATGGATTTGATTCATCATTCCAGCAAGTTAAGACAATTCTAATGGGACGTTTGTCCCTCTCGAAACCGAACTCATTTTCATTCATTCATTAAAGGCTAGTGGGTCCAACTAAGCCCGAAGCAGCCCCACCACGACTTGCACATCTTCAGCTCCACAGTGGAAAGCCAGCCGGCAGCGGTGAAGGAAGTTCCTGCCACGGGTTCTTATGTAGGCTTCGAAGCAGGTTCGAGACCAGTAGCAATGGGTAGACAATGGTCAATGAGCCGCTCTTGGGGTACGTGCCGTGATCTTCTACAGCATTCATGCTTTCTAAAAAGCATTCTTCTTCCTGGCTTGTTGCTTCATGTCGCTACCGTATTGGGATCTTCTGGGTACACGTATGCGTGAACAACGTGGGGACAAGCAAAGGCTGAACCACAGTGACGAACCAGGGCGTCAACCCCCCCTCCCCGGTGAAGTGAGGCAGTTGCCGTCCTGGGGCACCACTGCAAGGCATTGAAGAATGTAGTTTCAGCTGTGTACTTCCCATCGCACACCTCGGTTGAAGCACAGCCTCTCATTCAGTGTTCAACGATGTCGTTGAGCACCCTCGGCGCAGCAGTCAGATCACATTCCAATGCAGGCCGGAGAACAACTGCATGGCCCAAGTGGGCTGATTGTGTCCGAATCTGGTGACGTCTTCCAGTTCGTATGGAGAAAAGAAGCACGCTTAGAGCCTCCGGGTAAGGCTTGTGGATCCAGCAGTTCCATGCCGTCCAAATCTAAGAAGGGTGGAAATCAAAGCCTTGTGGAATCCAATCCAAAAGGATGCCATAGAGGCAGAACTACTTGGACAAATCCGTTGCAAGCAGCCGCTACCACATCTGCCACAGTTATTACAGTCAAGGCCTCTCCGCGTCGCGCACAGTGTGCCACGACCTTCAGATCTGTGATGGAGGCTTTTCCTTGCGAACCGACCTGGGGCCAGATACAGAAGAAATTCAGTGGCTTGTGCTCAAAGCACTGTCTGTGCACCAACCCTCGCCTGGCTGAGTGCTGACACTCGTCGGTTCCAAAAAACTCTCGCACCGATGGATTGCAGCTCCACCGGTGTCCAGCCATAACAAAGAGATGCCTCAGCAGCGGGGCAGGAAGCGGGCTCAGCTCCCGAGGAGAGAAGTGTCTGTCTATGTATATTAATTTGGCACAAGGCGCATATTCACGGGCGAAGTGTCCGGTGACCAGCTGCTGCTGCAGGTCCCAGAAAGTTTTGAAGCTTGTAGCGCAGGTGAGCAATCCCGAGCTTGGGATATCGAGACGGTGAAGAAACCTGCGCAGACCCTCTCATAGCGTGTTTCCCAACGCACGGGGCTCAAACCAGCCGGAGGTACCCACGAGAATGCCCAGCATCTAAGAGGATGGGATGACGCCGGTGCTTGAAGAAGGCCTGGTCCACAGTGAAGCTTGGCTTTTGCTTTAAGGGAGAGGGAATCTGATCCAGGGAGCCTGCAGGAAGGTTGAGAGCAAGAGGCGATGCTCTGAAGTGCCTGCAATGCCCTGGAACATCTCGCTGTCTGCGTCCAGGGAATCTGCGAAGGAAGAATGCTGGAAAGATCGTATGAGAGATTATGAGAGATTGAAAGCTTGAACCGCAGTTTTGAGTCTAAAAACGCGCAAGGACCGTCAATAACTGTCGCCAGCCGGCCTTCGGTGTCCACTTGCCAGCCAGGCGGCTTTTGAATGACGACGAAGCCAGCAGCTTCCAGAACAACTCCTGCCGTGGTGAACGGCGCAACATCGAATTATGCGGGTGCAGCGGCTTAGCGTAGACATGCACTGCAGGGGATGTCCAGGCTCTGCAAGCGTCAAGCTGCTCTGAGGGGTCGGGCCCAGACCTGCCTTAACATTGACGTGATTGAATGAAATCGTTCTGTGTCATTTTGCCATCATCTTGCACTGCCGATTGAAAGCTTGCGGCAAAGCAGCGGAAATACAGGAACCGAGCTGGGCATCAAGCTCTTCCTCGGGCAAAAAGCGACTGCGACTCGCTTTCAAAGAAAATCCACGAATCCACAAAGGATTGTGCAAAGGGATGTTTTTTTCAAACCCTCAACCCTTGTAAAGGGACTTTTTGGGGCACTCACACCTTCCACCAAGGCTCGCCTAAGCTTGGGAAGGCTTCTCGTGCTCGTGCCCGCGTAAGATCGGTTAAGCACTCGCTGAAATCCATTGCCCACAGCAGTCTCCTCTGTGGAGAAGACAGAGTCAGACATTCCGTTACTTTGCGTTGACACTTGACACCGGCCAGGACACAATCTTGCAAACAAAGGCCGAGTATGATCTTGCCATAAAGCAGCCCACAAGAAACCAACCTTCCCGGCCAAGGTCCCTGAGAGTTCAATACTTTTCACTTCTTTGCCATGATTCTGATTATCCCACCCCTTTGCCTCGGGTAAGCACAATGTGGCCCTTGAGCTCCTTAGTGAAAGCGGCCTCTCGGCTTCGCTTTCATTAGGTTACTAGCTCCTTGGACGGACTCCCACATGCTAGCTAAGTGGGAACCCCCCACTTGTCTAATTGCCGTCGCTTCATGACACAAACCTTTCCAACGATTGGTCGTGCATGTTGTTCTCCTGAGATGATCCGCATGCTCTGTCAGCTGCTGAGGCGAGTCTGCCATCAATTGCCACATCTCGAGGCCCTGCCGCAACCGTGTCTGTGCGGCCAAGAACAGCTCCTCATCCAAGGCTGATTGTTGTTTCATTGCTGTTGCTCAGGAGCTTTGCATATGATGCACTGTAAAGACAAGGTCGCGTGGCGTCCTTGCTGGGAACACTCGTCACGGCAAAAGACCACACGAGATCTGAGAAGCCCTGATCAGTGAAGTCGTCCAGCATCTTCGTCGACTTTCGCGCGATCTTGCCAAAAAGATCTGCATCTGCAGTGCCACTTGTTGCCTAGGGTGTGAGTGCTTTCTGAAAAATCAAAGCAAATAGGCAAACCACGGTACCCCAAAAACTGACAATAACACTACTCCAAGCTGCAAATGCCCATGCAATGTAAGCCAAATCATACGCGGTGAACATTTCCAGCCTCGGTCATGCAACGCTGAGTGCATGTGCATCCTGGTGAGATCCTGGTGAGATCCTTGTGCGCCGTAAGCAGGGTGCTATGCCAGAGTGCACATCAGATAAGGCACTGCTTCTCCACCTCTCGGGCCATCGCGGCGGCAAATGTTTCTGGAAAATGAACAGAAGCCCGCCCCAGTGAGTACGAGAGATTGGCCAACTCAACCTGAGGGAGGAAACCACATGCCATGCGCGTACATCGTGAGATGTGGGATCCTTATATGGCTAACCCGGGACCCAGACTTCACAGTGATTTCACGAGTTTCTGTAGAGATCTTGTTCAGAGTGGCAGGAATGCAATGAATGCTGGAGGGAAGAACACCAAGGTGCGAACCGGCGAGGGCTGTGGGTACTGGGCCGGTTTGGTTTACGCCCATGCACGTGTGCTACTTTGTCCTTCGCAACGAAGAACACGAACGCAGACGACTGAAATGGATCCATGCTGTTGTGCTGTTGCCGGCGAGCTGCAGGCTTGAAATCGGCCATCTTCTCCACAGAGACCCGGCAGATCTCACCGAACAATGCCTCCTGCCCCTCTTGCAGCCCCAGCTTGACGATTGACCACGCCAAGTTCGACAGTTCGACCGGCTTGCACGCAATCACTGAGCCAGATGTGCAATGTTGCAGCAGGGGGCGGAGCAGGTCATCCTCCTTCACTTGCGTCTTCGCGCACGACCACATCACATCGGCCAGGTCGTGGGGAGTCAAGAAAGTGCCCTGGGCGTCTGTCGCTCTGATTGCCTGCCTGGTGACTTTGGCAACAAGCTCCGCTGCGCAGCTCGCACGGGCAAATGACCATGCAAGTTGCGACAGATCCTGCGAAGCTGTCTAAGGCGCGATGTTCTCGTTAAATCAAAAGAAAACAAGCCCAAGCACAAACTACAACGAACTGCTGTGCCTTGGAACTGAAGACTGTCGGCTGGTCCAAACTGGCAGCGGCCACTTCAAACCACTCGGCACCCGAAACTTCCGCTGTGGCCAAGGCCCAGCTGAAATTGCAAAGTTCCTTGCAGAACATACACGATTATAAACAAGTGTATACATGTATGTCGTCTGCATCTATGTGAAAAATGTTTTTTGTACACTGTTACACTGTTGCGATGGACAGCCGGCAGTTGCCTTGCACTCCATTCTCCTGAGCCGTTGATCCCCTCTGCTCAGCGTTGCAACATGCAAAGTATATGCACCCGCCCCCCCTCCCACCCCCCACCCCCCGGGCTACGGCACACCCTGCTGCAGCGCTCCACTAATCGGGCGTGCTGCTGTTGGAGCTCCCATCTCAAACTCCAGCGTCGGCAAAACTCGGCTCGCTTCAGAAAGGGGTTGACCCATGCCCCACCTGTGTGCCAAAGCGCACCCATCTGATGTCATGGGTCAGAAGAAGCGTCCACCGACCCCCGCCTGCCCCCGATTGCGAATTGATGCTTCAAGCCAATGTTCGGTGATGGAGCTAAGTGGTGCAAGTGTACCGAGCGGCAATATCAGTTTGAGAAGATCAGTTGCTTCTGTTGGGTTGGTGCAGATGGAAAGGGGTGGACGAAAAATATCTCTTTGCGATTTTTCATGGCAAGATATCTTTTCTTGCTTTTAAAAAACACATTTTACAAACATTTAAAATTGTAAATGGAGGACCCAAAATGGTTATATTTCAGAATGATACCAACAGTTTTGTCAAAATGGTGGTTTAATGATACAAAAATTATTGAGGAAAAAATATACAGATGGTGATATGATACGTGCAAAACAAAAAGAACATTTTCCGATCATTTCCCCCCAAACGGAGCATTCGATGCACAGGCCGGCGCTTGCTCTACCCGCCCGCTCCCTCTCTCGCTTCCTCTAAGTTCGCATTCGGTCTTCGGAGCCCTCAAAGCACCTGCTCTTCTTATGTTTTCGAACCAGGGTCCTGCGGCTTGAACTCACGTGCTCGCGCCAGTGCACTCTGCAAGAAGCTTCGCATGGCCTGCCTGATCTCTCCTGGGCGTTGTTGAAGGTTAGGGAAGAAGCCTCAAGATGAATGTAGCATACTGCCCATGTTCGAATTGATCTCAGCTGAGCCTCTCCCGGTCGACACACTTGCCTTCAAGTTTCGACAGGCCGATGCTTTTTGCTCGTGGAACCACATCAGCCGTATGAGTGGAATTTTTGGACTGCTGCAAGACGTGTGCGTGCTTGTTATTTTGCGAAGCTATCAAGCAAGGGCACTGTAGCAAATGCCCACGCCATGTTGGCCAGCTCTTGGCAATTGAACTTCTCAGCTGTGGCCACTGCTGGCACGGCGAAGCTGGTGGCCAATGGTTTGGTCAGCATACCTGGGAGTTGACAGCCGAGGCCCTCAAACATCTCTGGACATCTCTTCCGCACAGCAGTCTGTAACAAGGGGGAGCGGCACAGTGTGGCAAACGACCAGGTCAGATTGGAGATCTCCCGCGCGCCTCGGTGAAACAACGGTGTCGGTGCACCATGTCATAGAAATCGGGGGCACGCACATTCTCGCATGCCTGACCTTGCAGCTAAGGAGCGGCATCGGTCGGCGAGCTTAAGGGCTTGGTCTCCGATTTTGTGGCAGGCCCAGGAATCAACCATCGCCAATGCCGCTGCAGACCAAACCACGCTCGACCTTCACGGCACTCTGTTGCAATTTTGGATCAATCTGGGGGCCCCTGCCGCCAGTGACACGCTGCTACTTCCGAGGCTGTGGCAGGCCAGCCACAGAGAATTCCGTGGACCTCCCTGCAGCTGCTTCAAGCAGGGGTTGGGCAAGCCGGCTATCGAGCTTCAACGCCGCGCACGACCACAAACTCTGGGCCAAGTCCTCAGCTCTGCGCTGCACAGAACTGCACAAGATGCCACCGACCAGCCCCAAAACTTCTCCTCGACCACACGCAGCGATATGCGAGCAAGTCGCGACAGCTCCAAACTCCGAGGAGACCTTCCAGACTCAAAGCATAGGCCCTGCACTGCTCCAGCTCACTGTCCCTTTGTGGCATGTCCCCACGATTCCCCAAACCAGCGGTTCTCATACAAGCACCCCAGGCCTCGCTTAACAATGCCGTTGCCAAAGGTACGGAGCACGTGGAACGTAAGCGGCCCAAGGCCCAAGCAGCGTTGGCAATGTCCTGGCGCCACGATGGGTTGCTTGTGCATCCAGGTTGCCCAGCATACTCCTAGACCTCATCCAAAACTCATCAAAACTCCAAGGAATCAGAAACTTCAAGGGGTGGCACAACCAGATTCAGGACTCACCTGGACCCACTGGACCGCCCAAAGGAAGCCACAAGTTGCAGACTGGTGGACCTGCGGGTTGGCACTCCCAGTGTCCAAGAGCAGCTTCACGCTTTCGTCAGCCAGTGTTCTGAGCCGTCCCTGGCCACAAAGCGAGTGAGTTTTGTTGTTTTGCCGTGGGGGTCGTGAGCAACTTCTTCCAAAGGCAAGCACCTGGATCTCCAGTTGAGATGCTGAAGGGAGCCGTGGATGCACTCGGGCGATTGAGAGTGCCAAGCTGCTCAAGGATCTTGGATCGACCTGACTTGAGAAAGGCGTTGTGACCCGAAGCCTCGTCCTCGCTCCATCTCACTCCTACTTCTCCCTGTGCTCATATTCTTTTGAAACCGGCTGTGGGATTCCAAGGCTTTTGACCCTAGCTTGCGGCATGAGGGCTATCGGGGATCGAGGGCGCGCGGCTATGCGCTGCTTCACAGCTGCCAAGTCCTTTCCTTGAAACAAGTCAGATACACGAGACTGCCCCGTGGAATCAGCCTAGATTTTTAAAGTAAGGAGGGGAGAAAAGCCGCAGCGTAAAGCGTCAAGTGCCCAGCCCATCGTTGCAAGCTGGGCTCCGGGCTGCGGTGTGGGGGTCATGCAGCCAGCCTGAAGAACTAGGACTTCAACAGCGTAGCTACTATACCAAAAATGGGGAGAAATATTTTCTTCGTAATTTGGTCGTAGAGGCAAAAGTCACACAAGCACAGGTGATGTGTGCAGCATCTCGCCTTCTAGTGGATCCAGCAGCATCTCCACGGCCGCTTGGAGCTCATCGTCCGTGAGCGCTTGGCTGGCTCTGCCAAGCTGATACAGCAGTGCCCGAGCTCGACCTGGTGGAAGAGCTGGGGCAAAAGGTGTTCCAACCGCAAAAGTCCCCCCTTCTAAGTTCTCTAAGAACCTCTATTCTGCAGCTTTACATCATTGAGCACTTTTTGAGCAAGCCCAAATAGTGTAGAATCTTCAGCAAGAATTCTGGCCTGGCTGCAGCTTCCTTTGTTGCAGCTCTTGGAGAAGGCCTCATGGCAGTGGCTACGTAGTCATGGCGCGAGGACTTCGCATGACCCGATGCGTTTTGGGCAAAATCCCTGCTCAAGAATGGCGAGGCACTCTGTGCAGTGCTTCTTCGCGCGGTCTGCTGTGTCTTTTGTGTCTTTTGTGTCTTTCGCCCACCGCAGCCCAGAGATACGGGAAGAGCAGCACAGAGCGGCACCTTGGTGCAGAAAATCTGTCCAGCCTGACGTGCTGAATTACGTAGCACGGAAGTGCCGAAGTGCAACATCCGTACGATGGACCGTGGGTACATGTGGGTACTTCTGTTCTTAAAGCTGGAATTCGCGCGCCTTCTCCAGCACATCAAAGCGTCGCCGTGTGCAGCCTGGTCGCAGGCCTCATACTCTAATACCACTGACCGCGGAAGATCCCAACAGCGCAGTAAACGCAAGCAGCAGACATGTGTAATTACGGCCATGTTTTCGCTGCTCCAGACCGACTGGCTGATATTTCTTGTCCGACCGACCAGATGGAAGGCGAGAAGCTGGGTCCTAGCTGGACCTTGCTGCTGGTTGGCGGCAGCGAGCACATGTGGAGCCATTGCGAAAGACCTAGCAGCGATGTATGACCACGCCTGTGCTTCGAGCCAGCGCGAGAAAATTTTGGCCAATGTAGCTTATCTTACAGGAGGGTCGGCTTCTCAGCATGCTTCATTCTTTTCTGGCTTGCTGGTTTTGATGTTGCACACAAAGCCCCGCTAAACAAGGCCCCCGCCAGCACATGAGGGCTGGTCAAATAGTTCAGCAGCATTGGATACCTTTCGCAAGGTGGCTGCATGCTGCCTTGCACAGCTTGACAGGCTCTACGCCTGGACATCATTAGAATCATGGGATCTCCTTCTTCAATTATCAACTCCGCCTCGTGTTGCCAGGGAGGCCGCTTACCGTGATGTTGATGATGCGGCCGGTCCTGGCAGAAACCAATTTGTTCAACTTGCGGCGGCACATGGCCTCCAGAAACCTCCAAAAGATGGTCCTGTCGAAGGCCTCCAAGAAAGTAAGATCTCCCATGTTGGCCCTGTTCGGCAGAGTGCTTGGCCCCAATGCCCCAATCTATCCTCCCCGCCGTTGGCGCCGGGTGCCTGAGGATTCGCCCCAAGTGCTCGGAAGAGTAAAGCTCTTGCCCAGTTTTCAGGAAGCGGTTCACGTCCTGCAATGTGGCGCAGGAGGGCATAAACTCAGCTCCGAACAAGCCATGAACAGGAAGCAGAAAGTCAAAAAAAGTGGCAAAGTCCAGGTCTCCAAAGAAGTCGAGGCTAAAGTTCTCGGACCATGAGAAATTCTCCTGAGCAAAAGCTGTGCTGAGGACCAAGGATGCTCTCTGCATCGCGTTGATCATCATTCCGGTACGCTCCAAAGATCTTGCCCAGCCGCATCCCACATTTCCGTCAGCTCCTGAACTTCCCAAAGCCGGAACACCATTCAGAGCTTCCCAGAGCTTGTGGCAGCTAGGCTGCGGACGGCATCGGTCCTCACGCCCAGCATTCCGCACCTATGCCATGGAATGGAATGGAGCCAGAAAAAAGATGGGATCCTGTGGTGTCATCTAAGCTCTGAAGCAACTTGGCGCTACTATGTTGTCGGAAAGACTCTGGGGGTCAGGCACAATCGATCCGGCCGATGTGCCGCTCATGACACGTGGAAGGAGTCCATTGAGGTGCAACGCCTTCCGAGATCCAAAGTTGAAGAGTGCTCTACCTTCACGACGATCTTACACTGTCAAGGTATTCAAGCTCTTTGGCATCACGGTTAGGAAATAGAGATGGCGATTCCTGGTGCATCACCTGCTTCACCTATAAGTCAAGGTGTGATGCAAGTGGTCGATCTGCAAGTGAACTAAACTTCTGCTTGTAGACCATCTCTTCTCAGATGTGGGCTGTAGATTCACGGCCCAGTTTCATCTGTATGCTTCTCTTAACTGCTACGCTTGGTTTTTTTGGGGTCCCTGTTGTGATACAGCCCCTATTGCCGTGCAATCACTTTGGAACCCCCAAAGGGACCGGCATTCAGCGAAGTGACCCCACGACCATGGCAAGGATGTTGCCCAAACTTGCGCAACCCCAAACCCTGCGGAGGCAACCCTCCTGAATAGGCGGCCTTCACCACCCCGAAGTGGTACATGCCAACCTGCCAGTTGCCATACACACGGTCAGTCCTCAAACTGTCTTTTTTGCAGTCCCCCTTCGGCTCCTGTAAACATGGAACCGAGATGTAGAGCAGTGACCAGTTGTGTTCCAGGAGGTGTACCAATTCTTGGACTGCAGGTTGCATTACGTTCTAAGCCGCGTGCTGATGCACCGCCGGAGAGCAGCAGGGCACTGCGGCCAAAGCCATGCTTAGTCCTGAACCATTGCAACAGTTGCAACAATCTCGGCCACCACATTCCGGTCACAACTCTCAGCTTCGGTCTCATTGAAGAACGCTAGGCGCTCGTGAATGGCATCCTGCCGAGCAAAGCGATGCTTTCACGTCCTTCTCAAGTGCACCCGACAAAGATGCGGGAACCACGTGCTTCCTTCTTGGCGTGAGGGTCCGTTCGCGCTTTCGGGGAGGCATTGTAGGAAAATCCCACCCACGCCATGGCCTTGCAAGTGGGCATATTGGATCCACTGATGCTTGCTTGGAGCCCTGTCTGCCTCACACACAGTTGCGACGTAATCCTCAATCACCACTTTCGTGCCAGTGTTGCACACCTGGTGCGCCAGGATTGCCAGGCAAGGGCTGGCAGGAAGAGGTGCCCAACAGGCCTGAAAGAGTGCCGGGTTGCAAATCCCGAAGTGCTTTCTCAGAAGCTCTCCGCGTAAAGCCTCAGCGAAAAACCAGGCTTCTTTTCTGCACGTAGAGAGGGATGCTGCCAACTACAACCAGAGCAACGAAGCTGCATATCCCTGGACGAGACCCTTCTCACCAGGTGCCCAGAAGGCTTCCAGAAAACTTTACCCTCCTGACATGGGGCCTTGATTATTTGCATTCTGCGAAGAAAACCGCTGACAAAGCAATCAGCTCAGATCCCAGCATACATGCAGGCATCCACGTCGCCCCGGGCCTGTAGCATGGGCCCACACTGGAGATCTAGCATCTGTGTGTCTGGAAAAATGGTCGGGTCCATTTCTCAAGTTCCGGACCATCATTTGTCGGTATCTCTCGGTGCGCTCTCCTTGGCATTCAGCCACTTGCCGCTGGTGCCTCTGGAAAGACTGGTCCGAGCCAAGCGGCTCAAGTGCTGCGAGTCGAAGAGCGGAGAATTGTCATCGCCTGGGCTGTGGCACAAAACCAAATTGCGGCATCGACTTTTTGACTATGTTGACCTGAGGCGTAAGCGCTTCCACTTGTCCTTTCCTTCTGCTATATCCAGCTTCTCGCCCACACTTTGGAAGGTGGTATAGTCGATGCTCTTCCTAGTCCAGTGCATGGAGGGCACATTGACTTGGCAACTCTGCAACATCTGTTGTCATGGCTCTGTTCTGCAGGCGCAACATTGGCGATCTCTGGCAGAGAACGACATGAAGAACCTTTCACTTGCCCCTCCTCCTTGCTCGCTTGAGTTCTTCCTTCATCGCCTGACCACTCTGCCAACTCCGGCCAGTGCCAGTTCACAGCCATGCCCAGCCTGTCGCTTGTTCACGAAGGAGAACTTTCCGGATAAAGCTCGAAGCCATTTGCGCGCTTGCCACAGCCTGAAGAGGTCCGCCCACTCCGCAGGGATACATGCTGGATACATGCTGGTTACATAAGCCGAGCTCGGCTTCCAGCGAGTGTCGCGCAATGATCAGCACCGCGAGTGCGGCCAACTGCCGCAAAAACACCTCTACACCAAGAGGTGCTGTGCTCTGGGCTCCTCTCTCGGCAGGTCAAGAGTCAGCGAAAGTGCGCAGGATGAGCGAAGGCCTCCGGAGCTAAGACGCGCAAGCAAAGCTTTAACCTCAGCTGGTGGTCGAAGGTGAGGAGGGCACGGAGACTAGGAACCACGCTTCAGGGATCCGACGTGATCAGCAGCACGCGAGCGGTCGCTGACGAAGCGACCGTCTTCGAAACAATCCTTGATAGCGATTTCGCGCTATATGACTCATGTTGGTCAAAACCTTACGTGTTCGAACTTTCTGCCAGATGCGCAAACTGCTGCAGAGCTTCTCCATGGCTTAGGAACACGGCTGCATATGGACAGAATATTACCTGCACCCTTTGTAGCTGTGTGGATGGTGCTAGTGGCATCGCACTTGACCTGCAGCCTCTGGATGCTCGCTTGAAAGTTCGATGGCAGTGCATTCTAGCTGGCATGCAAGCTTCCTGATCGGCGTGCAGCTACAGAGCTACAAAGTCACGGCCCGGCTTCGTCCATGTCATGCCTTCCTACCTCTTTGAGCCATAGAGCTTGCAGCGGTCGACGGGCCGCTTGGATGATTACCCCTGCAAAGGTGCCCCTCAAATGCATGTCTTGTGAAGTCAACTGTGAATGCAGCGATACGCACCTTTTCTTTTGGCATGCCTGTCGAGGGCGAACTGGGTGCACAAGTTGCCTGCGACTGAATCTGCATATTCCGCTCGTCTTATCTGGTGCCAGAAGGTGACTTAATCCGGTTTTGGCCTCAAAGGCGAAGGACAAGTAGACAGCTCAGTTGAAGGAATTCTTGGAGCCTCAAGCGCAGCACAAGCACAAGTCTCACGTCCCTCGTCGGTTTCCGGAAAGTGAAGGTGCCAACGGTCGCAACTAAACTATGGAGCCCATCCGAGGTAGGGAAGCGGACATTCATAGCCTGGAACTACAATCTTCAACACCTCCCCACCCCAAACCCACACCACTGCACCCCTCTGAGGCTCAGGCCCGTCCAGCGCGCCAAGTACTCATTGCCTTGTCCTGGACCCACAGACCTTAGTGTTTTTTCGCATTTTTGCGAATAGGAGCTGGTGAGATTGCTGGGGGGGGGGGAGGGGAAGGGAGGGGAGAGGGGAGTGGGCCATTGCTTGGCATTCTGTTGTGGGGTGCATGGGTTGCACTCCCAAGGTTGCCAAGGTTGCTGCCCTTTCAGGCGCTTGTCCTCCTTGGGCTTTGGTTCGAAGGACCGACAGTTCTTGTACCTCCGAGTTGACATGCCCGCATTGCCACTGCTTCTTTGGAATCTCCATTTCAGCCCCCGAGTGCCTGTCAAAGAACTGCTGCGTGTAGCCACCTCAGACAAGAAAACACTGTAGAATGTACAGAGTGTTGACTTGCTATTCCTTATCTGCTTGGCAACAGTTAGCATTTACATGTCTTGCTTGCACTGTGGTGGATGCCAGAGGAAAGGTGCAAGCGAGGACACATAGCTGAACATGTGCGCTTATTCTAAGATCCTTCGGCTGAGGTTCCTGCCCTGTCCGCCCTCGTTCCAGTTTCGCCATCGTGCGCGCTCCTGCGTGCAATACGGACCAAACCGTTCTGCCAATCACGTGCCTCGGCGAGCCCCGATTTCAGCCGCTGCGCTCGCAGCACGCGCCGTGGAAGCAGCTGTACATCGACGCTGGTCCTATAGGCCATCATGACGCAGTACGATGGTCATTCCCATAGAACGGCTGCATGGAAAATGGCCGAAACATCTATGCCACGCTTGCTCAAGTCCGGCCAACAGTGCAGAGCAGGCAGCAGGCCACGACGATGTAAAAAACTCTATGGTTTAAAGGTATTCATCTGCCTCCCGCTATACTCCGAAGACTTGTTTGCTGTTGCCGCCGCCCGCTGCAGCAGCTTGTCTCAACAAAGGTCGGACCTGTTGGCGGGGGACTTGCATCACACCACACATTGGCACGCGAAGGGAGGCATGTCTCTGCCGTGCGCTCCTTGAACTCTTGAATTGCAGGCATTTGTTGCCCTTTATGGGCCACCCTTTGGGCCGTACTCCCACTCGAATCAGTCTCCCATCTCCTTCACTGGTATCCGCACAGGCTCTGCCTGGAGACCAGACTAGGTGCGAAGAATACGGACTACTAGCTGGGCAGCAGGCGCAGGGTTTGCACTCGATGCTCAAACTCATGTGGGCACAGGTTGGAGCCAGATGTCATAAACCCCACGTGCCACTCATCGCAGTCATTGCGTAATGCCTCTTCCCCGCGCAGTGCCTCCTTGAGGTCTTGCTGAGCGTCTTCTGGCTCATGTGGAGGTTCATGCTCGTGCGCCTCGTGCGCCCCGTGCGCCTCGTGCGCCTGAACAAAAGCATCAATGTTTCTGCAGTTTCCTAACCTCCTGGCATCTCCTGGAAGTACATGTATGTTTCTCGGTTGTAGTGTGCGGATCAGAGGTACCGGCTGTTGCTTTGAGATTCCCATTCTTCGGCCTCATGGGCCTCGTGGCTGCGGTTAGCACCGTCAGGACGTTCTTCGTCGCCGCCGGCGTCTGAAGCCTTGGAGGTGGGCTTTGGGATTAAAGCTATTTGATTGCAGGGCTGCAAGGACTTGTCGGGTTTGTGGACAGTCTCGTGAAGACAAATCTTGCGTGCCTCGGTGTGCCAAGCCCTCTTTCACAGACTGGTACTTCGGCATTTTTCAGCATGATGTTCTGATCTACACTGCTGCACGGTTTCTGGGTCGCAAGTCAGCCTTCTGCGTGCGCGCATTCGTCATGGCGGAACTCGCGTCCGATGAGAGGATTCGTTCTGGGTTCTTGTTAAGGCGCTGAACTTATCGAAGTGTACCTAATTTGCAGTCTTCTTGGGAATCGCTCCAGTCACCCGCCCCGCCACCCCCCCCCCCCCCCCCCCCCCCCCCCCCCCAATTTCTGTCCCATGTCACCCTGAGCTGAGGCCAGCTCTGGAGCGCCTGTCAAAGACCGGATGAGCTCAAGACATGGCAAGAATGAGGTGCCTACTGCTGGGGGCTACCCATAAAGGGATCATGCGACATACGTGGGGCATCGTGGGGCAGAGAGGGGGCTGTCCTATGTTGGGACATACCAACACCTTAGTCTTGATCGACCGAAAGCCCTGAAGCCACGTGACGCTCTGTGCCCAGCCTGCTTCGGGCTCCTCATCTTTCCGTGCGGCGGTCTCCTTTCAAATTGTCGATTTAAGCATCTCTCAAGCCTTAAGCGTCTCAACCTTGGTTTGTAGGGCGGCTGGGTGGGGGGGGTCTTCTCTCACCTTTTACAAAAAGGGGGGAGCTGGGTAACCTGCTGAGGCTCTTTGAGTCCAGGCCACAGCTCAGTGGGATCAGGTTGCGGTTTCTTGATCTTAGTTTACTCACTCCCTTCAACTGCAACTGGGCACGGGTAAGTGCGCTGGAATGTGCGGCTGTCAAGCTGGCAGCCCGCACGGCTGCAGATTCCAACTTCGGAACTTCGAGTACACGATAGTTACTGTTGAATTCTCGACATGCGATGTGTTGAGGGTCGCCCGAAGCAGTGAAACATCGGGCTTCGCCGCCAAAGAGCCACAAAGCCCTTTAAGCCCTACTTCCTGAAACGCCCCCAAAGTTTGAGTTAACACACCACGTGGACCAGTGCCACCCATCCTCCACCGCCCGGAGTTCTACCTGGCGCTTCAGCGCAGAGCATGCAGACAGCTTCGGGTTTAGGGCCCTTAGATGGGCTCACGATTCTTCTGGTTCTCTCTGGGATTCTGTTCTCGAGAGCCGCGAAGGGTTCTTCGGAAAGATACGCTGGCCCTGCTCTACACCACACCAAGCACACCACGACACTGCACTCCCGCACCACCTACACCACCACCACCTACATGCACTACCGTACCACCTACACCACCACTACTACACCGCTTCTATTTAATTCTTTTCTTATATCTTTGCCTGGGGTAGGTTTGGTGGGGGCCAGCGCGACGCGCCCCTCTGTCTAATGTTTTTTCCTGTAACATTCTGCATGACAAGAAAAGCAGAAGCAATGTCTGGCCTTTTTTGACCCGGATTTGAATCACCAAAGGAGTGTTTTTTGAGGAGATGCGAAAAGTCAGAACGCAACAGAACACAGACCACCAACTTCTCATTCAGGGGGAAAACATGAGCAGAATTCTAGGGTCGGAACAAAGGCAGGTATTTCATGGGTTGATGCACACCGCTTGGACATTGGAAGGGAGGGAGAGACCCTGCAACCATGCATCTTACTGTAGACAGACACAGATTAGATATTGATGTATATGTACTAAGACATCCATGGTGTAAAACAATACAGCAGATTAGACAACATCTGTTTGCCTCAGCTGCTTCCAAGACCTCTTTGAGGCTGCGCGGGTCGCCTTCGGCCTTAGTGTTCAACTGCCCAGGGTTTGACGGCACCCACGATCAGCGGAATCGAACCCGGGACCGGACATCGGGGTTCTGGTGTTGAGCCTCCAAGCAGCAGTACAATCGTGGCTCTACGCAGTGACATTCTTCGCATGATTTGATCATCCCATCTCCCGCCTCGGCATCTACTTCCTTGTGGCTTTCGACCTCTTGCTAGACTGACTCAGGTACATCTCAACGCATTGCGTCGACGAGACTAAGTCAGGAACATCTCTGTCGTAGTCCCCAGTCTTTCGCTCGGGCCTTTGCGCTGTGGCAAAAAACATACTCTTCAGCATTCGCCTTTCCGGTTTTAGGAAACAGGCCCTCCTGTTCCTCATGCCAATGCCATGCCTGCGGCCGAGCATCTCAGAGTCAGCCTCCTCCCACTCCCCGGCGACGTCGTGGACCTAACGATGGACATCGCAAGCGAACACAGGCCCGCGCTTGTGATGCCTCGTCTCGGGGGTTTTAGAAACCATGAGGGTAAGTAAGGCAGAGGCCATCGCATCGACGTCTTCTGGAAGAGCCTGCGACCATGCTCTTGAACTCTTGGGCCTAAATGCCTAAATGGTCTGAGACCTTTGGCCAGCCTCGCCTGGCCAGTCCGCACATCGCTGCTTCTCTGGATTGCCTGCACAGTGCTGCCGCCATCTTTAAAACATGGCCGAGCAAGGCTGAGCAGATGTCCGTTCTCTGCCTGCTCCAGCAGCTGCTTCTGCTTCTCCTTTGCCTGCTGCATCTCTTTGGCCGTTTTGGCCTGTTCCTGCGACCGATCGTGGATTCTGAGTAGCCGCATCCCACAGATAAAGCGAGACTAGCCTCCTTCTGCTCTCTGAGCTCCCGCTCGCGCCTTGCTACGAGTATGAGGGCACTCTACCATGATGGCACAAGCTGTTATGCAATCCGATAATCTGAGGGCAAGGCTGCTTGATGTCTTTTTCCCTTTGTCGCAAGACCTGCCGCCAGCTGGAAAAACGCCATGCCATTGTGGTGCTCGCGGCAATGCTAAGGTCGAGCGAATCTGGAAGGTGTGTCTGGGAGTGGAGCAAAAATACGCGGCGCCAAACAACTGCGCCCCAGCTGGCTCTCAGCTGTTCCACGGAACAAATCCCTGGACAACACAGTGATGCCTGTCAATGACGGCCAATAGTCGTGGCTTTGCCCAATCCAGTAGACAAGCCGTGCCGTCCACTTCCGAAATCGTCACGGCATGAGCTTTCACACTCACTTAGTAGTAGCCATCCGGTTTGTAGCCCCCCGAGATCCGGAGCCTTAAAAGCCATCAGTGGCACAAACTGTTGCGGCCTCTTCTCGGGACTCCAGCTGCGACTCCCGAGGGCTATTGAAAGGCTCCTGCAAGCGAAAACTGCTCAAAAGGTGCAGCTTTGCACCCAAACCCCAGCAGCAAGGTGTCCGAGAAGATCGGAAAGCCCACGGCTCGGCTGCCTCAAAGCAGCTCCCAGAGCACTTCTTCGATACATTCATAGATTCTGTCAAGGCCTCCTCCAGTCTGGGGATTTCCTTACATTCAAAAAGACTTTTTGACTCTCGGACTCTGCTGGCACGCCCTAAACTCAGTGCTGGCAAAAGGGCGGTCTGTGATTGACGCAAAAGCCGCGTCATGCCTCGCTATGAAACGTGGACAGCATCTCATTCCTTGAGGCTTCTTTTCCTGAGCCCCTGGCTTATAGACGATCTGAGAACATCGCTCCAACACCTGAGAGTTTGGCTGGCTTCGTCGCTCGCACCAAGGACGAGACATGGATTCCGGGAAACAACTACCGAGGCTTCTGACATCAAGCCAGCAACAACATACTAAGAGCAACAAAACCCACTTTCCGGTTGTGGGACTTCGGGTTTAGGGCAGCAAAAGAGTCGACCAGGGATCACACGGACTGCTGGATCGCCGTATACGCCGCCAATCGAATGCCCTGCAGATCATTATATGTAGTTGTACATAGTTGTATAGAATTCCACACCTCTCTAAATTTGAATACTACATATTACATATACATACGAATAATCTTTTCATCAATGGACATCCATTTTGACGTTAACAGTTTGGAATAAGTATCTATATGTATACACCTGTAACATATGCGTATATATATATATGTATATCATATATCATATCATATCATATCATATCATATCATATCATATCATATCATATCATATCATATATATATATATTCATTTATGTCCCTGGAGTGCCCAACCCAGAGTATCTCTACCAAGAAAGGGTGGGGATGTTCGAAGTAAAATAATTCATTTATTTATAATTATTATTTAGGGGGTCATGAGCCAAGGCCCTCAATTAGACACAGCACTTGTGGCCTCGATGCTTGGCTTTGTGTAGCAGGACAGCCAGATGGAAGCCTTGAGTTTTTCAGCGGGCAGCGGTCGCCCTTCTGCTACGCGAGCTCAGCAATCGAACTGTTGAGAGGCTCAGCCAAAAGGGACCCCTTCTTGTTGATTTTGAACCCTGAGCTCTGATGGCCCAGATCCCTACGCCCTTTCGACCCTCAACTGTGAAAGGCCCTGGCCGCGTATTCGCCCAAGCCCCTCCATCGCACTAAGCGGTGCCTCGGCGTAGCTGCATGCGTTCCTTGCGCCAAGATCTCGTCCCCACGATCAAGGGCCCTGCTGGATGTTGTCAATGTCTTCGTGTTCGTTGATCATATCCTGTAACCAGGCAAGGCTAAGGCAAGCACTTACCAGATCAAGAATCGCAACTGCTCCTGCATGTCCCGGACAATCTGGGGAATCTTCGGGATGTCTTGCAGCCTGTGCAAGCAACGGCTTCTGTCCACACTGAGGGCTCCAGGTCTAGGATCCTAAACAGTCCTGAAGCCCTAAGCCTAAACCGTCTCCAACCTCAAATCCATAGCCTTTCCTTGATGTGCCTAGATGACCCCTTTGCAACTCTTCCCGGATCCGGCCTCATGTTCAGGTCATACTTGATTCTGCGATGCGTCATGCGGGAGTTGTTCTGCACATTCATTGACCTTAGGTGGCCCTATGCAAGAATCTGTTGTGGGCAACATGTTGCAGGTGGCTGCCCAATGCGGTTTCCTGAGGTGTGGGCATGAGCTTGTAGTTTGGTACGTAGATGGGCCGCTTGTCCCATTGCACAATCTAGCATCGGTGAGCAGTTGCTGAACAAAAGATACTTTGCAACACTCTTTCATAGGTCCTAGTCGACGACTCTCGTCTGGCAATGGGCCTTCGTGTAAAAAGTTCCCACATCTTGAACCCATCCGTCCTGCCACAACAGCCCGCGGGGTGTTTGCACAAGCAGCCGGTGGCATGTGCATACCACTTCAATTAACCAGCGCATGTCGGCCGAGAACATGCCCGAGGCGCTATGGATGTACCATCCAGGGATACCCAATCCCCTGCGCAACTGCGGTGCTTCACTGAGTTTACTGCCATGCTTTCATAGGTTTGCCAGGCCCGGCCTTGAGCAAACGGCTGTGTCAAATGCAGAACAACTCCGCTGATCCTTGGCTTGGCATGCTTGGCGTACACTGCACGACTATTTGTGCACCGGCCCTTGGGGCCCGCGCAGCCAGATGCAACATTTATCGGGTATCAGGCGACGCATTCAACAAAGCATGCTTCGAACCAAGAGGCATGTTGGCAACGATCTCACGACCGACCCAACCTGAGCCAGGTGCACCAACCTGTCAGAGGATGATGACTGCTGACAGTTCTGAGTTCCCAGCCGATCACTACTGCTGTCGTCCCTGGGATCCTGGTGAAAGCAGCAGATGCGTCGGCTGAGTGATGCTGCAAAATGCCACTGTATCACTATGTGAGCAGCCAAGGGCTACACAGAAGCAATCGTCCAATCCGGATGCCAGCGTGGTAGAGCCTTGAATTGCAGATTGCCATCGCAAGGCTCATGGCGAGGCATCGGCGGCAAAACGGGACGCCGGCACAGCAAAAAGGTACATGCTCCACACAAGAACCTCCACTTTTGTATGCAACGAAAGGCAAGACTTTCCAGAAAGAGAGCGGGCGCTAATTTGAAGGCTGTGCATGCTCTTCGTTCACGAAGCTGGCCTTCAACGCAGTCGCCATGGCATTGATCCGAGCTTCCTGCAAACTCGACCTGCGTCGTAGCAGCACAACCGACGTCCGGAATGGCTTCCGTCGTAGCTTGGGCTGTTGCTGCACGCCCATCACGTCGCTGAGTTCAGCTCGACCCCGTGAGCGACGAGCTCCCCACCTCGCCAGTGTCGCGCGAAATCGAGTGGGTCTTGGCTTTCTGGTAGCACCACCGAGTGCCCAACAACTGCACCACCCGGTTTGCAAACCTGTAGGGGTCGCGCAGCTTTCGAACAGCTGCAAGCTAGGGGCATTCTATGGATCGTGATCTAAGAGCAAGACCATGCAATAGCAGTCCAGCTAGGAATGCAGAGGAGCCTGTGGCCGCAGCAAAACGTGGCAGCAGGCAGATGAAGGGCGTTGATGATGTTTCTCGTTTCCGGGCTTCTTCTTTCTCGTGCCGGAAATACTTTGAGCCAGCAACCCTCAGAGTCCTCAGAGCAACAGAGCAGAACTCAGAGGTTGTGGCTTCTCAAAGGCTGTCCGGTAGAAGGCAAACTCTCGCCGAGACCTTCACTAAATCTGCGAAATCCAGATGCATCGTGATCCCCAGCCACAACAAAGGAGCCATAGCACGTCTTAGCACCGCGCCAGATATCCAGGAGGGGGTCCTTCATCGCTTGAAGGGCCAGGGTCGACCTGGGTTTCCAAGTTGTTGCTATCTGGCTGACTGTATCTGACTGTCCACACCTGGCAAGCATGGAGTGTTTAGGCTAGGCTCGGCTAGATCTGCGCCTGGGGCCGCTGCCATCCCCACAAAAGCACTGGGCCTGGCACACAGCAGACACCCTGGTGCCTACTACAGAAAGTGCCCAGAGCAACCCACCCCATCATGCGTCCTAGCGAGCCACATTTTTCGTGAGTCAGCCGTGTGGCCTTGCGCTCTTCGAAGGATTTCCAACGACAAGTCCCAAATGCGCTTCCTCACAAGGAGCCATATCGACACCAGTATACACGGTCACACCTCCTCTGACATCCGTAGTGCCACGGTATACATATGTATGGATGTGTGTATACGTACTATATCAACCATGGCATCTCCCGAAGATCTGTCCGCAGCATTGTGTATCTGAACATCACCAAGGGCACGCGGCAGCGTTTCAGCGATATCGGAGTGCTCTCCGCGAGGACGCTCACTAATTGGCATGATGTAACATAGGGCGTGGGAGAATTTAGTAAGCTGAACGCCCCGATCCTAAGCTTGACATGTGCAAGGGGCCAGTGCGTCCATTGCTTCGCAGACAGCCAGCCACGCCTGGCATGCATTGGCACGCATGTCTTGCTACAACCTGCGTCCATCGATCGAGCTTCCCACACTTGCCACCACCTATCAAACCCTAAACCCTTTTTGCAGCAGGACTCCTCACCATTGCCAGCCCTAAACCCCAAACCCTAAACCCTCTTGCCTTTCAGATCTGTCACGCGGTGGCCGGGTTCTCAGTGTCAGCGGTGGCTCCGCTGCTTGAAGCTCCTGCAGACAGGCTCGGGTCTGCAGCGTGTACCAAGGTCCCTGCAGATCACACGCACGGCGGGGTCCTTCCAGGAGTTCAAGACCTGGGGCGTCCAGTCCAACCCTACACATCCCGCTAAACTCCTAAACCTAAAGTCGCAAGATCATGCGCAACTTGCAGGCAGCCTTGGTCCCTTCTGGAATTATTCTATCGCTCTCCAGCTCGAGGTCGCTTTGAAGGACAGGGCCTTCTTCTAAAGCCTCCTGGGCCACGACGGATACTTTGGCACTGTAGAAGCTGCGTAATGAGTTGTAGAGTACGGCTTCAAACGCATCTGCTCGTCCCCCCCACTCTCAATGGTTCAAAAGCACAGCCACAGCATGGGCACCTTCACCGAGTAGATCTCGTCAGCTGTCAGTAGCCTTGGAGGTCGAAGCTTCATAAAAGCATCCTCAAAAGCATACTGAGCCATAAACTCATAAACGTTTAAAACATGCAGCTCGGAGCTGAACTTGAGCTTCTTCGCTGCCAGACGTCTCCAAAGCCTGCGCCTCAACAGCACGCAGCGGTTCATCGTGGATCTGAGGCTTGGCAGAGTCCACCCCATCGCAGCAAGTATGAGACCCTGAGCCCTGCTCAGCTTTTCATCTACATGCCATTGCTAGGTCCTTGGTGCCCCATGTTTCAGGGAACCTATCTCTCAGCAAGTTCTGAAGCCGAGGAAAGCCGTCTCACCAGTTTCATCAATATCTTCTGTCGAAGGGAACGGAGCAAGAAGGCAATTGCTCGCATGGAAAGCCGCCCTCCAAACCTTTGGCTTCGGTGGTGTTGATCTCGGCCGTTCGACGAGCAGATATCCTTTGCCAGAGCCTGCACTCGAGGACCTTCAGAGTCCCCACGCCGGAATCTGAAGAACGTGCAACAGCCAACATGGTACTCGAAGGTTTGCATGGCTGGTCGGTACAGCAAGGTCTGAGTCCAAAAGCAGCAGTGAACCACATCATCGAAGAGCTCCCCCTGGTTCATGCAGATGAACGTCTACGTCAAGCTAGGCAAAAAGCAAAATAAAAAGCATGCGACTACCGTATATGCCGCATGCCAGAAAGCTTGGCCGCGCCGAGCTGGATTGCTTCCTCCCTTCGAAGTATTCGTGCATGCAGCGGGTTCTGTCGGTGTGCCGTAGCGCTTGCTTGAAGGCGCCGCTCACAGACAGGCAGCTTTCCAGCCACCGATGCGCGCGGCGGAAAGTCGACCCGAGGAGACTTTGGGCCAGCCAGCATATCCCAAGGGGAGCACGCCACATCTGTGGGTTGAACTCTTCTTCGCAACTGTCCAGGCGATCCTGGGTTGATCTGCTGGTCCGCTGGTCCCCCTGAATGTTTGCAAGCTTTTGGGCTGCCAAGTAGGGGCATCCTGCCTACTCTAGAAGCAGGGACTCCGACAAGAGCCTCAGCAAGTGGAGCACTTGAGCCAAGAGCCGATCGAACGGGAAATGCGCTTGGCAGCTGCCGTGGACAAGGTTTCGGGTATCCACGCTTGGTGTGCTTCTCGATGTGTGCGTGTCAATCTGAAACTTCGCAACTCCCAACATCACTTCGTATTGTCCAAGGCGGCCACCCCGCATGGAAAACCTGAGAGGAAGCTTTCAGCTGCTTTTAAGACCCAACTCTGCAACAAATACATATCTCCGATCTTGAGGATGGAGCCCGAGGTACCAAGCGGTACTGCACGAAGAGCAGAAGCACGACCTGCAAAAGTTGGAAGCATTCCCCCGAACTGCCTCTTCCGGGACACACCGCTGAGGCTGAGGCTTTCGTCCATCTAACCGTCAGGGTCCTGACCATCCGGCAGGTAGACATGAGAGACCACAGCAAGCAGCGCCACAGGCTGTAGCCACAGCCCCGAGCAGTCCTTACTGCCTTCTTGGCAGCAGGACCTGGAATTGCTGCCAAAGAGCCTGGGAGGGCCAAATTTCTTGCTGCAGGCAGCTGCCCTCTCAGACCTCTCAACTTCCCTGGCCTTCCAAATGGCGCCGTGGTACCAGTGTGCGCCTGCCCGATTTCGACACACTTCAACAACCCAACAACCGCGCAAAGCATCACAGCATCGCCGCTTCACTTGCTTTTCTGCTCCGCACGCCCTGGCACAGGGCAGTCTGTGCCAAAGCGAAAAAGTCGGCCACCAGCTTGGGACGCTACTCTCCCTCCCTCCTCCTACACGGCCCACGGACCGGGCGCGCCACCGAACGCGTTGAAAAACATGTAAATACGTATGTGCATATGTGTATATACATATGTATGTGTACCACAAAATGGGACAATTGTGACACACACACACACCACAATACACTCGAATGTAACACAATGTTCATACCTATGTACACACATATACAGATGCGTATACATATGCTACATACATAGACAGACAGACAGACATCCATACCATGCCATGCCATGCCATACACGCATATCCACACAGACAGAAATATATAAATGTATAATATAGAGAGCTCTCTCTCTCTATATATATATACATATATGCACACATCAAAATACCAATTGCGTTAACCGTCAACGTCGGACTCTCCGCTTGCGTGTTCGCGGGCGCCCAATTTCGTGCACGCTGTCAAGCCTGCTTGGACTTGGACACTCACGTGCGATGGCATTAACGAGGCCCCGGTTCTCAGCTTAGCTGTGCTTCAGCAGCTCAGTGCGTGGAGGAAGTGGCCGCAACGCATGCGGAAGGATGAGGAAGCGCCATCCGGGAAGCATCACCAAAACCTGAGCCATGCAGTCAGAACCGAGAAGCCAGTTGGGTCAGGGGTTTGGTTCAAGGATAGGGTTTCTTGTTATGGTTGGGGGCACTATTGCAACTGGGGTGGCGAGAGCTGCGCACACTCCCAGGCCAGTCCAGAACTCGTATGGACCATGTGGTCGGACGGTCTTACCTGTGACCCATAAACATCGGAGCTGCTGCAAGGAATTCAATCCAGTAGCTCCATGAAAAGAACGCCTCGCTTCAGTTGTCTTAAGTGCGCTACTGCCCTCGAAGTACTCGCCGATCCTGAGTTACCCCAACTTGGATGGATCAACTGGTGACTCAAAAAGACGCCGCGCTGTTTTGGTAATTTGGTCTTGCAGATGAGGCTGCAGGCCCAAGTCTCAGGAGATTCGATGCACTCGCAAAGGCTTTCTCCCAGGAGAAGCCAATCATGAACCCGTAGCTCCTCCCAACGCATCTCAACGGATCTCCAGGATTACGAACATAAGAAACCCCACATATAGATCCCAAATAGTAGGATTCCCAAATAGTAAGGACCCCAATAAGGTACCCCTAATTTCGGAAACCCCCAAGTGTCAGTCTACGAGTAGGTGTGCTAAGTTGCCAAATCTGAGGGCCGCTCGTAACCAAGCTGTCCGCCAAGGGCTCCGAGATCATACCTGGCTTGGTAGACAAGGCCGCTGAGGTAGAGAAACCATTTTAAAGTCATCTTTTCGAGTCCCAACGTGAAGCAACCTCATCACCCTGAATGTGAAGAAGCTGCGCAGCCTGTGTCTGCCATTCGGTCGGCAACAATGACCAACCTCCGCTTCGCAAAGCATGTCAAGATATGGTCAAGCCCCGCATGTTCCTGCAACTGGTCAGGTTGCTTCAAGGATGAAGGGACGGCATCAACTGCTCAGCGAGCAGCACCCCTGCCAAGGGCGTCATGCCAAAGGCGGTGAGGATCAGAATGCAGTTGTCCTTGGCACCGAGTTTCATTGCTCATGCTCGGGGCAGGCCGGAAGATGACACATCAGACCAAGCACAGTACAGTTGAAGGAGGTCAGCGCGTTGGACAAATTATCTTAGACACCAGTGAACGGTGCGCACAAAGCCAGGCATGAACTCGGAACACTGACCATTCACAACTTCAAGACTTTGGAGTTTGGGAAAGTGGCTGAAAGCATAGTACTTATTGCAATGCACATATGTCACATATTGATTGGTGCTATACATCAACTTCGACTCAAAGTTTCTTAAGTTGCAATGTGTGTACCGATCATCATAACGAAATCACATAACGAAATCACATAACGAAATTAAGGGTTCTACCATTGGTCTTGCGACTTCTTGGAGGTGTTAGAGCTAGCTCTTCTGCGGCCACCACACGGAAGCTTGGAAACTCCCTTGCTTGCCAAGGGTCGTCTGAGATGGGCATCATGATCAAACAGCGGACAAGCCGCATCGAAGACCAGGCCATACCTTTGAACTGCGCAGGCTATCTCCTGGCTTCCGGACCGAACTTTAGGGTGTACTTTCGCAAGCAGCTGTGACCTACTAGTACCTGGCTTCAGCCCCGCCCATCTTTGAATTGTCAAGGTGCACATCGACAGGAACGTCGACACTGAGTGATAGTGGTGCGAACCTCTGCTACTCTGCGGCCGCAACATGCGAACAACGTTTCGCCAAAAAACCGTGAATCGTGGCAGAAGCGTCGGTAGCAAATGCATCGGAGATTCCCCACCAGCTGGCCGAGCGGTCAAGGAAAATGATGCACACGTTCACAAGGAGAACCTCAAGGGCCTGAGCAACGTGTGCTTGGGCTGCTGACAGGCAGCATGACAAAGGCCCCAGCATGCCCCCCCCCCACCCCCAATCGTCTCATTACCTCCATTTTAGGGCAATCACTCATAAAGCACCCTAACTCCCTTCGCAATGCCATGGGCCATGCAACTGAGACTAAGGCTCAGGACATGTGCCTTTTCTTGGGTGAAAAGGATTATTTGGAAGCCTCTCAGAACAATCCAAAAGAGCAGGAGAGCACTTTTCCCGCTGAGGGGCCATTGCCAGAAGCACCTCCAGGACAGTTTCGTTTTCAATACGCCAATAGATTTCTCGCTGCTCCTGGGCTTCGGGTTTCGACGCTCACTCTAGGTGACATGGGCAAGGCAAGGGGTTGTGGGTTGAAGTGGCCTGGACAAGCTGACAACAGGAACAAAAGAAGTGGCATGTGAAAAGGTCTGCGCCAGATTTCATAGGTCGTCTGCAGATGCTTCCTGACTGGCGCGTGCAAGTCATGGGCATGCAAAACTTCCAGCCTCTGGTGGAGATAAGCTGCAAGTCCCAGATTTCCAGGAGAGTCTTGGTCACCAAGAACTTCACAAAAAGGTAACCTGCAGATTCCAAGCAACGCGGGCTAAAGATGTCACAAGCACTACGAGGAACTTCTTCGGCACAAGCTGTCCGTGAATACGCACAAAAAGGGACATAGCAGCATCACCGAAATCAGTACAACTTGACTCCATCGTTGTTGCTCCTTGGCCATTGGCGTGCTCCCCACCCGAAACCCTTTGGCAGTGGCGCTTCGGTGCTCTTTGCTGTCGCTGCCGCGGTGGATGGATGCTGCGGCCTTCGCCGGGTGCAGCTGCATGAGCTTTGTTTACGGTTTCAGTGTTTGGCTGGCTTAAGCCTTTTCTTGGGGCTCGGGTAGCTGTTCTTGCTGCTGCCGTAGTTGGCAGGAGACTTGCCCTCCAGATGCCCAATGTTTCCTCTGTCACGCGGAAGACCCGGGCTCAATTCCCGGCGGCGGAGTTTGTGTTGGTGGATAAGTGTTCACGAAATTTAAATGTTGCTTTGTGCTTCTTAACTGTTTGGATGCTGGCGAGTAAACACAAGCTCTCTCTCTCTCTATACTCTTTTTGCAGAATTTGCATGATACGCTCTCAAATGACAAACTGGAAAGAAAGGTCCCGCTGATGTCTGTGGCATCTGTTTGCTCTGTATGTTTCGTGGCACCCTCACTGGCCCCCGGCCGTTCCAGGCTGCTGCTTTGGATGCACAGGCTGACTGTTGCGGAGGTGCGAAGAACCGTCAACTGCTTGAGAAAGCCTGTGTGCGAATTGGTCAATGCAAAGGAACTGAGAGCTACGAGACTTGCTTCTTCCAGGGCTTCCTCCACCTCTTCGATGAACAATGCCACCTTTGACTGACGGTTCAAGCATCTGGTTCTACGGGCAGTGGCTCACATGGCTGAGTAGTCTTCTGGTAAATGGAAAGGTCAAGGCTTTTCAAACGAAGTGGCATTTTCTGGCGTGTCCTCTGCTTCGTGCTCGTCATGGTGATCATGGCCTGCAGTCGTCATATCATATCACCCACGACTGTTCGCACAACATGGCTGCGCAAACGCTCCAGAGCCTGCAGAAGTTTCGGCCTCGGGCTTCGTGACTCAGAGCTGAGCAAAAGCATCCGCACTGTGCTGAACTGAGTCAAGATGCATGACCATCATGACCATGGCCAGCATGGCCATGACTCTCAACCGGAACTTCACCTCGCGACTCGCGACAAGCACTCGCACTAGCGTCACTTGCCTACTTTTGAGCTTGGGGAGACCGCACACACATGTAGCCGTCAAATGCAGGTTTGGCGGGTTGTTGCTTCTGCTGCGCTGACTGAAGTCAAGGCAAGGCTCAACCATATGGAAGCCTGCCGTTCGGTCAGGACAATGCCAAAATCTAACAATTTTGCTGTCCGAACTAAAGAAGTCAGAGCGAGCTGGCAATGGAACGCCTTGCCTGCGCAGAATCATTCCAGACAGCTTCAAGAGGCACCCTGGAGCAAGAGCCGGTATGGTATGCCATTGAAATGGAATCAGACAGGTAGGGAAGTGTACACTGCAAGCTGACGGAAGGACCTACTTCATTCTCTTTGCGGAACCAAGCTGCAAAAGACGACACAGACGCACGTCCAAACAGCAGCTCCTTTGTGACGGAGGAGGAGTCCCGACACTGTTTCGACATGTTGTAGAGTTTTAAACCGCGCGGGAAGAATGTTGGCTTGCCCTGCAACTGCTGGGACTTTGCACAGCATGCTGCGTGCTCCAAAACACAAAGGTGCGCCATGATGCAGATGCCAATGCGGCCCAGGGTCTATACAGGATGGCCTGCAAGCAAGCGGAGGACACGGACAAAACATGTGATGCGATCGAAACAGGCCTCCCATTTTCCAACCTCTTTGCTGCTGACTTTGCGCCTGATATCCAACCACGCCCCCAAGACTGTAAGGACTTGTCAAACACCCATCAGCTCGACTGCCAGGGGCTAGACTAGACGTGAATGCATCGAAGCGACAGGATGTCTGAGAAGCCGGTGATCGCCACGAAAGCGGAGACGTGGGAAATTACATTCCTGGCCTCACAAGGTCGCTTGAGTTGAGCCTGGAAGGTGCTCTCATGTGCGCGCGCTCTCAACTCTTCTTCTGCTTCTGCGCAGCGAAGCCCGCCCCGAAAGGGGAACCCCGGCCGCGCTGGCCCGCTGCTCTGTCTGTGGGTGAAAGGTGGGGTTACCATGCATTGACGGCCCCCTGTGGTGGTTCGGAGATGCTCGAGGACACATCCCCCTCAAAGAAACGAGAGCGCTCTCTCTCTCTCTCTATCTCCCTGCTTCCTCATTACAAAGAATGCAGGTTGTGAGTGTGCCTCTTTGCATCTATTTGAACTCTGTCCCCTTTGTCCCGTGCCCTCGCTTGGTACCCTGAAGGCAAGGAGCAGCCGCCATGTTCAAGGGCTGCCTTCGAACCTGGCTTGGTGCTCGCGTAGCTTAGCATCCACCAAGCTGTGGAGTCATAGCGCCCCAAGCAAGATCCCATGCTGTGCTATTCCAGCAAAGAAGCTGCATAGCTGACCTCGGGTTCAGTTGGCCGAGCAATCCCAGATCATGCATAAACGTACATGTGCATCTAGGATTGCTCCGGGATGACAGGCCCCACCAAGCAGTCCAGAGCCAAGCTGCGAGTATTGTCATCATCCTGAGCACAGCACGTGTGTAGCTTGAGAGCTTGCCTGTGCATCACCAAACATTCAAACTGATGTGGGGGGGGGAGAGGTTGCTCATGTCTTCACTCAGAAACAGGAGGCAGTGGCCAATGGAGATGTATGGACCAGGAGCCAAGAGTCCAATAGATGGTGAAAGGTGCCACAGCCAGCTTCCACCCTTTGAGACCAGTGAGGGCTCCCTCAGTTCACCCAAGTTACCCAATGCCTATTGCTGAAGCAAGCCCTCTGCGTAACCCCTGTCCCCATGACATGTGAGCCATTCTAATTCAGCATTGAACTCGTCTCGAGCACAGTGCACGAAAGCATGCTTCAAGCTAGGCGATGATGCCGACTTTGCCGTTTGAGCTTCGAATATCGTGAAGAAAATGGATGCGTGATCAATCGCGATGGCCATAAAGATCACGACCTGTGCAGCTGACCGGCGCGTTATGGCCGCAGTGAGTTAGGCTGGCAAGACGCAAACTGTCCACCAACAAAACCACAGAAACGTTATTTGCAATGCTCTTTTTGTGGGTTATACAGCAGAGATGTCCACATGCTCACTAGGCCACTGTGGAGCTACATATCCGGACCTTGGCTGGCATCAGCGCAAACAGAAGTCAGCGGCTTTTCTTAGTGTAGCTACCTGGTTCAGCACACAGTGCCAGCATCTCAAGGGCGAGGAGCACAATAGTGCCGCACTTGCTTGTCAGGGTATGCAATCATCCACGCCACGAAGCCGACCTAATGCTGTGAAGCCAACGACACCAAGCAAAGGCTCGTTCAGATGGAGGAAGAGGGATTCCAGGCCAAGGTGCCAAGAAGATCATGCCCAAGAACATAATTGACAGCCCCGTGGCAATCTGATGATCCCGATCCTCCTGGCACGTCCAACCCCCATCACCCAAACAATATCCCCATCTGCTCGGACTGAGCAGAACCTCCCACATAATTCAACCTATTCAACCTCAACCGCATACAACAAATCTTTGTTTCTCTAAGCCTTGTTGAGCTGCGGACTTTGGGAAAAGGCACCCGCAGCAGGAACTTACATTCATGTCCCTGAAGCCCCACAGCAGCCTGACAGGTAGCAAGCACTCCTTGAACCTGCTTCTGGAGCTCATCTTCTCGTGGCTCGCGTCCTTGCTCGGATCCTGCCATGCAGCTTCCAACGCGCGTGCGCTCCTCTGCACCTCGGAGCGGCCCGCCTGTTCAGGGTTGTCTTCAGCCTTGGCAACTTCCCGACACAAGTGCGCTCAACTCACTGGCACATTCCCTCTGCAAGAGACAGCGAAGGCATCATGTCAAGCTCAACTCTTTTTGACTCCGTGTCCACAGCCTGCCAAAAGGCTCCAGGCAAACCAATTCTCAACATCGGAGAGTGATTCGCCAAAGACCTCAGACAAACTATACTGCCGTGCACCCCGCATCACAATGATCGCCGTGATGTTCTTGCAGATCCAACGATGCTGCCATCACAGGGCCAAGTATGGCAATCTCAACTTGATGTCGTTAGAGTCGCTTGCGGACGGTCTGTAACATGCGAGCGCCCCGATGCAGCAAGCAGCAAAAGTTGCGGCATCATCCACGAGGTCTGTGCTGAAGTAGTGCTTAATGTCCTCGGAGAAGCCATACATGAGGAGGCGGGCCACGAAGAAAGCCAAAACGGAGATTGGAAGCGCTGCCGAAGCTGTCTCCAACAAATTTCCTGTACTAGGTACCATGCAGGCACCTTTCTGATGGAGTGCACCGCGAGGCAAAGCCTCGGGCACGGGTAGTAGATAGGGATAGCGTCAGTGATGCCGGCGGCATCCGTTATCAGATATGTCTTGAGCCAAAGAAGCCACGTAACATATTTGTGACACTTGCATCCCATCATAGCAGAAAGCTTCCTGCTGCAGGTCGTGCGAATCCACAGCGCGCGCTACTGTACGATACTGTGTCCGAGCACGTGGAAAGCATACGTGTCGTGCTGCAAAGGCTCTGCATCCGAATCATCGTCGTCTCCACCAGTAGCGCTCAATGCGTCTGCAGCGGTCTCTTGTTCGTAGTCCACGTCCAGGCTGTGCTGGAGAGCCTAGATCGACATGTGATTATCAAAACTTCCCAAAAGATCCCAAAAACATATCTCACATCGCCACCTGAGGCTTCCTTCCAAGAGGCTCTTTCAGCACAGACCCATCCTGAGAGATAGAGTAGCAAGGAGGCAAATCCTGTGCCACGTGCTTCCGTGGTTTCTGCAAGCGCTTTTCCGCTCATCTGTGCCAAAACCTTGCCTTTTGCCAGTTTGCTCTTGACAAACCCGATCTGTGCCAGGCAGCTGGAATCAAGAAGCGGCCACACCAAGATTCCCAGATGCTCCTTTGCTCGCTTGGAACCACGGCACAAGTCTTTCCGTCAAAAGCACAAGGTGACACAAGTGATCTTTGGTACTTTGAAGCTGCAGGCTCGGAAATGCCCCAACCCACAGGAAGCAACACGGCCAGCAATGCCGCATGAGAAAGCAGGCCCATCACAATCTGCAAGACAAGCGCTTGGTGCGCTTGCTGATGGAATTGTCCTCGGCTGATCTCGGGCGGAGACTCGAAAGACACTGTCAGCAAACACATGGGGGAGCATCACGTCTGTATTGCTACTACAACTGAAGCCTCATAGCAACCACATCCTTGACACCACTTGAACTCTTGCTCCTTGTTCTTGGTTTTGCTCCGAGTTTTGTCTGGATTCATGGTTCAAACGGCCGGTCTTGGACTCTTGCATGGAGTTCATATCACGCATCAATTCTTCCTGCATCATTCTAGAGCACATCGCCTGTCAAATCCTGTCAAATCCTGTGCAAAGAGCCAGTGCGCGAACCTCCGGAAAATCAGTGAAGACAAGTCCTGTTGCATCGTCGACAGGTTCCTGCAACAAACAACTACCTAACTTGTCGCACGCGTGCAAGTATTTTAATCTTCTGCCATTTTGCGGCCTCTTCTTGCTTGTGAAAACTAGCAATGCTTCACGTGCCATAAACAGGTGTTTTTGCTTGCTTTTTGCTTGAACTCACTTACAAAACTTGCAAAATCCATATCTTCTGTCCTTTGGTGCAGGCAAGTGGCAGACAAACCACGACACATTGATGAAACGAACGGCTGGCAGCATTGTTACCAGCTTGAGCCAGATAGCCAAGGCGACACGTGTGAACCGGGTAATTGTGGAAGACATACTTCCTAGCAGTCCTAGCACGAGTCCCAGCATGTCGGGCCGCTGTGGGCAAGGCTGAGAATGAACTGAGCCTTGCCTAGGTGGCCACCGGGAGCGTATGCCCGGAAAGGTGGGCCGTCGCGCCGTGACCAATTGGCCAACAAGAGCTGTGCTGGTGGAACCTGATCCAGCACGCTACTGCGCTCGAGCAGTATTTGGGAAACATTCAGCGCTCACAGGCGTGGCCTGCCACAATTGCGGCAACCGGCACCTGCCACAGCGTCGTGCGCTAGCCTCCTTTCGAGCTGCAGATGCCCCCTGCTCTCAGGGCCCTCCGCCTGCCATCTCAAAGCTCGCGAGAACCCTGGCAGGGCACAGCCAGTAGCTTTCTGGGTGTATCCGCCGACCCCTGCTTTAGCGGGGGAGGCGTCAGTGAAGACCCATTTGCCCTCATGCCCCAGTAAACCCCCCCGCCCTCACCCCTTACCCTCGACCTCACCCTTACCCTCTTAGGGGCTCCAGTGCATGCCCACCTCCCCCCCTAACCTTTTACTTGGAATCAACCTTGCCCGCCCTCACCCCTTGCCCCCCACCTCACCCTTAACCTTTTGCTTGCCAATGAAGTGTTTTAGGGGCTCCCCCCCGCCCCCCCCCCGCCCACCCCGCCCACCCCCTCACGCCTTGCCCGACCCCCCCCTCACGCCTTGCCCTCGACCTCACCCTTACCCTCTTTAGGGGACATGCCCTGACCTTTTACTTGGAATCAACCTTCCCCCGCCCTCACCCCTTGCCCCCCACCTCACCCTTAACCTTTTGCTTGCCAATGATTAAGTGTTTTAGGGCTCCAGTGCATGCGGACCCCCCCCCCCGCCCTCGACCCCCCCGCCCCCCCCCCCCCCCCCCCGCCCCCCCCCCCCCCCCCCCCCCCCCCCCCCCCCCCCGCCCACCCCACCCCCCTCACGCCTTGCCCTCGACCTCACCCTTACCCTCTTTAGGGGACATGCCCACCTCCGTCCCTGACCTTTTACTTGGAATCAACCTTGCCCGCCCCGCCCTCACCCCCCACCTCACCCTTAACCTTTTCCTTGCAGATGAAGTGTTTTAGGGCCCCCCCCCCCCCCCGGCCCCCCGCCCCCCCCCGCCCCCCCGCCCACCCCGCCCACCCCACCCGCCCCCCTCAACGCCTTGCCCTTAGGGGCTCCGGTGCATGCCCACCTCCCCCCTAACCTTTCACTTGGAATCAACCTTGCCGACCCCGCACTCACCCCTTGCCCCCCACCTTTTTGCTTGCAAATGAAGTGTTTTAGGGGTTCAGTGCATGCCCGGACCCGCCCCGCCCCCCCCGCCCACGCCCGGACCCCCCCCTCACGCTAACCTTTCACTTGGAATCAACCTTGCCCCCCCCGCACTCACCCCTCTTTGCTTGCAAATGAAGTGTTTTAGGGGCTCCAGTGCAGGACCCCCGCCCCCCCCCGCCCACCCCGCCCACCCCGTCCCCCCCCTCGCGCCTTGCCCTCGACCTCGCCCTAATTTGTTAGGGGCTCCAGTGCATGCCCGACGTAACCAACCTTGCCCCCCCCGCCCTCACCCCTTGCCCCCCACCTCACCCTTAACCTTTTGCTTGCAGCTCCGCCCCCCCCCCCCCCCCCCCCCGCCCCCCCCCCCCCCCCACCCGCCCACCCCACCCCCCCCCCTCACGCCTTTACTTGGAATCAACCTTGCCCCCCCCACCCTCACCCCTTGGCCCCAAGCTGGAGGAGCGTACAGGGCCGAAGAGGGGCGCACTCCGAAGATGCGGCTCGGCTCCGTTTTGAGCCAATCGTTTTTTTGGTGGGTGGGGGGTTCGGGTTTAGGATTTAGGTTTAGGGCTTAGGGTTTAGGATTTAGGGCTTAGGGTTTGGAGTTTAGGGCTTAGGGTTGAGGGTTTAGGGCTGAGGGTTTAGGATTAAAATTGAAGGTTTCCGGCTGTCGCCAACTGTGGCCAACCAGTAGGGCCAAGGGATCCGGCTTTGCGAGCGTCGGGAACGTAGGGCCCAAAAAGGCCCAGCTGTTGCTCATGATGCTGAACGTGAATGGCTCGCTGAAGGATATATATATATATATATATATGTGTATATGTATAGGGGAGGGGGTCCGGAAATAAGGGTCCTTGTTGGGGGTTCTTTAAAAGCTGAATTATAGTGTTTGGGGCCGTATACATGGGTACCTTATTTTCGGAATCCCCCATTTTTGTTCAGACAAATCCGGGCTTTGTGAAAGAAGCGTTCCCTAAACCCTAAACCGTATTTAGGAACTGCCCTTAAGCCCTCGAACCCTAAACAAAAGGCCTCTCACCAGAGGACATTGACTCCAGGCACATATTGGCGGGGTTCCTGACCCGCGGAACCCATATATGTGCCATTAGCCAATGACGGCCGGTGCCCTGAACTCTCCCGGACCCTGGACTCCCACGACCATCCCACGATCTCTCTCTCTTTATGTGTATATGTCTATATATATATATGTCTGTGTGTGTATATATATATATGTAAATAAATAAATATATATATATATATATATGTGTGTGTGTGTGTGTGTGTGTGTGTGTGTGTGTGTGTGTGTGTGTCTGTGTGTGTGCTGTGTGCTCGACACTTCAACCCTAAACCCTGATTGGCGGCCGATCCTATGGATATATGTAAGCGCAGTGTAGGGGGTGTTTGTGTCCCTTCCGAGCCTACACCAGGCCCTGCGCCCTAAACCCTACGGCCTCCTGTCGGGGTCGGCGGCATTGGCGGTAGCCATTAAATAATTATGTTACAAGTACTTGGGAAACCCGCCCCCCCCCCCCCCCCCCCCCCCCCCCCCCCCAATGGTCACCTTACCCCTCCCCCACCCCATGTTCCAGAATTTGTGCAGCAGTGTGCCCTGAGGAACGGGCGGGCAGGGCCACTCCCCTTTGCGGACCTTGGGTGATGTGAGAACCGCTGTCCCCTTTTCATGCGGCCTCTGCTGCTACTAGAAGGTTCATGGGTACCTTCTAACCCGAATGATCAGCCTACTTTTTAACATACTTAGAGGACTTAGGGGGCTTCTAAGTGCAGTAATCATGCTCGGAGTAGAGCTTTGAAGCTCTGGGAAAGATGGGTGTCGGGGTATACAGGGAATCCCTTCAAACATCAGCTGAAGGCCTTCATTATCTGAAATCTCGCCCCTGTACAACATCAGACATCTTCTGGGCGGCCAAGCGCACTACTCTGGCATTGCTGAAGCTTTGGGTTTCCGAGTGTTTGCCTGCGTGCTCTTGCAAACCAGAGTTGAAGGAATTCCATGGCATGTAAGGTAGTGTGTTCATTGGTCCGGTGCCACATCTGCATCCAGACACTACCATTCGACAGCCCAGCTGGCTTTCAATTTTGTTTCCTTGATGCTCAGAGCATGTCTTTGCATGGACCTAGCCTTGCAGGAGGCACAGGGACGATGTTGGTGGCTCTGTCTGCGAATGCTTTCCCTACATGGCCCTGAGACCACCGCGCGGAATACGAGTGCCTGTAGAACGTGTCATGTGATGTCAGCAAGTTCTCACTGAATTTGACCCCACGAAACATGGTGTCTTGGACTTGTGTTCATCCGACAACACCAACTACAAAAGCCTTCCAGATGGAAGGTCCCCTGGACTTCTTGGAGCAGGCTTGCTGCAAAGCCGCAGGGCAACCTTGCACTCGTTAAACCTTCATCCCAAGGCCGAAATTTAAAAACCCAAAAGCCCAAAGCACGACACCCGAGCCCCTGGCCGAGTTCTGCGCAAACCACCAAACCCACGGCCGTTTCGGTGTGCAAGGGTCGGCGAAGCCATGCAGTCAACGCTGCCAGGCCGACACCCGGAGAGAGAGAAAAAGGCTCTCCTTAAATCCTGTTCCCTTGTGTAAGCTTTTTAGTGTTCCTGGAGGGCTCGGCGATGCAGCAATTCGTGAATGGCAGGTTGTTCGTCGTTGTGATCTTGCAACTGTGCTTGAATGCGCTGGAGACAATGCAGGCCTCAACAGGACCTGCGATAGAACGAAACCGTAGAAATCTGTTTTGCCTGCAGTCAAAGGGCGCTTCAGCTCTGGAGGCCGCGGACTACACTCAGGGTCGAGTATGTTGTGAAGTTGCGAAGGTATGGTAGGTCTGCACTGGTGTGCATAGCAAGCTCTGGCTGCGAGCCACCCTTGCGTGGACAGGAAGTGTCGCATCTGTCACCCTGACGCGACATGCACAGTGCTCACGAACGGGCATGAACTGAAGGCTGGCAAGCTCCTCTCTTGCAAGGTCAGACCTTAGCACTTTGCACCCCTCCCCCCCCCCCCCCCCCCCGGCCCTTAAGCTGACCATTCCATTGTGCTGTTGGGACATGACATTTTCAGCTCTGAGTCTCAACACAAAAAACCCTTCACATGGGCAGCATGGGACATTCCTGTCAAAGTCCCCATCGAGGCCCTTAAGGCCAGGGCTCGCTCTTGTCTGTGTCATCTGCCTTGCCCTACCAGAAAGAAACTGTTCAAGGGTGTGAGCGTCTCGGGTTACTCAGTAAAACTGCAGTGAGCAGTAGTGCCTTGGCCTTTTTCTTTGGCTGCTCCTTCTGCTTGGCAAACCTTTGTTTTCGGAGTGTTCATCTTGCACATGTTCTGCAAGGTTCCCCCACTGGCATGCGAGAGAGCCCTCACTCTGAGCCGAAGGGCCCATGCTGCATGAAATGAGCAAGGTCAATTGGAGCCTTGGCGAGTTTTCACGAAGAGCAGATCGTTAATTTCAGCTTACAGCTTTCTCTTGTAGACATCAAGCCTGCGATTGCTCCTCTGCTTTCCGCTTCTCTGACCTTGGAGCGATTGGAAGGGGGAGGGGAATGGGGAGGGAGGGGGGGACAGGGAACGAGACCAGGAGTGATTTTCGCGAACCAAGGCCAGGCACGTTGCGGAAGGGGTAGATGTCGATGGGGGTGGCTGTAGCTCCTTGCTTCTGTTCCATGCTTCATTACATCAAGCCTACAGGCCTAGATGCCTGCGATCATCTCTCACCCCAGCACGGACGTCCTCCAACGTCCATGCGCTCTTGCCGGTCTTCTTGTGAAAGAAGTAGTTGTGCTGCCCAGCATGGTCAGATAACAGCAGATACTGCGCACCGAATGTTGGTCTACATAGGCAGGGTTCGGTGAGAGTAAGGCCTGCTTGATCGGATCATACATCTCAATGATGTTCGGGTCTCGTTTGGATAGCTCTTCCGCCTGCAAAGACAACATCATGCTTCTTTGAAAAGACGTGTTGTAAAATACGTTCGGAAAACGAGTGGCGCACTTTGGCAAGATCTACGACGTACAGTCGGGCACCATCGACACGGCGCTTCTGGAAGGAGGCCTGATCAAGAAATTCGAGTTGGGAAAACCACCGCCATTGAGCTCCGACCGTCACAGCTCGGTTGAATATATTTTGCAGCTTTCCCAGGCCTGCATCTGCGGGGCGGAAAGCCCTGCAAGCAAACGCCCTTCTATCGCCACGATGGCCTGCCGATGTGCGCAGCTTCGTATGGTTGGCAGCTGGCAACTTGTCACACCTCGCCCTTCTGCAGTTTCTGGCCGGGCCTCACAACTCAAGTTGATTTCTAGGGCCTAGGGCCTAGGGTACAACATGGTACAACGTTGCAACTCATTTCCACTTCCACAAAGCTCCAAGCTCGTCCTCTACTTTGTCCACCACGAAGCCGAACTCACTGTGCCTCCACGTGCCCGCATGCCACTTGTCCGGCCGGTCTGCTGAGGCTCAGGTCCGCACGACATGCTCAAGCCACAGCTCTGTTTCTCGCTCACGCCTCAAGCCGACTCCGACCGTGTACCCTTCACTACTTACCTTCACCACCTCTACCACTGAGATGCCCACGCAGCTGCTCCTTTCAAAATATGTTACGCATGTGGAGCTGGAATGGTGACAACTGACGACATGACACCTGGCCTCCCGGTGTGGCGTTTCGCGCCAAGTCTCAGGCAACTTGGAGATGACCTGAACTGCCCAAACTACCTGTTCCGCTCTTGGTGCGAGCGCTTGTTATTGCTCCAAATCAGTTGCTGGCATCGTCCCAGATAGATCGGTTGACCTGAACGGGGTCCAAGTAGTACCTCAAGCAGGATGCGACGGGCTTGTTTTAGATCATAGTCACAACGGAGCAGAACTTGCGTGTGCGCGATTTGGAAGACAAGAGGGGTCGCCCCAAGCCGTGCTTGTCCACCTTGAAGACGTAGCCTGGCCTCGCAGCTCGCTTTGCTGACAACTGCCCGCACACAGGGGCTCCGGCTCGAAGTCAACTGATCAAAGGGGATGGTTCCGAGTTTCCCGTGATTCTCCAACCCATATATATATATATATGTATCTCTATATATATGTAAATATGTATGTATATGTATGCATAAATGCAATCTGTCCCGTCCCGTGTGCATCCTGGGACAACTTCAAGAGCACCGGCCGGGCTGAAAAAAGGTGCCGCGCCTTGCTCCCTGGAAGGACTCAGCAGCCTCCATGCAACACTTGCATGGCTCGCGTGAGTAAGGGCTTCAAGACTTGCGATACTCTGGAGCTGCAAAGCTGCGTACTTGAGTTGAAAGACGACATGACAAGCTGAAAGGCTCCTGGAAGGTCTCCGGCGAAGCTGCCTGCGCATCGGGACGCAGCGCAACGGGAGATTCTCGACTGGGAAACTCCCAGGGCCTCCGGCATCGATGGCCTGAGGGTGGCGGATCTCCAAACTTCCGTATTTCTGCCACGGTGTCCCGCAGATTCCCACAGTATCACAGCGCTTGGATATCTTGTCTCAGGATCAGACAGGAAACGAAGTGAACCGTGCGAGCAATGCCGTGATCCCAGCTGTCTGACTGGTGCTGACTACATGTAGGTGGTTACTAGGGCATGCTTAGCTTCACTCTGAATCATGGTATGAGGTGGGAAGGGTGAAGCTGGAACTTTGTCTTGCAGTAGTTGCATTTTACACACAAGTACCAGTGCCGCAACTGGAAACAACCATGTGTAGAGCTCGGAGGGCGGACGGAGCTCGCAGACATCGCTTGCTCGGCACACTCAGGTGTCGATGCTGAACGATGCACGAGTGTCTACAATCCACAGGCTCGTTCCCACAGCCCGGCGTTTTCTCGCACTTCTCCCCGCTTCGCGCTGCCAGAGCTCTTGTTGGTGAGCGGCCGTGATGCTCTCCTGGCGGCCGATGTTCCAACATCCAAAGGTGGGCGATTAGGGTTTGAGGGTTTAGTGTTATGGGCTTAGGGTTTAGGGTTGGTCTGCCAAGAGGAAGGTCCTCAATGGTGCCTTTTGTCACGAAGCGCCAGCAGTTCACCTTTCAAAGGCTCCAGAATGCTGAGCTGTTGATGTAATGCGCGGTTGATGGTTTCGGCTGCCTGCTTTCCTGGGATCACAGAATCCCGTAGGATGTAGGGTTCCAAGCGTTTTTGAATGTTTTGGGATGGTTGAATGTCGCATTTCAATCACAGAATTCCGTAGGATGTGGTAGGGTTCCGCGGGTTTTGGAACATTTTTGGATGGTTGAATGTCGCAATTCAGGGCGTGCACGCTCTAACGCTGTGTGTCGGCGTCAATCCTGATTTCCGACGCACCACATGCTGCAAGCACCAGTAGAAGAGTTTCTCAGGTGTTGGGACGAGGGGTATTTTCTGATTTCTTAGAGCTTCATATATATATATATAATTATTGCTGAGAACGACTGGGGCTCCAAGTCGCACTTCCACGCAATCATCTGTGTTTCTCTGCTCTTTCTCCTTAGCCTTAGTCTTTCTTTCTTCCAACGCTTTTTGACCTGTCCCCCGCCCCCCTCCCGCACCCTGATGAATCCCAAACATGGGTTTTCCAGAATCCCGGATCCTCATGTTTCTGTTGCCTTTTGGGGGCCCCTAACCCCAAAGAAATTCCACTTGACGGGAGAAGAGGAGCCTCGGACTTCTGCTGGCCATAGCGGCGGCAGCGGGCGATGGCTTGGGCCTCGTAGGCCACGGCTCGCTCAGCCGAGGTCGCATACATGGGGTGAACGAAGACGACCTCAACCAACTGCGAGCCAGGGAATGTAGGAGAGTAATGAAATGAAACCACGAACCATCACACATTAAGAAATATTACAATAATGATTTTAGTTCCCAACCTCATTCCCTGCAGGCACGAGCTAACAACAGTAACTCAAAGCAAATCATCTGATGCCTCTGAGGCACATGGCTTGCGGCTGTGAGATTGGTGCCACTTGCGGCATGCTCCAGGGACAGAACCAAGGAGTGGCCGTCTTCTGGATCCTGGCTGCAAATGGTTTAGGGTTTAGGCTGTCGGGCCTTTTTTCCATTAACCTGGGTATAGGATACTGAGCAGCTACCCCAAACATCCCTATAAGCCCTAAGGAACGTCTTCTGTCAAACCCACGTCCTGAACATCCCCAAGCCCAGAAGTCCTGAAAGCGGCGCAGCACCTCTGCTCGTTTGTGCACATTCCCGACCAGCTCAAGGTGCGGCACCCCGGATGCATCCAGCGCTGCGGACACGCATCTCTTTAGATCCTCCCATTGGCAGAAGACCAAGGCCTTCTCACCTGGGGAACTCTCTTGACTTCATCTAGTACGAAGCGAACATTCCTTGTAGTGGATTTGTGCAAGCGCCCAACAAGCGGCCATGCAGATCCCACGAATCTCAAGCTAAGGGGCCACTGGCGTGCACCCTCTTCAAGTGCGCCGCAATCACAGCAAGCTTACTTCCAGCCTGCACTTCGGGGGGCAAGATGGGTGGAATTGTTACTACCGTCGCTGGGACTTCACGCTTAACCGTCGCACCTTCTGATCTATCTCTTTCGTTTCTTTTGAGCTTCCCCGCGATTTGGGGCCTGCAGGGTTGCCCAGGCATCGGATAAGCTTACCCAGCTGCTTGCATGCACTATTACGATACTATCTGTCAATGAGGCCGCCAGTCCACAGTGGTTCTTTCTTCGTCAGCACAACCACCCCCTCGCACAATCGTGAAGAAGCAACATCCCGAAACCTGTTGCAATAGCAGAGCGAATTTTACGATCCTACAGCAAGGTTCCTGCAGTGACGGGCCTCGACCTGGATTTGGGGCTTCAAGCTCTGCTGCCAGGCGCGTCACGTCGCTCTTTCCCAGCTTCTGGCGGCATTCCTGAGCAAGAAGTGCCACGTCCCGTCACAAGGCAGGACCTGTCTCACAACAAGCAGGACAAGGTACTGGGCAGTTCCCAAAAATCTTCATGGCATCGTGCAAGCAGGCGGTGTGGAAGACGTGGGCGCAGGTCGTTATGGACAAGTCTTCCTCTCAGTCGAACAACGTTGCAGCTTCCAACTTTGCTTCTTGCAGTGCAATGCGCGCCTCCTGCAGATCCTCCTCCAAGCAAATGCTGCAGGATCGTTGCTCCGAAGACGCATCGCCCCTGGCAGCTGCCAGCGTTCGCTGAAAAAACCTGGGCGTGGGAAGGGTGCGCACCCAGTGCAAGCTCTGACATCTTCTTATGTCTTTTTCTACCCTGCAGGTAAACCCTAAGCCCTAACCCCTAAACCCTAAACCCAACACAAAGCGCCACGAAGGCTCTGGAGAGATCGCTGGGAGGAGCTCGCTGCCTCTGCAGCTGCCACCGTCCGATCTCAGGGCTGGGCGATCATCGCTTGTGCAAGCTCTAGCACGTGCTCTAGCAACTCTAGCAACCAACCGCGTCTGAATCTACTCAAAGATCTGATCTGCTCTGTTCTGCTGCCTTTCAGGGCTTCTGCCGTCTCCTCGAACTCCCCGGCTTTTTTCTGCAGCTCTGCAAGGCACATGCGTGCAACCTGTCAGGTCATGTCGGGGTGTCGGAGCTTGGAACCCCCGAAGAAACGCAGACAACCGAGAACCACGTGGGTACCACGGGTCTGCATCCCACCGACAACATCGGCAGCTCGTTGAGCGGGCTTGCAGTTCAATTTCGAGATCTATGGCATGCATGGAACCAAAACACCGAGTTGAAGGTGGCCTCCACAAGCGCAGCTGCTGCCGCTGCCTGAGCTCTGTTGCCGAGGCTTGGAGGACGCCATGGACTACATACAGGGCCTCCCTGCAAGAGTAGAACAACATAACACAACCGAGCAGCAGCAGCAGATGGTTGAGACACGCCAGCCACGACAGCCAAAGTACCGCGGTCGTCTTGCAAGGTAGCGGGTGACTCGGGGAGCTCACCCTCAGTGCCAGCAGCTGCTGGGCTCTCTATCTTTGCTCCAAGACGGCGTAGAATGTCGCTGTGGACTTCGAAGCGCCGCTGCCAGATACTCGAGTTGCTGGAGTTGCTGGAAGCGACAGATGCCTCCCGCAGGCGCATGTCCAAGCGCATGCAGCATCGCAGCATCTGGTTTGCTGCTCTTTTTGCTTGCTGCTCTTTGCTGGATAAGATTCGTCGGCACTCCGTCCCGGCATCTGCAGATGGCCCGGAAGCCATGCTGGAGTATGCTGCAAAATGCGAGCATAACTTGATGAGCTTCTCGATGCCACGAGACTCTCCGGTAATCTCAAGAGGGCCCCCGCTTGCTTCACAAAGGTCATGCGAAGCTTGCATGTAGATTGCACGCTCCTCAGGCGTTTGCTCCACTGCAACCAGATGCTCTTTCAATGGCACAGGCTCAATCTCCTCACTTGTGTTTTGTCGAGCAAAACGATCCAGAAAGCTTTGAGCCATCTCCTGGGCGAGCTGAACCTCAAAGTCACAGCCATCCCCGCAGGGCAAGCCTGGAAGCTGAAACAACTTCGCCAAAGTCGCCACCTGCGACAAGTCTCGTGTGGGAGGGGTGCCTGTCAGGCCCCACCGGCAGCCTGCGCAAATGCACTGCAGCGAGTCGAACTGCGCCGTGTCGCCGATGGCCTCTGGGAAGAAGCGGGGAAAGATCAAGCAGTCAAACTGCAGCGGAACCGTGAACCCCTGGACCAGCAAATCGAAACCATTTACCTTGAAGAGGTGCCATGACGTTAGAAACTGCAAGTAGACAGCCCCTGGGTCCAATTCTGGCGCATGCTGCGCTTGCACTTTTTCCGCAACAGGCGCCTCAAGTTCGTGGAACTCATCGAAGACGACTCTTCTCCACCAAACTTGTTCCAATACAGGGAAGCACAAGCCATTGGGGTCGCGGCTGGGCCCTCCTGTCGACCTATTCGTGCGTTCAGGGCTGCCCACAGCTGGATCCGGCGCTTGGAGCCATCCAAGCTCGTCGGGGTTCTCACGAAATCTCTTGGTGTTCCGCCGCAAGCTTTGAATGTCCACAGTCATGCGGGTGGCCTCTCGTTGTTCATCTAGTCTAGTCATGCTCAGGGGGGGGGGGGTTGGGTCGGGGGAAAGGGAGCCCAAGACATTCATTTGAGACTCACGCACCTCGCCATTGGAGACCTGAGAGAAATCGCCCGACAGCTCCTGCAAGCGTCTCCTGTAGACTGGAGAGTACAGCAGGCGATAAGAGCACACCACGACATCCTTGGCTGCGTGTTGAAGATGCTTCGGCTTGGAACACGCCCCATGTTGCCTGCTTCCTCTCTCCTAGTTCCCGTCGGGAAAGTCTGTGGCCAGACGGAGTCAAGCACCATTCAATCTCGAACAGTTTTACCGAAATGCCGTAGAATCCCTCTTTACCGGGAGGAGTACAAACCCGCAAGAAAACTGCAAAGAGCCATAGAAAGCAGTCTTGCTCACGCAAAGCACACCAATTGAAGGTACATTCTCACGTGGGTGCTTCCCAAACAGGGGTGCCCCCTTCTATGCTCCCACATTTTGGGAACTTTATGGAACCCCTCATACGGTCTCCCTTGGAGGTCCCCAGACGCCAGCTCCGGAGCCAAGGTGCGGCGCAGCTGATCTTGTCCACCGTGAGCGTCTTGAGCTGGGCTGCTGTCCCAATGGCCAGCACCTTCCCAACCATCAATTCTCTCTTACACCACTGACCACAAGCAAGTGCTACTGCGACCTCGACTCAATAAACCGACAACGAGAAGGACTTGACCCTAAGTGTGTGCCCTCCCTGGCATAGAGCGGACTTGGACAACTGGTTGTTTGGCACTGTGCTTTGTTCTTGCAGGCCCTCGTGGAAGGTGCGGGTTAACGCATGCAGATGATGCAATCTACTTTTGCCCGAGGGCGAACTGCAATTGGAACTACCCCCTATGACGGGCGTTCAAACACATGAAGGATGGGTGGTCCATGTGTGAATGCCTACATGATGCCAGCTACGAGGCCCAACTCAGGGTTTGAGAAGAGATGACGGGGGCAGCAAGAAGGAGATCCAGGTGAAGACAGGCCAGCGACGAGCGAGGAGCCGGCGGCAGCGACTTTGAAACATTGTTAGCGAAAATAACCCGATTTCTGCGTTGGCACATTGGCACCATTCGTTCCATCGCCACCCGATAAAATATACCTGGTGTGTTGATTACATCAACTGCAGTCTACTGTCTTGTGGCTGCATTGCCGCCCAGCTTTTTGCGCTGGATGGCTTGCTCTCCATATCATCCAAAGATCAGTATTCAGTGGAAGACGCAGCTTGTGGTCGAAAGAGCGCATGCCAGCATTCTATCAGTTCAGCTGCTCTCAAGCGAAAAATCGCAACGGTCGACTCCCACCGCCCCTGAACCTTCCCTCAAGAAGTCCCTCCCAAGCTTAATTCTGAATTATTTTATGAGAGTTGTCTTGGCAGGCCAGCGGTCACAATGCAACGGTGATTTGCGCTTGCCGAAAAAGGGGGCGTGGCGCTAACTTCCTGCATGCCTTGAGGTTGCAGCCACTGGACGCGTCAACTCCAGAGCCACCAGTGAACTTCTGGATCTCCTGTGCCAAGCTTGAGCCGGTCAGGGCTATATAGCATTTAAGTGTACAGTGTTTGGGGAGCGACTGCAATGCGGGTTTCTGCAAGCTGTGTCGTCATCTGCCAATGCTTCGGATTGAAAGCATATACAATGTACAAGCTTAGACCAGTTGAGTATGACAACTTGCATCCGAGCTGCATCCAGCCATTGGTTCAACAGATTGGAGGGAGCCAATACCTGGCACATGGAGTCCAAGCAAGGCGCACGGAGTCCAAGTCGCGTGCGCGCGCGCGCGCGCGGGTGGCTGCATAACCGTGAACTTCAACCTTGCAAGATCCCTTTTGCAAGCGGGCTGCCAGTGTAGCACTCGACTTGAAGAAGTAGGGCTCGCTCTCGGCCGGAAGGTGCAGCTGACAGTCACGAGTGCCAGCATCGATGAGACCGATAGTTGTGGCAGTCTTGCCGTACCCGGGCGCATCTCCCAAGATGCCACCTTGGGGCCACAAAAGAACATTATTACTATTATTTTTCTGAATATTCTTAATATTCTTATTATTCTTAATATTACTAATGTTCTTAATATTACTAATATTACGAATATTACCAATTAATCATCTGGTTAGAGCTGTGTCTGGAACTCGAAAGCATCTTCTGATCTTTCGGCCTCGTAGGATCAAAGACTGTCGCTGACGAAACTCCAGCTGCCATCCCAGTTGGGCTGACGACTTCACGTGGACGCTTGATGCTGGCAGGGGCTCTTCCTGTGTTGGTACCAGAACTTGAGGTTGAATCAGTCTTCATCTGCTACACATGACCTGGTGTTCATTCACGAGTTCCCCCTTTTCCCTTTGTCAGATGACAAGTGGCCGGGGTCAGAGGGTCCACCCTCACACGGTGCAGCGTCAGGTCGAAGAGCTCTGTCTCGCACTCACGCTGCTGCATCCAGTACAAGGACCTGATATGCACATCCACATGTCACGAGGCAGCTGCGTCCCCCCCACACTCTGATGTGCAGACGCCCGCCTCAGCTGCTCCTGGCGCAAAGCGTGGCGTCGGAAGCTGGGCGGCTGCTCGGCCGCGGGGTCAAGTCCTCAGTGCTGCGGTGCTGCCGCGTGGGGGATCATCTCCCCTTGGCAAGTTGCAACTGGCGGTTGCAAGCAGGACGAGTCGCGATTGTTCTGAAGCTCCAGCTTGAAACTGTTCACAGCCCGCCGCCGAGTCCGGTTCGCAGATGCACCAGCACTGACAGCTCGGCACTCGAAGACGCTCTCTGGCTGAGAGACACCTGATGGCCTACCTTATATACTGACGTTTTACTACTTGTGTACATCGGGCTATTCAATATTGTCGGAATATTCAATGCTACCCCACCCAATACCATGGGCTGATCACGACCACAGTCTCGCCTGGCTGGCGGCGGCCAAGGCCCACGAAGCACCCGAAGACGGCGTCAGGGTAGATGAGAAGCCTCATTCTAAGCCGAGGCTCCATGTCACAGTCACGAGCATCATCGGTTCAGGCCTTGTGGACAGCTTCGCCTCCGGCAATGCGTCAGATGGCTCCCGGACCTGGAAGAGCCATTTCACCAGCGGCTGGCATCCTCGAGCCGACATTCGGACTCTGGGCTCTCTGTTTGCTTCGTATGTTGCTATTATCTTTCAAAACAATTGCTTTTGATCATATACACATGTATACACATCGTGACACAGTTGTTTATCGGGTGTCACAGCTGAAGTCCTTGCTAAGCGGCGCCACTTCAGATCTTCGGGACTTAGCGCGAGGACTTCCGCTGGAATGCGGACAGCCTGCCACTCCAGAAGTCCAGACAGCTGCTTCCGGTCAGGAAGGACCACCTCAGGTTCACGCGCCACAACCTTTTGAAATAAAAGACGCAGCATCTTGTGAAGCCCCACCTCGTGCCCTTCAGCCTTCAAGGCCTCTTTGAGGGCGGAGAGTCCGCTCAATGACGCATTTGATGTGCAGGCTGACCGTGTCTGGCTGTACCAGGTCCTGATTCCAGGTGCTTGTTTCTGAATCTCGCGGCGGGTGAAGGCGGGGCGACAGTCGCATGAGGCTTGCTTGTCAACAGCTCAGGAGCTGCAGGCCAGGGAGGAGGGAAGAAGCAACAGAAGTGTGTCTAGGTCTGGCCAAGATGCCCAGATACACCTCAGTAGCGCAGGAATCTGACAGGGAAGCCTATACGTAAAGACAAAAGACATGGGAGACTAGCAGCCAGCAGCCTAGCAGAAGGAGGAACCGAGGACGGCACCGCTCTCAGTATCCAAACAAGCTTTCTCCGAGAGAAACGCGTTGAGCAGAGAGGCATCGTGGGAGCCCTGTAGCGGATCAGGCAAAGCCTGCGGATGCTGCAGGGCTGCCGCCGAGAACTGTAGCGATTGTAGCGGCAACGTGGTTCTTATACCAGATATTTAACTTCGAGGCCGCCAGAAACCTGCAAGATTTGCCTGATGCCAATCCTGGCCTCCATGATGTCTACCTTTCTCTTGCTTCCTCTGGCGTTCGCCTTTCCTGCAAGAGAGCGCTTCTGCTGTAAGGATCCCCCTTCGCTCCTTGGGACGCAACTTCCAGTCCTGGGGAGCTTTTGACTTGCGCCCGCAGCGTGACGGGCATGTCCATCTCGTGAAGAACTTGCGCCTCGCTCCCAAGATCGGGCCTCTGCAGAGAAAAACGTTCAGGAGAGTTGCTATGGTTGGGAAAATCGTTCCTATCGGAAGCATGAGGAATGGGAACCTCCCGTCAATGGCCCCTACATCCTAGGCTACGGGCGCTTGTGTACAGCCCTGACAACATTCGGCTTCGCCTGGATGCTCTAGAAGGCGTTGGCAGTGAGGCCCTTGGAATGCGCTGGCCAAGCATCCGGACATTCTCACATGAATTTCTGAATGCCGTGGCAGCTCATGACTAAAGGGGCATGGGACCGCGTTGCCCCCTTGCAAATGTCTCAGTATGGATGCCCATGATATGATTCACACGAAATTCTCTGAGCAAGGTGCTGAGGTTCAGCATCAGCACTGCCTGCCTCCGGCTCTAGGACTCTTGCTCGCTTGCCTTGAGAGCAACACTGAACTCAGGGTCGCTCGCCAAAGTTCTGCTTGAAGGGAACCCTCCCCTCCGCAAACCCTGAAAACCCAACTAAAAAACCCCGAAGCCCTAAACCCCAAAGAATAACCCCCAAACCCAGATACGCTTGCGGCCCAGTTGCTGAGCCTTGCGAGCAATGGGGATGCCGTAAGTGTGGCTCGCCCGATGCTGGCGGAGACTTCCTGATGGTCAGCTGTCGGCGCAGTTCCATGTAGATAACCTGGGCGTAGTCATATTATGAGAATCATGACAGTTGTTTGTTATCATTGTTAACGCTGCTATGGTTAACGTTGCTACTGCTAGACCTATGGGGTATCATTGTTAATGATAGTCAATCTTTTTGGCAGTCTTTCAAGGTTCTGGCCTTTGCTTGCCTGAGGCTGCAGCCGAAAACATCACTGGAGTCCAATGAACGATGGGCTGCCGATGTCTGCATCGCACAGACAGTCAATGCAGCATTGGCAGCAGCAGAGCAAGCATCTTGGCGGCTGAGTATTCCAAGGGAAAGAAGAATAAGTTTTGGGTTGCAGCAAAATGCAGAATACCGAAACAGTTCAAGGTCTTTGCACCTCAGGTTCTTGGTACTATTTTGATTTTGCTGCTGAAGCAGCCGGGACGGGTGGGGTTTGGCTGTGACATGGGCGTAACGGAACAGCATGCTCAAGGTACACACCTATGCTATCTCCGCATGTGTGGTAGAATGGGTCGTATGCCTATACCTGGTGCCGCGATCAACGGATGGAGCCGAGTGGTGGTTGCGCCCGTCATGCCCTACAATCACGACAGCCGCGCGCGTGTTTTGCCCAGCCCGGAGCCGAAGGTCTTGCCCAACCCGGCACTGGGCCGTGGGTCCAGACTGGCTGACATGGCAGAGAGCAAGGCTTCTGCATGATTCGAAAATCATTTTGGCCAATATGGCCTCTTCAACAGAAGCGAGCGAGCTAATTCGACGCCTCAGGGGCAGCCTATTAAACGTGGTCCAGTCTCTGAAGCCATGCGAATCTGAACAGAAAAGCGCAAAACTTGGCTTCTCTGACCGGTCAACAGATACCCTGAAGGATGTTTCAGGAAGCTGGAGCTAGCGGATGGAGCTTCGGGCCTAAATCATCCGAGATCTTCTTATCAGAAACTTCTAACACGTGTGTACTCAGGATGCCGGGATGAAGTGCGTCGGCTGCTCCCACTGAGTCACGTTCGTCTCCTGACATCCGCAAACCGACACCCCACCGGCGTGCACAGCCAAGCCAAGCTCCCCAGCAAGTCTCGGCCAAGGTTCCGTGTTCCAGTAGTAGTGCGCGCGATACTCTTCGGAATAAACTTGCTGCCAAGCCGTTGGTCGAGCTTGGACTGGAGTTGCCGTGATTGTAGGGGACGCATCTCCTGACAGCCAGCTAGCCGTTGGAGATGATTTGGACATGTCGGATTGCGCTCGAACCGGCACACATACACATCGTGCCTTTTCGCTGACTCACATCAGCGACTGGCTGCTCGTTGTCCTGAACTTGGTTCCAGCACAGCCTCATAACATCATCTCCAGCGACAGCTGGCTCCTCTTTCTTCAACTCTTCAATGTTCATCCGTGTAGTAGATGCTGCGCTGCCAGTGTCCGACGAATGCTGCTGGATCCTCGAGAAAAATCCGAGGCACATGATGCACAATGAACCCTGAAACTGATGCCCAACGTCCGCTGAAGTCCGTTCAGAGCTCGATTCTACTCAGCCAAGTGTTTTGAGGCTTCCCATGATCAGCTGAGGATGGACCCCCTAGGCCCTGGCCTACTCCAGGATGGAGCAGGACGTAAGCAGAAGCAAAGCAAGCAACCCACAAAAACACGCGAAAGTGCCAAGGCTTCTTGCTCAACGCGGAGCCTGTTTCAGGTCACGTGCTGCCAACACAATGATGATGATGCTGATGCTGATGCTGATGATGATGGTGATGGTGATGATGATGGTGAGCTGTCGGTTAAAAACACAAGGGAAACTGATGCATGACCCTCCTAACGAAACATGTAACTCTACATCATCTTGTCCGAGTCATCGCCCTCTACATGCCCTCGGTTCGCATGCGCGAAGGGCTGGCATTGACTGAAAGCTACCAGGCAGAGTGTGCTGTGTTTTCAAGGCTTTCACAATCAAAAGCACTGCAGAGATAGTCGATCCGAGTCGGCATCCTCTGCGCCAGCTCATCTGCGGAAAGGGCCGACGCCTTGCCCTCGACCCAAGAAAGCCAATCTGGCCATTTGGACTGTGCTGCTTCACCTCAGATGTGGCGGTCTGGCATGGCCTGTATGGGGCCATACAAGCTCTCCGCACTTTCGGCCATGCTTCTCAAACGGAGTGTGTCAGCGTTGCCGAAAACGATGAGGCCTGGCTGGTTTTTGACTTCACCAGTGCTGCTACAAAATCGAGGTTCAGCTGCTGACAATTATTATCAATCTTCTCATTCAAACTTGCCTTGCTTGGCCCGCGTCAGCATCACATTCATTCGTCGGTTGTCTGCCAGAAATCCTGCGGGTGAAAGGGCATCATACGGCCACTCTTCTTTCTTATGTCTGTCACCATGACAGCCAAGAAACTGAAAAGGAAGAAGACTTGTACTGTGACCCCTGTCCCAAAGCACGTGACTCGTTGCTCCGGGTGGCGCTGAACAGCACCAAGCCCTGCTCCATTCCCTGTCGCAACTCTGTATTAAAAAGCGCGGCGGCTTGGGGATTCTACCCCGGTTCTACCCCTCGAAATCCTTCGTGGGTTTGGCTTGGGGGCGATTCAGAAACACCGCAGCACCAGAGCCCTGCATGCACAAACCCTGTGATCACTTAGACAGCGCAGGTCGCAACCTGGTAACCATCGATGGTGTCCACCGCGATGTTCTGCAAGTAGCGGCCAAGCCCGCGGTCCCGCAGCGCGCGCATGATCTCCTCCCGGTATGCTGGCATGCGTGCGTGTGCAGGTGCTGCGTTTGCTGTGTGTGGGCGTTTGGGTGGGTGTTTGAGTGGGTGGGGGAGTGGGTTAGTGGGTGAGAGAGTGTGTATGTGTGTGGGTGTCGGTGAGTGTGGGTGAGTTTCCGTGAGTGTGGGCGAGTCTGGGCGAGGGTGGGAAAGTGTGGGTGCCCGAGTTTGTGCGTGTGCGGGTGTGTGTGCGTGTGCGTGTGCGTGTGCGTGCGCGTGCGCGTGTGCGCGTGTGCGCGCGTGCGCGCGTGCGCGCGTGCGCGTGTGCGCGTGTGCGCGTGTGCGCGTGTGCGCGTGTGCGCGTGTGCGCGTGTGCGCGTGTGCGCGCGTGTGCGGCGCGTGCGTGCGCGTTGCGCGTGCGCGTGCGCGTGCGCGTGCCGTGCGCGTGCGCGTGCGCGCGTGCGCGGCGCGTGCGCGTGCCGTGCGCGTGCGTGCGTGCGCGTGCGCGTGCGTGCGCGCGCGCGTGGGCGCGTGTGCGTGTGCGCGTGCGCGCGTGCGCGCGTGCGCGCGTGTGGTGCGCGTGTGTGTGTGTGTGTGTGTGTGTGTGTGTGTGTGTGTGTGTGTGTGTGTGTGTGTGTGTGTGTGTGTGTGTGTGTGTGTGTGTGTGTGTGTGTGTGTGTGTGTGTGTGTGTGTGTGTGTGTGTGTGTGTGTGTGTGTGTGTGTGTGTGTGTGCGTGCGTGCGTGCGTGCGTGCGCGTGGCGTGCGTGCGCCGCGTGCGCGGCGTGCGCGTGCGCGTGCGCGTGCGCGTGCGCGTGGCGTGCGCGTGCGCGTGCGCGTGCGCGTGCGCGTGCGCGTGCGGGTGCGCGTGTGTGTGCGTGTGCGTTGGTGTGGCGTGTGCGTGTGCGTGTGCGTGTGCGTGGGTGTGCGTGTGTGGGTGTGCGTGTGCGTGTGCGTGCGTGTGGGTGGGGTGTGTGTGTGTGTGTGTGTGTTGAGGGTGTGGGTGCGTGCATTCGAAACGGGCCTCAACTTTCCGTCTAGAGATACGCGACGTGACCCCGAAAGCTTCAAGGTTTTTACGTCGCGTCTTCATGTAGTAAGTGGCAGTAAGGCGCGTTTTTCGAAACAGGCTTGGCAGGGCAGGTCCGTGATCCACACCGTGCCCCTTCTGATGTTGGTGATCGCTGATGGAAGTTTCAGAGACTAAGATAGACTCACAGACTAGATTCATCATGTCAATCATAATCAGGCCAGCGAATGCTCGCAGGACTTGGGGGGATTAGGCATGGACCATGCAGAAAGCCGAAATTCCCTACAGCCTGCTTCTGCGCCAAGTACGCTGTCAGCACCACGATTTGCTCTTCAGGGTAGCCAGCCCGGACGATGCTGTGGAGCACGTCGACCAGGGTCTCTGCCTGACGTACTGCCAGCAATTGCAGCTGAAGAGCCTAACCACCTTATGTACTAATGTACCAACAGAATACCAACATAACAAACATCTTATTCTTCCATACTATTGTAATATATAATCATGTGAAAACCAGTATATGGCATATTAATATCTTAGCCTCATTCCCAATAGAATGAGACGTTCGCATTGCGTGCGGCTTAGATCCCTGCCTCTGCAACATTGAACGCCGAAAATCCTCGGCGGCCCTCAAGCATGGAGGGGCCCTTGGCCACATCCACAAAACAGACTCTGCAGTCCTGAGTCGAAGGATTTGAAAGCTGTCTTGGCTATGGCACACGAGCCCTATGGAGCCTGGTATACTCTCAGGGCACAGAGCGAAGTTATCGGACCGCTTGGGGCATGATCTTCAATCATTACTAATTGTGGGCCCTTGTCAGATCAATGGACATCTTCCAAACTGGCAGCTTGTGCAACTAACTACCGCTTCTTTCCCAACTAGTAACGCGCACGCTCCGGAACGCTATGAAAGTTTAGGGTAGAGGCAAGGTGGGCATCTTTCCTTTGCAGCCTCAAATGCATCGTGCCATGACAAGAGCGGAATCATCCCGGGATTTATCCATAGAGCCTACCCTCGAAGCCTGAACCCCAAGAATGCCCAATCATTTTTGCGTCATGCAGCGGGGTTTGGCCAAGGAAAGCCCGGTATTGCAGTCAACGCTGCCTCATCTGCGGCGTTTTCCAGTCTTCCTGGCCCATGAACGTTGTGATTCTTTACTGCTTCATGTGGGCCCTGAAAGCTCTAACATTCTGGACTTGGACGAAGATCTGCAGAACTCTTCCTTAATTGGGAGTTTGCTGGAAACCTCCTGCCTCCATAGAATGTGCGGTTGGGAAACTCCGCAATGGAGCTGTGCATTCTCCGCTGCTCCAGCAGGATGGTGGGCTCAACGCAGTTCTGACTTGCCTGCGCCATGGCGGATTTGTGTACATGCGTGTGGCGCGAGGTGGCAGAAGCACCAGAACTGAAGCCCAGCTGCCATTCGCTCGAAGAGGCTCGTGCTCAAGCCCTCATGACTTGCGGCTTTGGAGAGCACGGTAGCGGGGAGTTGGGCATGATCGCCGATCAGGACCACCTTCAATAGCTGAGCCAAGTCTTGTGCAGGCCATTTGCACTGCGACATCTTTGATTACGAGCTGCGAGGCATCCTCAAGCACAGCACGTGCATCCAAGCCTGCTCACAGCCTCGCCCAAGAGCGACGAGCACCGCGGGCTCGCATGCCTGAGTACATTCATCGACCAGGACACGCTGGAATGATCCACCTTAGCTGCTTAGCTCCGAGTTGTCGCGTGCGCAGTAGTAAATTCGACAGCACCTGCAAGGAAGCGCGAGAATGGGGCCTGCAACCTTCGTGTTCAGGATCTCCGTGCCGCTGCCGATGCAGGTGGCCACAACCACGGTGGCCTTTCACCACACCCAAAAAGCAAAAGTTAACTACATAACCAGAGTTACTATAGCTACTCTAGGTACTATGGTTACCGAAAGGTCCATAGGTACTACAGTTAACTGAGCAATGGCTGAGCCCTGGCGCTTCCCAGGCCGCTGGGGGCACGACTGTTTGCAGCTGCCTTCGAATGGCTGCTAGGTCGTAGTCGTTCCCCTTGCCTTGTCCAACTCGGACGCTCGGGATTCCTGGCATTTCCGAAGAGTCGGCACCGGCTCAAATCGTTCAGGGAACAAGTTTCATCTTCACGCTGCGTCACTGCAGATGTCTGGAGCTTTGTGTGTGCTGTCTCATCCAAGCTGCCCATCTTGCACAATCTCGCCTGGTAGCTGCCACTTGCTACTGACGCAGGCTCTTTGAATTCAGTGAACCCACAGTTCTGTGCAGGACTCGATGCGACCCGATGCGAGACTTGATCAAGGAGTTGAGGCAGCAAAACCCTGGAAGCGACGTAAGAAATCACAATGCCGCGACTCATACTGCGCAGCCAGGATGCGTACACATTGTCCGCCGCCACGTTCGAATCCGCCACTGCGAGGATGCGCTCTCCCAGTGGCCCGAAGATGGATGCCCAAATTGCCAGGATAGCCTGAAATTGCCAGCCACTTGGCGAATATGCCGTGTAAGTCACGGGCCCTACACCATTTCCTAAAGCCTAACTTGCCCGTGAATTTGAGAAAGTGCTCTGCCGAATCTACCACAGATCGCTCATGCCCACTACAAACCTAGCGAAGCCGTATGAAACCACACCGTATCATTCATTTCTGAATCCGCGTGACGCATGCCACGTGCGTCTTCCCGGTGCCAGGCGGACCTGTTCGGTTGGGTCTGGAAGAGACGCAATCCTGAAAGAAGAAACCCGAAACCCTAAACAACCCTAAACCCAGTGCAGCTCCCTTGGCCTTGGATCAAACTCAGCCGCTGTTGCAGCGATCTTGTCACAGACTCGCGCTGTGAAGGAGTCAATGACTGAACGAGCGGCTGCTGCCCAGCCAGCCTCCTCGGGCGGCACTTCAAAGAAGTTATAGTATAATTTCTACAATAGAATGGTTACAACAATGTTTAATATAAGATCTCACCATATAGTAATAGAATCACATACTTCACTGTCACTTGCAGTGTGAAGTAGTTGCGGACTTCAACCTCCAAAGCAGCCTCCACTTCTTGCTTCAGAGTCTCTCGAGGTGTTGTAGGGCGAGCTCCGGGCTCAGCCCGCCACGACACGTTTCCTCTGCGAGCTGCCGAGCATCTTCGGCCTCCGCCAAGATGACCTCCCGCATGGAATCTGAAAACCTCAGTTGTGGCAGGCAGTCCCAGTAGCAGTGAAAAGACTCAGCCATGGACTCAGTGATTGATAGTGAGCGATCGTGATTGCTAGTGGTGGCCACATGCCACATGCGCATGCAATGCAGCATCTGGGAAAAAGGGAAGACAAATGCAAACGACTTCTTGCAGGCCAAGGCGGCACGTAGGTGGGCTTCAAGCCCTCGAAGTTCTCACTGAACACAGGCAGCTTGACTTGCGTGAGGTTACGCAGGGCGGAAAGCTGTCGGCTCATTGGGGTTTCCAGTGCCTTGGGCCGGATACTGGCAGTGACACGCATCGTTGTGCTGCGTTGGCTTCATGGCAATCTTTCTTCAGTTCTCGTATGTACGGAATTGTGCTGATCTAGCTGGACATCACCGCCTTGGTGGGACGCGTCCGTAACGCCGTATGCAGCTTGGAAGCAAGGAAGTACAAGCGGTACTGTCTGCCGATCGTGATGGGTGATATCCTGCTGAGTGGGGGAATCATGTCCAGCAACAAACTGTCACACTGCCCCAAGAAAGGAAAGTCGAGATGATGCTGTGCCATGCTGTGCCTTGGTTGCTTTGCGTCGAGCTCTGGGCCTTTGACGTCGGAGGCAAAGTCTGAGATGCGGCGAACATGCAGCTTCACCTGGAACCGCAGTGGCCGCAGTCCAGAAGAACTCTTACTCAAAGCCTGTCAGCAGCTGGTTCAAAGCTGCTGAGATTTGGCCGCTGGATGCGGCTAGTACGTGGGAATGGAAGTGGTTTGCCTTTTGAGGCTCTTTACATGCCCAGCCTCTTCCTCCAGTGCCGGGTTGCCCACCAGGCTGGTCACGCAAGCCAGCCAAGCTTCTGGATGCTGCCAGCCCGTGCTGTTGCCCATCCTTAGGGAAGCTAGGCCGCTAGGGCGCTCGGGCGTACCTCATGAACTGCAAATGATGAGCCGGTTCTTCTTTCTCATTTCACTAAGCCGCTCAGCGGGCTCGTCAGACGAGACTTCTTCTGCAGCTTCACTGGGAACCAGCAACACCAGGTCTGCTGGCTTCAGCTCGCGATGGCCCTGCAACTAGGCATAGTGCAGCAGCGGAGGCTAAGCCAATTCAGAATTCCTGGCCGGGCCTCCGTCATAGTTTCAAAGTTGGCACCAGGCGGTGATGTGAGAACGACCTGGCTGGCCTGAAAGCTTGGCATTCGAAGTCGTGCGCTGGACAGGAAAGCTTTTCAAGATCACTCGCCACGCAGAGTGCCACAATGTGCCACAATGCCTCCTGCTGATGTACTTCCACGACGGGGACGCCCGACAGCGCGTTCGGGTCGAGCTCGTACTGCTGAATACCGTGCATGAGCCTCACGCGTCTTGTTCATAGCCAGCTGCCAGCAACGCATGGTTGCAACATTTACTGCGAAAGAAGTCTTGGCATGTGGTCGCCGGCAAGCAACCCGCCATGGCGTTCCAGCGCCAACAAATGTCGGAACCGTCGGAAGTAGTCCTGCGCTGAACAGCCAATCCGTTTATGCAGAACATTCTCTCGAATCCAGAACAGCTAATCCAGCGCAAATCCTTCTCAAGCGAACGTGGAAAGGAGTCTGCCAGCGAGGCACCTTTCGAAAGATTTCGAAGCAAACTTGGGACACCACTCTCTCTCTCTCTTCTTCTTCTTCTTCTTCTCCTTCTTCTTCTGCGGGGCTTGAAGGGTGTTCATGTCCCAGTCGGCGTGAGACGTACATTCCCCGGCAAGTCTCTCTCTCTCTCTCTCTCGCTCGCTCGCTCTCTTCTTCTTCTTCTTCTTCTTCTTCTTCTTCTGCTTCTGCCCAGCGAAGAGAGCCCCGAAGGACCCCCGGCCACGACGGCCCGCTGCTTGGTTCGTGTTCGTTCTCTCTCTCTCTCTCTTCTCCTTCCGCAGCACTTGACCCTCCCGAAGGAAGGCCGCCCTAATGGGTGTGCTCTACCGAGTCAGTCGGTGTGAGATGCGTAAAACATGCGTGTCCAAAGTAATGTCAGGACAAAGCTACGAATCGGGTACAAATACGGGTACACCCCCATTAAGAGTAAAGGAAAGGTTGATGGACACACTTGAGGTCAGAGTCGGGCAAAAACATGCACTGTGATGTACGGACGATTTATGTGGTCCCGCCCTCTAATTACGGCCCTCCTCCGGCTAGTTTCCCCTTGCCACAGTTTGGTGGTTCGGGAAGGGAGATTATTGATCCCGTTTGAGCTATTGTGAGATGACGAGGCTTAAAGGTTTCCCCTCTCCCCAACAATCAAAACCCCCCAAATCCACCGAGCAACGCCCAGGGACCCACGAGGGGGAGGGGGGAAGTGCGAGTTTCCTAGGGTGGACTGAGATGCAATGCGGTGAGGCTTCGCTCCCTCGAACTGATGGACAGAAAATGTGCTTCAAGTTTGGGGTAACGACAGAGACACCTTGCCACTCTCTCTCTCTCTCTCTCTCTCTCTCTCCCGCCCTCCCTACTTTTCTGCAAAGAGAAAAAGGCATGCACTTTGTGCCTCCAAGCTGGCGTAGTGCTGGGGATGCCATGAAGTAGTGGCGTACTGAGAAGCTGGCCTGCCGAGAAAACATGTTTCAACTAAAGCGTGCTCAGCCTCCATGCACGGTCCAGCTCTCCAGCGAAGTTCGGAGTGCTTGCTCTGCATAAAAACACTTCGCGCCATGCGCGGGAAGTGATCCCCCTCCTCGTCTAGCAAGGACTCCCACAGCTGGATGGGCATGCCGGATTCTTGCGACAGGCGCAAGGCGTTGCCCAGGAGTTCGTGCATCGAAGCCACATCACCTCCATGAGGTGCAACTTATCATAACTTATCGCAACATTCCCAGGCTAGCAGTGGTGAGCTCTTGCCGTGCTGGCCATCAAGAGGCCTTCACCTAAAACGGCGCGGAACACGTGCGGCAGGAAGAAAGACCATGTGGCTGGTTCAGCTTGCTCTAGCAAGGTCATCGTCTTTGCATGCGCGTCCTGCAGGAAAGTTTTGCGCTCGCCAATCGGCACGACTTGTGCCTATGAAGTACAGAAGAGCTAATTTACACACTCAGCATTCGTGGAGCTACTTCCTCCCTCTTGTGTGAACATCAAAAGGTCCTTGACACGCTGCTCCTTCAGGGCCTGCTGAATCTCATCCATGGCATCCTGCTGGTCAGCCGGAATGTCCGCCAAGTGACCTTGAAGAATGAGCATCTTCTGGTTGGCAGTTGCCTGGACCGGGCCGTCAGAAAAGGTTAGCACCTGATTCTTCTTTTGAACTTGACATTTCTCCCATGGTCTGCATGTTGATGCCGCCGGGCATGTTGAAAACATCAAGCGATGACATCCTGAACCAAGACCGCTCAAGCCTGTAGCCCTGCAACACATCTTGCCGAATTTGGTGCGGGAATGAATACGCTTTCATAGAAACCCAAAAAAAGCAGGAGACCATCACGTGGAGGGGCCCAGAACTGTTTAAGTCTTTGTGGTTCTTCAGCTTTTTGGGGGGTTTGTTCTTTGGTGAATTCAGTTTCGCTGCCTAGGGCAGCCTCTCAGGAGATTTCGTCTTGCCAGCAATGCGGAACTGTCATTGCTGTTGGTCAAACTGCCTGCATCTCCACATTGCATATTGATGTTAACCCTCCCTCCCCCCCCCCCCTTCGCAACAGTGTTGATCCAGGCACTGCATGCTGATGTAAACGCGCTCCGGCCGTTAGCAAGAAAACTCAACATTACATGTTCCTTGGGGCCCAAAAAGGGGAAGCAACAGACAACCACATCCCAGAACCGTTAGGCTTCCATTTAGATTAATTACCGCAAGCCCACGCGCTGCACGCGGGAGTCTTTTCCCGACGAACGACGACCCGAAAACTTCCCTAACTCCCGGCCTTTGCAGCAATCTTCGATCGCTCCACGGTGCTCACCGTGATGGTTTGCATGTCTGCGAGGCTCTGATCGTAGAAGCTCCACGTCAGAGTGCACTCCTTGCAAAGCTGCAGTTTGCGGTTTCCGGCTCATGGGCATCCACTCCCTGCTCTGCACCAGTACATCCGTCTGCAACATCGCGCTTAGCCCGACACGAAGCCACCGGATGTCTGATGAAAATCCCAGGAAGCCTGAATAGCGAACAACGTGGTGTCAACAAATCAAAGCTTCTTCCGCAGAGACCTTGGTACTTTCTTTTGCTCTGCGGCCCTGATGCGGCCCTAGCAGATCTGCCTTGGTATTGAGCTTCTGAATGACTGTGTTGTGCATGGCATTGATTTCTCCATACCGAGCTCTGTTGTTCGATCGAACCTGCGGAAGCAAACAAGTGCATTGATGGCATCTTGCAGCAGTATTCTTCTTCTTCTTCTTAGCATGATTCTTATGCGGTGCCTGTGGAGCCTCGTCCACGTTTGCTGCGCTCTCTGATTTCACCTGCAGGTATATCTCCTGGCGACTCGGCAAGGGGGCAGTGGCACTTGCTGATACCTTTTATAGAAATACTGCTTCCCCCCTCGGCCCCTCCTCTAAGTTTGGAGGGAGGTTCTGGTAAAGGGCCGCGAAAGCATTTCGTCGGGATTCCGTGGCTGCTCGTGCAGAACCAGTGGCAACAAATTCGCCCTGGACAGGCGACACATAATGAAATGACATGCCGAACTTCCCTTCTCATCTTGACGGTTGTGGTATCAGAGGCCCTCCTTAGTCCCTCCTACCCATCATTGTTCCGACTCAACTGCTCACTCTATCCGACTATCCCAGCGCACTTAGGTGATGGCAGCCAAGCAGGGCCTCAATCTGCGGACAGCTCCATGTGCAGGTGTGGCTTTGCTGGAGTGAGCTGCCGCTTTCATCATCCTCAGGCGCTTTCATACGGGAAATGGCAATGCAAAAGCAATTTGTGGTGCACCAACCCGTTCTTGCATGGCCAAGAACGAAGTCTATCATGACCGGCCTGGCCTTGACTTCTAAAGTGGCATCTAGATCTTCACTGATGGATCCAATGGCCTCAGATTGCTGTGTCCGTCTGCCGGGGCGGACCCTGCGGAAGCGACCACTTCCACAACGCATGGTGCAACCTGAACCTCGGTTGACCTGGCTCTGCTATCCGGGCTGGCCCACGCACGTTCACACTTAGAAGCAGAAGAGTAGCCCACTGCGCAATGGCACCGTTCTGGCGGGGATCTAAGACTGAGGCCTGCAAAGGCAAATTCCGATGCAACGCCCCATGATGTCTGAGCTGGCTCCACCTACTGCACCGGCAAAAAGGCACTCTGAGCCTCCTCATCGATGAGGTATCTGAGAACTTGCCTTGCTGCCTCGTTTTTGGCACCTCGCTTGCTTCGATGCCTGCCCTCGCAAGCATACTCTTTGTCCTTCCACCTCCACCTGGGAAGGCGAGCGCAGTGGAGTGGGGTGGATGGCGACCAGGACAGAGTTAGGGCAAGCTTTTCCTCGGGTTGACAAGCACTGTACAGATCGCGACAATGCATGCGTGGCTGTTGCACTGACGCCGTTCCCCGTGGCAGTCGATAACCAAGATGCTACCTGCTGCATGCTTTGTCAGGTATGGAAGAACCCCTCAAAAAATTCCTGGTCGATGCAGCTTACCACGAACTGATTGAGGATGACCGACTGCCAGCCTGGTGAGCCATGCCCTCCACTTGCTGCGATGGAGGTTGGGCCATCCCCTTATGTCAAGTCCAAGACTGGCCACGATTGGACCCTTTGGGGCTGGCCGCCACGCATCTCTAAGAACGGTGGCTGTACAATTTTGTAGGTCTCCCCACCTCAATGGAGCCCGCTCAAGCCTGATTTTCAGAACATGCCATGCGGATACGGCATCATGAGGCTGTCGTGCTCCTGTGCATTCCTCTGCCATGCATCACAGATGCGAGAGGAAACGTGATGGAGGATGACTCACCCGCCAACACATCACAGCAGCATTAGACCCGGGAAGGCCGAGAAGGGCGCAAGCAGTGCAAGTCTACAAGTCTATCTAGGTCGCTGCCTGGTGGTGATTCTCAGCACATCTGCGATGATGCATACATGGTTGATGACTCCAATGGGGTGCAACCGAAAGCCCTCGACTCCTAGACTCTGGACACAACGTCATTCACTGCTGCGTGGCTTGCGCCGCAGGAACCTCTCAAATGTTCCCTCAGGCTGACTTCCGCCCTTGGGGCGCAAGGACAACCAAACACAATCATGACAACGCTTCACTTTCAAATGTCGTGCCCGTCTGGTTGCGCGAGAGGCCGAAGGCGGAAGCACCACCATTCAAACTGCTTCAACCAGGAATCAACCTCCGCATTCTCTGCACCGCCAATGCTGAGGCTTGGTGGGCACATCGCAGCTGCTAGTGTCCTTCAACATCTTCCTTTGGTGACTTCTTCCTCTGGTCATTGAGCCACCCCAAACACTCCCTCATGTCTTTCCGGAGTCTCTTTTTGGCTTCCTGCAACTTCTTTTGATCCGGGGCTTTCAAGCTTTTCAAGTCGAATCTCATGAGATCTGAACCCTCCGCATGAGAGACCTCTCCAGCGTCCCAGACTAGCTTCTCTATCGCAAAAAGAGGGAACCTGTCAACCGCCACCCTCACGGCGTTATCCACCTGCTGAGTCTTAGCATTCTTGGCGGGAGTTGCTTCAAGGGATTGACTAAGATCGCGATGGAAGGCAGGATTCAACTGCGCCTCCAGCAGGAATTTGTTTTCCTTGCTGCTCTTCACGGTGGTCGCAGCTTCGAGAGTACGCTCCTTGCTGTGTGCGAGCCCCTGATGTTCTGCCAACTCCTGAAGGTTCTTCACCTCCTGCCCTTTTCCTGCTTGTTGCTGGAGATCGGCGTGCTGCACACTCCTCAAGCTAGCAACAGCTCGCTGGAGAAGTTTTGACAGCGTCCTTGCCATGGCTGCCTCTTCAACTGGAGAAGGCGCAGCAGCCTTTGTGAGCTGATTCCGGAGTGGCTCCAGCCATTCCTTGAGCAACTTTTCTGATGCCTCTCTACCATTTGCGTGCTCGTGGATGGCTCGGCGCCAGCAACACAGTTGAGTGAGCCACTCAACTACTTGAAAGATTTTGGCCGTCATCTTCTGTTGGCAGCAAAACTTCGACAACACCAGCAACAGGTCATTATCCAAGTTGCAAGCATCCTGTTGGTTTAGGTCCACGGTCCTCTGTAGCAGCCGCAGCAGCCCGTCAACAGCGACCTGATCTGGAGCATGCGGCAATGCTTTCCTGATTTCCAGAGCTCTTTTAAAGTCTTCTTGAGCCGCCAGAAGGTTCTTGTCGAGGTTGTGCATGCTGAGGTCCTGCCATACCCTAGCTGCAGCTGGAAGAATATCGTCGTCAACGCAGCAACCATGCTGCAAGTTGGCCAAAGCGCGACGTAAAGCGCCTTCCACTCTCGACAGGTCTTCTGGCTGCAGGGTGGTGCTGCGACTCGCAGCCCACTTCAGCAGTCTTTCTGCCTGTTCATGCTCTTTTATGGCGCAGAAGCAAGAATTGTCAAGCCCTCGAAGTGCGATGATGCGCTGGCACTCCTGGAAGTGTTTCACCGCCAGCTGATCTTCACGGCGGTGCCTCCGAAGATGGAAAAACAGGTATTGCAGCGTGGCCGACTCGTCATCTTCCTTGTCCTTGGGAAATTCTGGCTCCTTCCCTTGTTGGCCGTGGCAAATTTCCAGGACAATCATGACCAGCTCTTTCAGGCCACTCGGAGTTTGCAGTTTTTCCAAGATCGACAAGGCCTGCCGTCCGAACTTCGTGGTACGTTTTTGAGATTTCATGCGCTCCAAGTCTTCCAGGTCTCGGCGCAACTTCTGCGCCCATAGCCTGGCATCCTTCATTGTTCGCAATTCAAAGATGCCCTCCGGCAACAGACGACGCACTCCCTCGATTCCATTCTCAATCTCCGTAATGTTCATAGGCACGGGGCAAGTCTTCCCAGGTTGGGACACGGATTGGCACAACACGAACCAAAAAAGCTTCAGCCACAATGGCTACGGACCAATGTTTGGGAAGCGGCTCTAAGATGTGCTGTGCAGCAGGTATGGTCTCTCCGAGGGGCTTCAGCGCGTGTTTGAAGCCGGAGGTCTTTTCCTTTGTATGTCGCGAGCTACTCGACACAGCCCAAGAGGATGGCATCATGTCTTATTTAGCGTTCCAGGCACCATGTGACAAAAGTTCCCGCAGACAGGTGACGCAAGGGTCCGTCTGCTGTTCTATGGCCGGGCGAATCTGGTTCTGCACGACGACGTAGCAGGGCAGCACATTGTCAGTCTTCTGCACCACAGCCGCTATGGAAACCTTCAGGACGTTGCATCTCGGGACTCTGTGCAATTCTGTGCATAGCCGCGGCGACCGGTGACACGAGCGTGTCCTTTGGAAGCGCCTGCAATCGCTTTCCTCTGAAGCGAGGCCCTCGCTGCCTGAGGAGAGGTCATGTGCCGTCAACATTCAAACTCACCGGATGCAACACCACATGTCACATAGCCCTGCAGGGCTACCGGGGGCGCAGCGGCGCAAAGGCAGCCAGCTGCAAGTGTCGCAGCATGTGCTGTATTTATGCTTTACGTTTTGGTGACATAGGACATCTGTGGTGTTAGTCGGATAGTCTAGCAGCGTGTCTGGTCCATTTGTCTCATGGCTGGTCCTACGGCAAAACTGCAGAAGATGGGCCGAAGCGGCACATATTTGCAGGGTCACATCTCCGGCGGGGTGCAGGCACGCATGATAGCAAAGAGCTGCCAGTGACGAGCACGTGCTGCCACACAAACTTCGAAAGGGCTTGATGTCGCCACTGAATACCTACGCCCGTCAAAAACCTCGGGCTGCCTTGATTTGGGGGCTATTGCCATTGGTTCCGTTCACTCAACAACTGGGCTGTTGTGGTTTGCCTCAAGGCTAATCATCTACGATAAGTTCGACAGGAGCCACCGGTGAAGGTTGTGCCATTTTCCAACCGCCCGATTTTGAAATGGGGAGGCGAAAACGAATCTCCGGCAAGTCGGTTTTTGCATTCCCGCATTGCTGGACGACACCGCGCAGCAAGGATGTTCCTGCTACTCTTGGATCTCTTTCGCCGAATGGTTGGAATCGTTATTGTGTGCATAATTTTGGGGTTTGGGCTTTGTTCGGGTTTGTGGACCTTCCTGGTGCAGGACGGAAGCTGCGCATCGGTTGAGGTTGAAATGGCGTAGTGCCGCGCGTGTGTTTAGTGCTATCCATGATCGCGTTGTCGACAACATAAAGGGGCGAGTCCTACGCACCGCGGCAGGGAGCATGTGGATTTTTGGTGCAGCAAAGCATCTGCAGTCCTTCTGTACGCATTTTTGTCCCATTTTCAAGCTGGCTCTAGAACGCAGGATGCCACACGGCTTTGGTCACGGAAGGCAGTGGCATAATCCAGAAGGGAGGTCCGCACCTGATCGGATCATTGCAGACCGATATTGCTGCATGTTGCTGGCTGTCCCGGCATGGAGCCTCCGTCAGCAGCGGCGGAACAGCTGTTTGGCCAAGGCCACATCGATCACACGCTTGGACAGTGTCGCAGAGCGCGACGAAGTCGATCGCCAGATGGAGATCTCCTGAGCGGGCAACATGCGAAAGTCCGAAGGGCCCAAGAATCCTGGAAGTTCTGGAAAGCAAGAAGGCGAAAGGCATCCCTTGCGCTGCTGGGGTGCGCATCTGCTCTAAGACCTGAGGATTCAACGGCATCAAAGTGACCCAAAGCGACTTGTGATGACTCGCGACTTTGCTCGCCGTTACTTTTCCATCTATCCCCAGCCTGGAAGCACCGGAGCCACTGCTGGGCCACAGAGCAGGCAGTGAGGACGGCGGCGCAAGTGATGAACCCGAGCTCCACTCTGAAGACGCTCATCTGGTTGAGGAGAGCCTCAACTCAGCTGAACATCTTTCTCTGCGTTCCGCTTTCGATGTCTGAGGCTTTTGACAACGGTCAGATCCTCAAGGGTGAGCTAAGTGGCGAGGGCCATCACCCACTGCCCATCCTGACAGGCGCCGACCGCTGGCGACCGCTTTTCCATGTCAGGCTCCAAATTATACCTGGCTTGGCAACCAATTCTGCCCCTTTGCTGGAGGGTAGGCGCAACTAGCTAGTCAGCTAAGTTGCCAGGCCATCGCCTGCAACAGCTCGATGGCCCTGCTCCAGTACTGTGCGGTCTCGCAGGCGCTGATCGAAGCGCCACAGGTGTCGACAGACAGCCGCAGCCTAACTCAGGAAGCGAAGCACTTGTTTCGTGTTGCACCGCATGCTTGTTTTGGATTTCGTCAGACTTCTTCGTCGGTTCCTTGGCACGGCCCCCAGCAGCCGCAGTGCCGGTTGCCATTCCTTGCAGCCCCCACAAGCACCTCAGCTAGATCAGATGAGATGTTGCGACACAAGACAGCACACCACCACCAAACCATTCAACCTGAGAAAGCATCTCCTGGTGAGGAGCTGATGCCAGACGCAAGGCTGATGTCAGTTGGAACCAGTCTCCCTGGAAGCATCGAGCTCATGAGATGGAGAGCTTGATTCCAGACAGCACCCCGACCACATCCGCTGATCAGCATATTCTCTTCAAGACCTGGGTCAGAGGCTTTTGTTGCCAGTCAAGGCAGCCAGGAGAAGAAGGATCCTTTCTAGAGCTTTTTTAAGCAAAGACTTGCGAAGTTATGCCCGGACACCATCTGGGAATACGCCGTGTGCATCCTGCATCCAGCAGCGTAGGCCCAGACCCACCTCCCACTGACCTGCTCTCCTCAGTTATGCGCCCTGAGACCATGCGCCTCCGTGAAATTAACATCATGCGGACGAGTGCCTCAGTATGCCTCAGTTTCTTTCGCTGGCAGGAGCGCGCTCCGCACGCAACTAAACACCAGAGTATATACAGCTGCTACCACCAAGGCCATGCCCTGGCTGTCAAGAGTTCCTACCCAGTGCAGAGGCACTAGGCACACACGGCAAAACTTCCGACGTCGGCGCCGCGCCCTTTAGCTGCAGTCTCTCAAAGTCTGGCTGCAGCTGGCGACTCAAATTCTCTCCGGGGCCGAAGACAGTCGTCTAATGCGTTCATCAGGCCGTGAACTTGATCTTCGGTGTTGTGCGCATGCAAGATGATGCGCAGGCGCTCCTTCCCAGCCGGAACTGTGGGCGAGCGGATGGGAAGCACATCAAACCTCTCCCGAAGACTCCTTGCAACTGCCACGACTGCCGCATTGCCCGGGACAATAACGCCCTGAATGGGGGAGTCGCTTTGTAGGACTCGTTCAGGCGGAAGGCTTGCAAGTCGCTTCTGAAAGGTCTGGATGAGTCTCCGCAGGTGGATTTGACGCTTCGATGCCTCTCGGCGCATGAATGTGTAAGCGCAGCGAATGGCCACAAGTGAATGCAGCGGCAGGGATGTGGAATACACCAATGGCCATGCATAATTGATGAGGTACTCGCGCAAGACTTTTGGCCCGAGCACGGCAGCACCGTGAACTCCAAGAGCCTTGCCGAAGGTGTGGACCCGACAGAACACACGGCTTTCAAGGCCCAGCTCGGACACCAAGCCCCGGCCCTCCTTGCCGTAGACCCCGGTGCCATGCGCTTCATCTACCACCAGAGAGGCCCCCACGGAGTCTGCGACATCACAGAATTCACGCAAGGGCGCGCAGTGTCCGTCCATGGAATACACAGACTCAACTGCGATGATGATGTTGGGTCTCTTGTCGTGAGCTCCGGCCAAGACATCTGCGACAGCTTCTCGCAGTGCGGTGACGTCGTTGTGACGAAACTGGACGGCTTTGCCACGGCTTAGCTTGAGGCCTTCTCGCATGGACTGGTGGATCAGCTCGTCATAGAGTACCACATCTCCAGGCTGGGGAACGCAAGCAAACAAACCAAGATTCAGGTCGAAGCCCGAATTGAACATTAAAGCAGCCTCTGCTCCATGGAATCCAGCAAGCTCCTCCTCCAAAGTCTCGCAATAAGCAGAATTGCCTGAGAGCAAGCGGCTGCCCGTGGATCCGAACAGTGGACCTCCAGTATCCTTAAGTGCCTGAAGCTCCTGCTCAATATCTCTCGCCAGCTCCGTGGACATGGCAAAACCCAAGTAGTCGTTCGAACAAAAATCTACTTGGCCGTCTGAGCGCTTGGTCAGCTGGCGCAGCAAGCCTTTGTCACGCCTCTTTTGAACTACGGCTCGAAGAGAAGCCTCCAAACTTCCAATTTCGCCCATGAGGTCTGAAGAACTTGCTGAGGAGGGTTTGAGTCGCGGCTTTCCAGCCAATGCCTTCTCAACCGACGCCTCTGGCAAGGCAGTGTCCATGCGTGCACGGACGATGCTTCGACCATCCTGGTCGCGCATGTGGAAGAACACAGCATTGGGGGAGGTTGTAAACCAGACCGAGATCTCGAGGGTGGAGTCTAAGTTGGCCATGCTCGAAAACTCGATGTATAACGAGTGGATGTCCTCGAGACGCTGCGAGCCCGGGCGCCCGTGGCTCTTGGCAGCGTGCCGGGCATCTTGGAGATAGCCCATCAAAATGGCATTGTTCACGTGGCCGTGTCCATCAATGTCCGAGAATCGCGGCTTGCACACATGGCGGAAGGGATTGGACTCGGTGCCCAGGTCTTTCGAAATGCTCACGGCACTTTTGCTGCACCTGCCTGCATGAGCCTCCATCCCATGGGCCACCGGCCGACCGGTGTCAGTCGAGAACACGATGATGGAGCTAGCAACCTCGCACAAGAGCTTGGGGCTGTACCCACTCCTCTCATGGTAGATGCTGTGCTCCAGGTCCATGGATGTCTTTCCAAGGCGTGTGACGGCAGATGAAAACGCGAGGTGACTTCTGTAGTCTGTACAGCTGTGATACCTCCGCTGCTCGTGGAACAAGAAACTATGACTGCGAATGACCCACGGGGCAGCTCCAAGCTGGAACGGGTGGTCTGCCATCTCGTCCCCTTGACAGGCCTCTTCCGTGCTACTATTGAAATAGTAATCCTTTGCAGCATCGGCCCACGTAGCCAGGCTCGTGATGTAGGCCGACTGTGTGCAACAATTCACCCATTGCGTTTGAACGCGGTACATATTTCCCCCCCGTCTTACATCCTTCTCTTGACTTGGGAAGGCAGCTTCGAACCCTGGAAACGCGAGCGCAGCAACGAACATCTGGCAACTCCTGTACCCATGTGACACTGGAAGCCAGATAGCAGCCTTTAGGGCCAACAGCAACCTACCGTAAGAGCAAGTAAGGCCCGTCTTAAGCCAGGGATCTCGCAGTTTGAAGAGGCAGCGCCAAGGGTGATTGTGTCCACTTGTGCAGTACGAGTGCTGGGCCACTGTCCTGCAGGCAGTGGCGAACAAGCGCTGCTCTTGGCATGAACTCTTCGCCTCCAGCTGCAGTATGTCCTCGACACCGCCAGCCACGCAAAAGGGCGAGGGCCTGTGTCCAATTGCCAGAAGCTCGCCCACAGGAGATGGCCTCATTCAGAAGAACCTCATTCAGCGGAACAAGTGCAAAATTTCTTGTACTCGGCGGGGCGCTCTACAATAAGGCGCTGGACGAGCAGCCACGTTGGCAGCTTTGGCCTTAGCTGCTAAGCACTCAACAGCAGGCTCCGTGCGTGAGGCCACTGATTCAAAGCCGCTAAGCTGCGTGTTGCGATGCGTGGAAAATCTGCAGCGACGCTTGCCATAGCTGACCCTCTCCACATGCGCTGATGGCCGATGCGCGTGTCACCTGGCACAGGCATCGGGAATACGGTAACACCCTAATTCTAATTCGGCAACAAAGAACGTGGCCGTCTTGGTCTTTTGCTTTCCGGCGAGGAGCTTCAGGAACCCATAGGATGCCACTGCTTCCCAAATCCGCCCACGGCATGCCTCGTTGGCATGGTGGGACCGCTGGGGCAGCTTGGCAAAGCTGCTCAGCGCCTGGCATCGGGCATACACTTACGAAGTCACGAAGACACGCCACTTCAACGTTCCGAAGCGTAAGAATCCGGTCCCTAAGTTTCTTGCTTGGTGGTGCGAGGCATCGCTACAGACAGAATGGCTGACTGCCCCTCAAGACATCCAGCCCCTCAATTTCTTGACTGGAAGGGGGGGGGGAGGGCTCTCGAATATAAAGCCGGCCTCTCAATTTCGGAAGGCGAGGGTTGAACATGGTTGAACCACTAGCGGGCAAGCACAGGTCTTGACCTGAGCATGCTAATTGGTAGCTCAGTGTATAGCCAATTCAGGGACCGGCTTGATAAATTTTACGAAATAGAGGCGCTGGATTTGAAGGGCTGGGTTTTCAGGAAAAAAAGGATGTAGGCGCTTGCTTCTCACGTTCGGACATGGTTTAAGAACTCCTCGAGGGTACCCCGAAACTGTTGAGATGATGTTGTCGAAAAATGAGGATGCTTCAGATGCTACCCTCAAAACGATGTCTTATTCAGCACAGTCACTGAAACTCGTATGCCCGATTCTTGAATCTTCCCCTTTTTTTCGCCCCTCCCTCAACCTCCTTCAAAGCAGAGTGCGGAAGCGACAAACAAGGGGCCTTCAACCATTGGCTTGATCTTGCACAGGCTGAGATGACTGCAGTGGCCGTCACGATTGTTGCCTTCGCTGCTATGCGATTCACCGTTCTGGGCATCATCTCACTCGCACACACATTCTCAGTGCATCCCAGGCACACGGACGGTCAAGTCGATCATCTTCTGGAAAAGGGCCAAGGCCTATCTGCAACTCTTGAGCCCTCAACTGAAGCCCACCCTCCAGCCTAGGTGGTGGGCGTTTAACAAGGCCATCTTGTTGTGGGACTCGAATTACGGATTTAGGGCTTACTGCACTGCGCCAAATCTCAAAGTTGCTTGCATGTAGGGTCCAGGACCTGCGGCACGCTGTACGACCACCCAGAACCCGTGACACTGCGGCCCACCTGCTGCCACTCAGCACATGCGCTGATTGCTGCAGTGAGCGTCATCAGCTCCAGAGGTGCATAAAGCTGCCTGAGTTCCGACAAAACTTCATTGCTGGTTGCCCTCTGCCAACTGGAGGCCCCACAAGACAGACACGGTTCCAAGCCCGTGAGCCGTAGCTTTGCTTCTTTTGGACGTGACATTTCGATCAAGTTATGATCGGGTCCAAGTTCTTAAACTCCCATGATCCTGTCCTTCCTGCCATGGGGCATGTCCTCCACATGCTGCAGCGCCAAGGGCCAAGAACCACCGCGCGGCGGCACGGTGCCCAGCATGGCAACGTATGTCCTGGAAGCTGCGGAGACATGATTGCGAGGACATGACATGACGCCTCCCTTTTGAACCCCGACTCCTCAAGTCAGCTGGGCAAGGCCTCCCTAAACCCTAAACCCTGCTCACGAAGACCCCTGCAGATCTCCAGCTGTCTGGCAGCAGCCCGGCGCTCCGCAAATCATCCAGGCAGGTCAACGTCTCCCTCCACCTGCATGGCCATGCGCGTGCAAGTGGGAGTTTCGGGCTCAGGGTTTCGGATTTTAGGTTTAGGCGGCTCTTCGATGAACTTTAGAAACTGCACCGATGGCTAGCAGGCCTGGCTGCGCGCGTGCAGGCAGACATGGCCGAGTTCCAAGCGATTCGAAGGTTTCGGCAGCCAAATATCTGGAGGTGCCGGCCTTAGGCATCTCAATGCCTTTCGTAGGAGGGTCCAACATGTAAAGTCTCAGTATCCTACCCACTCTACTGCGACCCGTAGTGGAGGAGTGTAATGGGGAGATGAGCTTCGACGACATCTTGCTGGCCGCTTTGTCACTTGGACCCCGGCCTTTCTCCAACACATCCATCACCAAGCGCCACCTCTGGGCGCCGCAGGCTGTTATGGCTGAGTTGTACCTCAGGCACGGCTCCTGTGCTGTATGGGACCCATGGTTTATAACCAGGAGAAACAACCATCCGGCGCTCAGCGACGGCCTTTTTTGTGCATGTGAGACCTCTGAGACCCCATGCAACGTGAGTACATGTGAGTACTGAAACGAGAAAACCCCAAAGCCCCTAAAATTGCCGAAAACTCCGTTCGCAAGCCTGAGGACGGACCACTTGCGACCCAGCTTCACAACATCATTTGGAGACAACCGCTGGTGCTGCATACCTCTTACAGTGGTTCTTATACAGCTGCTCTGCAACAATTCGTTTCGACCCCAGCAGCCCCGGCCTTCTAGGACGGCCAAAGAATGCGCCCATTGCGACTTCTTGCCAAATTTGCCTATGGCAGCGCTACCTGGGCATGTGCTCTGTTGTGAAACAAGCCGCATGGAAGGGCAACAAAAGACTCTTGCAATTGCGCCAGGCGACAGTCGTACGCGTCCACCACATCTTCCAGCACCTTCCTGATCACCGCATGACCGCCTCCGGAGGCGGATGGCGGCATGAATGCCGCCATTCCCCTCAGCACACATGGGCGGTGTACACTGCCATACCTTCTGGCCCGTCCTGTCTTCCTTTCTCCCTGTCCGTTGGTGTGCTACTACATGTGGCAACGTGAAGGCTCCTTAAATGGAAATTGCTCAGAAAGTCAGATGGCTTGTCCTGCTTGTCTGACCTTGACCTCTTCGGCTGCGAAGGGATTCGGCCATAGCAGAGTCAAGCTCAATACATGCCGGCCTTCTCACGCTTCTTTTTTGGCTACAGGAGCTTTGTAAAGTTTAGAAGCATCTTGTGTGCCTGGTCGGTAGGTTGGTCAGACCTGCGTCTCTGGAGCCACTCATGGGCCCACAGCAACACCTGGTGAACAAACGCCCCCTTGATGACGGCTTGTTTTGCGGCGGTCTGCTCATCTAGCCATAGATTCGGTCCGGTATTGACCTGTGCAGGAACACTGGCGATAAAGTCTCCTTCACAGCCTCCCCCACCCCCATAGAATCCGCCAGAATCCCCTGGAACCGGTTCTTTCTTTTACCTTTCACCTTCACCCGGAGTGCATGCATTATGTTCATTGAGTTGATGGGTGTATGCACACATCGTTGTCCAGAATTTGCAGCTGTCCAAGCCCTGACGAGTCCCCAATGGGGACGAAAGCTTGGCACTCGAAAGGCAGTTGCTAAAAAAGCTGTGAGTGGCCTCGATTTGAGCGACCTTTCAACAAGCAGGACCACCAGGAACCACCACCAGAAAACCGCCGCAGCTTGTTGCAAAACGTTGCCAAGCAACCCCCACCTCGAGAACAAACGGTTGGAGATGCTCGTCCAGCATGACGTCAACACCAAAGATGTCGAAGCAAGCATAGGGCCTTTCATCCAATCTCTCGGCTGGGCCGAAGGATTCCTTCAATGAGACCCCCAGGGTCTCCGCCAGAACCTTAGGGCAATTGTGGCGCAAGAAGCGAGTGCTGTCAGTGCTAGGATTCTCAGTTTTGTGCTACTTTTTTTGGGGGTCTACTACAGCACACAGCAGGAGACTCTGAAGTATCAACCCAGGAGCGCGTCGGAGGCGGAGCCTTACTTCACTCGCCTGTTCGCCAAGATGCGACCAAAGGGAGGACAAGGCGAGGTTCTCAACTTCATCGGACACGGCTGAAAAAACATCTCGTTCTACAGAGGGAGATGAGGGATCGTACTTATGTCGGCTTCGGAAAATGAAGCCCTCGTCGAAGAGGAAGATTGCTGGAGAATGCCAGGTTGTTACCAGCACATAGAGGCGCATGTGGAACTTGCTCCCGCCAAAGCCAAGGTAAGGATTCTCCATGTATTTCTGGGCCACGGCCCAGGTAAACATCACCTTGTGCAAGGTGTCCGAGTGTTCTGGCCGCCCGTTGAGAAGCACAATGCCATTGGATCTTCCGGCCGAGCAGCTCTTGATCAACCAAAGTTTGTCTGGCTCTTGCGAGAGTCTCCGGCGAAACTCCGTCACCTGTGTTTGATTCCTGAGGATGTACCTCGGCATGCGATCGAGCACACGCAAGCTGCCACTGTGGCTCCAAAATCTATCCCGAAATGCTGCTAAATCAGAGGCCAGCTGCGTCTGTAAATGGTCATGGTCCTCCCCTGCGTCCTTTGCACTCGTGTGTGCTACTGGGTAGTTGCAGAACACAGGGTCATGACGAACAGTCTTTGTTGCCAATCTAGAACCGCGGGGCCTTCGGACAAGCCTACGTTGAGGGAATCGGAGCGTAAAGCCGAAAAAGACCTAAGGTGCTCCGATCCCCCAACCAAATCAGAAAACAAAGTGCCACAGCACGACATCAACCAACCAAACAGGACAACCATTAGTGGACCTGATATCACGGAAGCTCGTGGCCATTTCCGTTGTATTCCATGGGGGCTTTAGTAGGCGACACCTGCCTGCCGGCCTTCTCCTGCCTGAGCCGACAGCCACGCCCTCAAACACCACGAGCAGGCTGTCTTTCTTCTTATTGAAAGTGGTAAGCGGTACCATGGTACCCTGCGAGTGCTAGCATTCTCTTTCAACAGGCAACGTCACGCAGCCCCCAACCCGAACGCCCTGGACCCTGGAGGGGCACACGTCCCACGAGCCATTGTTAAGAATCGGCAATATTCGCAGCCCATCCTGCTTCAGCGCAGCCTGCACGCGCAGCAGATGGTTTGCCAAAGTGCACTTCTGACCTGCTGCGGTGAAGTACTGGCAGCCATGAACCTCGGAAATGGCAAGTGTATCATAAGCAAAAGAAGTTGTACAAATAGGCTCACAAATAGCCGTATCTCGATGCACACACACACACACACGCCGATACTTTTGGTTTATTGAACACCGAAGTCGAAGAGTGTTTTGCTGGCAACGGGATGGTTTCCTGACATGGCCAACCACACCCTCACCTGAGCCCAGTTTTGACTCCAAGCTATATGTGTCGGGTGGCCAAACGTGGACCGCCACTCAAGTTGCGCAGGTAATTGTCCATAGGGAAGTGCGTCCAGAGCAAATGCCACTCGTCATCTGCGCACATGGCAGCAACCAGAAACAGTGAGATGCATGTGCAAGGGCAACGCGCGCTCGTGCATCCAGTGCCTTCCACCGGGCCCTCGAAGTCGACCTGATCGAAGATAAGACGGATGTAGCTTCCTCCGTAGATCTGCCACTGGCCTCCACGGAAACAGTAGCAGCCACTGGAAATGCCGACTGTACTGTGTTGCCTCAACTTTGTCTCGACTTCAGACCTGCAAGCTCCCTGCCTTCACCCTTGGTTCCATACGGCCGGGCCCGCCACGAAAGCTTGCTTCCAGCATGTTGGGCGCATCCCCCTGTGCCGTCGGCTCTGCAGAGGGCATCCTGTGGCTCACGGGCTTGTAGGCAGGTCAGGATGCAGATCCATGGCACCCGAGGCCGCATCAACCGCGGTAGGCATCGCCAGGCGAAATCTGCACTTCACAGGGTCTCGAGCCCGGTGTCGCGTCGGTGGGGCGGAAGTTGCAACTAAGGGATACTAGGAGGGACCCTTAATCTTATTTCCTTATATAACCCCCGTACCTTCAAACGCCCCTAATTAGATACCAAAGAAGCCCCTAAACAACCCCTAAGGTCCCTCATAAGGGTCCCACTTTAGTCCCTTGCTGTAAGAACTATAAGAACCATGGAAAGTGAAGTCTGCTGTTGGGGGGCAACCTTTCCCCTGAGATACTCCATGGAACGACGTGGGCATGTGCAGCGTTAGGAGGTTCTATACTGATTGCTGTTGAAACCCGTATTCTTCAAGCTTCGCGAAACACATCTGCCGGCTTTCACTTCCCTCTTGCACAAGTTTGTGAAGTCCGATCACCGAGGACATGCAGAAATCAGGGGGGCTTCTGGAACCCACTGCTTTGCAGATCTGCCAGAGAAGTCCCACAACTCACATATGCCTTGCCAGCCCGGGTTTTTCGCTCATTCGATATGGACATCACCGATTTTGCAAAGACTTAGGCTTGCACACTGACGCGGCTTGGCTGGCATTCGGTTCTGACTGACTCCACTGCCGCATGTTGGTGGCAGCCACGGGCTCTGTCCATGCAAGCAGTGTATTACCGCGTGTGCTTCGACCGAAACTGCTATGCAGTGAAAGCACAGGAACATTATCGAAAATTTATTCGAGAGCTGCAGTAGACCAGGAAACTAAATGACGCCACATCGGTGAACGTGCAGGCTGGCTACTTCCGAAGAGCTGAGTGGCAAATCGAAATCATGCATCATCTGGCGTGGCGCAGCGCCTATTCTGCTCAGAACTGGCGAGCGCGGCTTCTCGAATTATTTCAAGGTCAGGCTTTCTTGTACCTGCATAAGTTCTGCCCCCGAAAGCCTCCTCACGTTATCGGCAATACGTTCTGAAAGCCGCGTGCCAACAGCCACATCTTCCGACGCTTTCTCGACCACCTGGCCAGTGTGGCAATCGGAGGGTTTAGGGTTTAGGGTATCGGGGGGCCTTCTTCAATATCCATGCCCCAGAATCTTCAATCGGGTCATACCGGGTCGCTTTGCTAAAAACATTCCTGCCGTGAAGGAAGCCTGCCCTGGACCTCCCCCCTATCAGCAATTTTCAGGGATCAAAGCAGTGCGACAATCCAAAAACGTCTAAGAAGTCATTGGCGAAAATGCAAAGTGCATATTTTATATAGTATATAACTGATCATATAAAATATTAAGCACATGCATCATATGTCACGTAAATATATATATATATACACACACATATATATAGGGAAGAAATTGGACAGGTAAAGATATTCTCGCGTAAAGTTCTGGCGGCTATCCAGGACAATCTCTGCAGGCACACTTGCTGCAACGTTATGAATTAGCTGGAATGGGTGCTTTCCTACTGCTGCAGGGGAGGAGCAGCAGTCTAGAGAGTCTAAAGTCTTACGGAGCGGTCGTATCTTAGGGCAACAGAGGCGCAGAAACCAGCTGCGGAATCCTGATTTGTTTTTTGAGTGGGATCCTTACGTGGGTTTGCGTTTTCCTTCAGCGTTCCCTGGTTTTTGGCACCACATAAAGATCCTACAAAATTTTGTTCGCTTGTGTTTTACTTACCACATAAAGATCCTACGATTTTTTCCCGCCAAGAATCCCCTGCCTAGTGGTGATGCAAGTAAGGCACGACACCTACGGAATCCCACTGTGCAGTCATGACACCCCTAAAATGAGCCCCACACACTAACAAGAGGTGCCCATGCTCGCATGTAGATGAGATAGCTCCTTCCTGGAAAGGCTGGATGATGGTGGGCGCAGATCCCCGGTGATAAGGTCTTTATCTTTGTGGCCTGTTGGTCCCCGATATTACACTGTGAAGGGAAACGGCGACTACGAAAAGACACGGGATGGTATGACCGAGTATGACCGGGCATGGCGTCGCGGAAGGCGGCCACAATGTATGTGTACATATATCTATATATATATATATATATATGTATACATATATACATGTAGGTCTGCATACTTGCATTTTAGATCATGCCACGTCACATGGCCCTCTGATTCCCGCCCAAATTTCCCCCCCCTCCCCCCCAACCCCCTCCCCCCGAGCCTGCCACACGCGGGCATGCCCATCCTGGAGGGCCTTGTGGGTGTTTTGAGGTTTTATAGGGTTTTAAGGGGTTTTTAGGGGTTTTATAGGTTTTATAGGTTTTATAGGTTTTTAGAGGTTTATAGGGTTTCGTAGATTTTTACAGTTTAGGGGCTCGGGTTTTCAGGGTTTGGAGGGTTTGAAGGATTACTCGGCCCTTCGAATTTGTCGCGCCACACGCCCAGCAGGGGTAACATGTGGGTTCAGAGTTTGTACCAGAGGCTCGAGTATGCATGCTCACATCTCGTCTCGTCGTTTTTTCGCTCATCAGGCACTCGATTTGACTCTCACAGCAAGATTCAGGGAGCTTCATGACTCAAATCCGCTTGTTTTTGACTGGCGGTGCACACGAGTTCTCGTGATTTCCATGAGGAAAGACTAAAAGCTTGTGCTGCGATGTTGTACTTTGAGTTTGACCTCCGGCAAAGGTGCAGAACCTTCTGGGTCAAGCTCGTTTTTGCTGGTGTTCCGTGGTGGTTCTGTGGGGTTTCTCCGGTTCTTAGTCATAGGTGCCCCTCTCGGAGGGTCTATATGAGGGTCCGTATGAACAAAGCCGCTTGGATTTGATCGCGATCTTGCGAGTCTTCTCTTATGCGAGCATGCTCTCTATACCAGCATGCAAACTCCATCCTTCTGTGGCATCGCCTGCGCAAAGACATCACAGCTAGTCACAACCGGTAGGACAACCCAGTTCTCGGGGGCCAGATCTACTTCGCGATGACTACCCTAAGTCCTAGGTTGTCAATGATCTCAGCACGCGGCTTCCATCTGAGACCTCGGCTGCTGCAGTCGCAGAGAAGTGCTCAAGCGCAAGCTCGGGGGGATGAGGCCGGTTGCACCGATATCTGCCAAGCCACATCAGAGTTACCTGCTTCTTGTGCAAGTTCTCCAAGGCCATCTGCGTGATCACTATGTCCTTGGTTTGTTCCAGGGGTCCGGCTAAAGCACCAGGTTATGCTGCTTGGATATTTCCCCCGCCAAGGGCATCTGCGACTTGCGCTATACTTAAAGGAGAGTGGACTCAGTATCATCCAAGTGTCAACCTTGTTCAGATCGCCCCGAAGCCTCATCAGGCCAGACCTCACTGCGTGAGGGTGTGGAGGCTCGAGGGGCCACCTAACATGTCTCCCCTTTTGCTCAACTCTAAACCCTAGAAGCCCTAAGCCCTAAACCCCAGAAACACTGTGCCCATGGGTCCATGAGGAACTGATTTTTTCCAGAAGGACTCGAAGCCGCCCTCTGAGAAGCCAACACGATTTCGGACATGGAAACGGCGCCATCCTCTTCCTTGGCTAATTTACGAAGGCCGCCACACAGGAATCCTGTCCCACACCACTCCAGCGGCTACAACCCGGACTACTACAGCAAGACGACGGCTGCGACGATGATGAATAAACTTTCTCTGCCAAAGCGGATTGCTGCAACACCCACCTTGCACTGCGACCCCCCTAAACCCGAAACTCTTCCGCGCCTAGTCCTCAAAGGCCAGCAGACCCACAAACCGAAGAACATTATGAGTCCACATGCTCGGCAGGATGGACCAAGTAGACACTACTCGATCCTCCTTCCACAGGAGCCATCAGGAATGCTGGGCAGGATCACATCCGACCACAGCTGGCTGAAGAAGCTTTTGCAGGAGGAGGTACGGAACCACTTCGTGTGGACCCCTTTCGTAACATGAAGGTACACGGGCCCTTGTATGCGGTCTAGCTAAATCGCCCAGGATGCTGTGCTGCCACGTGCCCTATTTTTAACGCAGAACTGCGGAGTCTAAACCCTAAACCCTAAACCCTAAATAGACCCTAAACCCTAAACCCTAAACCCGAAACCCCAAACCCTAAACCCTAAACCCTAAACCCTAAACCCTAAACCCTAAACCCTAAACCCTAAACCCTAAACCCTAAACCCCGCGGTTGCCCCCTTTGCAGCTCCAAGAGGCAGCATTGAAGGCGTCAAAGACGCCCGGTCGTGGCTCCACTACCCTGGGCAGATGCTATCGTCGTAGCTGCCGTGAATATATCGGTTATATATATATATATACATATATGCACACCATTTTCCGATTTTTTAGTTTATCTATATTGTGAAGTCGACCAGCACTGGACTTGCACTAAGCCAATGCAATCACAGCCCGGTCACGCTGTTTTGCGACTTCGCGAGTTCAAGCACTTGTGCAGCTACGCCTGAGTGCGTCCGGTCGGACCGCACAGCAACCTAAGAGCTACTGTACGACTCTACCGTGCTCAAAGGCACAAGCTCGGTACTTGAGCCAAAATATTGGCATTGATACGAATTGCAAAACTCTACATGCAAAGGAAAACTACAAGGTGGTCTGCCGAGTCCTAATGCATCACAGAGCAGAAGATGCATATGCACTCATGTCAGCTCACATTCGCCCCTCAGCCGAGGCTCCGGTGAGTGACTTCCACAAGGAGGGCGGGCGTCCGTCGCGGCTTTGGGCGCAAGCCCGCAAACGAAGACACGCGAAACGAGACGACCCAAACGAGTGACCCTCCAAACCAGCCTAAACCAGGCGGTCCGGTCTTTTGCATGACCTGAGTCGAGGCTCCAGTACACAGAGCCCACTGAGTGCCTTGAGGACTGCTACGGCAGACACTGAAATCTATGGTACAGATGGTACACTGTACACGGTCGGTCCTAAGCTACGGCTACGGCTACTCACCTATCCGGAACTACCCTACGGGCTACCAGACTCAGCGAGAGCCGCGCACATGGCTTGTGCCGCAGGCAATGCAGCTCACACGCGCTTCGGCGAGCGCATTGCCGCGACCAGGAC